GCCATGGGGATATTATAAACTTAGACAAAAATAATTTGGGGTAATGATTAAAAAAGATCCCGACCGCTATCCTAAATGCTTATTGTGATGATTTTTTAATAACATAGCTTTATAGATGGCCTAACTTTTTGATGAATCTAGAATAACATCAATACTGATGTCTTTTTATTAGAGGCAGCAATACCGGCAAGGGGTATTTCCACTTAAAAACATGTTTCTATCTACATTTCCAAGTGACTAATACTTGACTCCAGACTATCGAAACTGAAACTTCTGATAGGAAGCCGTTAGCTCTTACCACTAATCCATGGAGATTAATAATTGATTGATAATGAGACTTTTTCAATAAATTTACTACGAGAGGATAAGGCTCTGATAATCATCAGTATCATTCGTGATACATTTTATTAATGTGAATTAGTTGAAAAATGAGACTTATTTGAAACATAATCGTAATCGAATATAATTTATTAACAAAATACTAAATCAGTTCTCAAAATTCAATCATAGCGTTGAATAGATAGAGTCAATTTCAGCAAAATATCAAATTCCATAACCTGTGCGCTGTATCTAGGGAGCCCGAAAGATCTCATCAGAGTCATGTCTTGCATATAAAATAATCCTCACACTTAGTAATCTAATTTATTGATACCTATTCAAGAACCAGTATACGGTCATATTATATATGAGATGTCATTTAAGTAAGACAGTTATGTCATTGCTAAGTTTGCTTTTATATTAATGTTATGTTAATCATATGTATTATGCATCTTCAAATTCCCATGTGTGCGAGACGTGGTGCTTGGTGCGAGTCGCATGCGAAATTCGAGATCCGACATAAAATCTCAATGGGTTCAAAATCTTTAAAATTCATCATTTGATAGAACCATAAATCGATAAATCGCAAAACAAATAAAAAATACATAAAATATATAAACATGATACTGTGAAATTATGAGTGGCGGAATATTTTTAAAAGCTTTTATAGATAATGAAAAGGAAATTACATCACCATTTGCATATGCTGAAAAGCAAAGAATAATAAAATGATAAAATTAATGCAAATTTTGTACATCAGGCAAAATTATAAATACTTTTAAAACATAAAGCAACCCGCTCAAAATTTCAATCAAGTCTCTTACAGATTTTCCAGTAAGCGCATAAGCCAGCTAAAAATTTATTTTTAAATTAAATTGATTTTTTAAAACAAATATGCATAGTTGCGTGTACTTTTGGGGTCAATAAATTTTAACGAACAAAGTTTCCATTATATATCACAGAATTGTAATATAGTAGGTGGCTCAAGTTAGCAAGGCCAATGAATAAACAAAAATGTCACAGAATTGATTTTTTTAACTTCCCGCAGGGTAAGTTATTGTAATCGTCCAAAAATCGAAATTGAAAATTCTGCACGTTTTGAAGGTTTCTGAACATTTTGGTATACTTCAGAAAAAATTGATGTGTGTGTGTGTGTGTGTGTGTGTGTATGTATGTATGGATACAATTTTTTCTGAAAACAATTTTTTTTGCATATCGAAAATAATTCAGATCTTAATTTGAATTCTGGCTAAAGTTCTGAAGCTCACTTACATTTTTTAAATAAATAATTTTAACTTTGTAATTCAGTTTATATAACTCTTATAAATACTATAAAATATTACAATATTTATCATAATCTATTTGAAAACATTTAATACTCCTCGAACTTTTCATTACAGTACGGGAAGTTCCAACAATTTGCCTTAAGACACGGTGCCATATACCACTAGTTAATTAATGATTTTGACAGATTTGATTTTTTCTTTACACAAATCATTTTTGGGAAATATTTCAACGAAAACTTATTTTACTAGCAAACAAATACTAAATCTCAAAAAACTACATACAAAACACACTGTATTATCTTTAATATCAATCATTTTCGAGTGGAAAATTATTAATTCAAGAATGTTTAATGTATTTGTAAAACTAAAGTTGCACACATTTAAACATAATATTTTTGTTTAAATTTCGATTAAGTGAATATTATCATAAATTCTAATTGTAAATGTTTGGCTATACAATGATAATGAAATAATTAATTAATTGTTATTAAAAATAATAAAGCTTTGTAGTAATAGAGATACATGGTATGTAGGATTTCTTTATATTATGTATGCCCAACAACACCTGTTAAAAATAAACGAATTATTTGTTAATTTTTCATTGATATAAAATCAATTTTGCATTGACATAATCAATGATATTTATAGAGCAACATCGATAAAATTTACAAAGTCTGACGTTAAACCTTTTGTAATATTTATAATAATATTATAAAATGTTAAATGTCAGTTGTGGAAGTTCATTTATTTCCAAATTTTCGGATGACCAGTAAATATGATGGTATGCAGGTTTTCAAAACATTACGTATTTTAGTGATTTAATATTCTATCTAGAGATATTTTTTCTCTGTAAACTTTCATTGAAAGGCAACTTAATAACTGTTTAGTATTATTTTAGACTGAAGACATTTTTTTTCACTGATTTTTCACACCTAAACTCAAATTAAATCTTTTCATGACAATATTACATGCGCCCCGAAAATATGTATGTCGCTAGATGGTTTTGCATCAGATCAATTTAAACTTAAACAATTTAATTCTTAAAATTATTTATTCAAATATACTACGATCTTAATTCACTGCTAATACATAAAATAATTTAAGTTTAGTATATTATCACGAATCACGGATTATTCTCAACATCGGACAAATGAGAAAAATAATATATAATATACTTTTTTAGTACAGCTATTTTCCTCTTTCATTACAACTAATGTCACCTATCTCTCGTTTAACACGGAAAATGCGTTCTATAAAAAAAGTCTAATTCAAAAAATTCACTTTTATATGGAAAAACCGTGCTAAACTAGAATCACTAGAAAAAAGCCCTTTTTGTCAGTTTTAAATACATTATAGTAATATTAATTTATTTCAAGAATAAATATATAGAAATCTATTTTAAATATTGCATTTTCTTCATAGATAAAAATTAAAATTGGTTTGTAAAGATATTACCTTTCTTTTACCTTCTAGTTTTTAATTTTCATATTTTGCCATTGTCGAAATATATTTTTTTATGAAATATGATAATAATTCTTATAATTTTTTTTGTAAAATACGTATTTGCTCTTTCTTTGCTATTGTAATTCTGGTATTTGCTCACAAAATATGCTATATAATAAATTTACAGCATCAATTATATATGAACAATAACTTAAATCACTCTTTATTTTGGTATTTCAAACATAAAATATTATACACACATAAAATTTAGTTTTGATCATAAAACGGAGAGTCCCCGTCTTAACTACATATTTCCATCATCGACATAAATTACTAAAAATTCATAACTGTAGCATACATTTTGTGGTGTTGTATTTTGACAGTAAAACATTTAAAATGTTATTGTAGATATAAGCAAATTATAGTTTAGTGTTTATAATTTCATGTAAATGCAAATTTAATAAAATTTGTTAAAAAAAAATATTTTTTTTTTATTGGCCTCGCATACTCGAGCATTTAGCATTTCAGTACAATATTTCAATTTCAATACAATCTTCAGGTTCATACTATTTTTCTTATATAAATCCTATTCTTTCGATTTTATATTCTATCCTATTCTATGTACTCTTTAACGAAACTTTATTCTTCTTTTTATATATATATATTTCTTCTTTACTATCTATCACTGTATCTTCTACCCTCTTCTTATGTCTTTATTAGTTCTATTTTTACTTCCATTCATTTTAATTCTAATTCTCAAATCTTTTGCACACGATTGAACTATTTTTAATATTATTTCGAACTATTTTTAACATTATTTCAAACTATTTTTAACATTACTTCTACTTTTTGCCGGGGATTCGAACTCCGAACCTCCGGCGTGTGAGTCGGGAACGTTACTCATAAGCTAGTCCCGCCACAAGAATATTTTTAAAAACCGTGTAAGATGGAAAACGTGTAAAACGGGGGTAAGGTGTATTATATTTTTGGAAAACACGCTTTTGTAGCACACTCGAGGCTAAAATGATATTTATATTAAAAAAATCCAATTTTTGTAAAACAATACTATTTTGTATAGGCTAATAAATAATATAATAATAAATAGCAAATATGTAGCATTATATGTGTAGACATTATTAACAGTATTTAGCAACACATTTACCATGAATACATGTAAGGAAAATTAAAAATAGTTTTTGGCATATATAAAGTAATAAAATGCAGATAAACAATTTGGAAATTTATATATTTGACAGATAATAGAAGAAAGCATTCATATCAAACATATAATAGTCATAAAAATTATGTATCAGCATGTGAAACAAATCTTCTACATATTATTAATAAATTATCACACCACAATAGGAATAAACTTTTTGCAGATACACTTGTTTGCTCACAAATCACCATCTAGTACTAGTATTATTTTATTATATACTATTATAATATATATTCAAATTAGATTATATACATATTATCAAATTGCAATATGTAAATGGGTTGTAAAATATTTATTCGAATTGCATGAAAATGATGGAAATTAGACATTCCTGATCATCACAAAACCTTTGTCAAATACACACAATAATAAATCAACTTAGCACAAGTTCATCAAATCACAGCACATAGAAAACAGAGCCAAAATCAAAAGATTGCCGTCCTCCCACTATTTTTCCCTTTGCGAATTTTTCGAAGCATGTGACATTATTTATGTATTCGTTCAAAAAAAAATCGGCGCGACTATCGTATATAAGCGTCAGACAAACGGTCGCCGTCCGCATTCTAGTTACAAGACTTCGGAGTGATTGACTAGGGATTTTTTTCTCAGTTCAGCACCCGTTAGCTTTAAAATTGAATCTTAGGACAACTCTTTTGCCATTTACTTTTTGTTCTTTAGGTAGACATTTGAAAATTTGTTTAGTTTTTATCTAACTTAAATTCTTAACGGTCAAAATGTTTGCATCGAATATGAAGTTGGCAAGTTTAATGTTGTTATCGGTGGTGATTTTTGATACAGTAAGACCAGGAGTTGCAGTTTGCCAGAATTTAATACGTGAGTAATAGAATTTACTAATTATATTTAATTATGTACATCTTTACTATTATTATTGTTAGCATTATTATTATAATTATATACTTTATTGCAATCATTTGTTTTCATTTGTTATAGGAAGTAAAACAAATTTTTGTATAGTAGACTTGTAATTAAATGTTTCTACTACATCGATGATATTAAAAACTAAATTGTTTTTCTCTTTGTGAATGAATATACGCACGCGATATTTTTCAAATGTGTTTTTATATTTAAAAAATCAAAGTGAGAAAAAACTAAATTTCAAATCAGTAGTGATTAAAAACGGTAATCCAAGAATCATAGCATGCGATAACGGTTCAATGAAAAAAATATATTATTGATGAACACATACACTTCATCTCTTTGAATAATTATTACATCTGATTGAATAATTATTGATTGAACTGTTTTTAATGTAAAATAATATAAACGAATAACAAAATTTCATTCGAGAATTTATTGCATCAAATTAAAACTTTTAAAACATAAAACAAAACAATCTGATCATAACGTAAACCGATGACCTTTTGCAGAAAATATATAGCGGTACAAAAAAATACGATTCGCATGTCTAAAAAAGCTGTTAAAATCAAACATCATTTTATCACATCATAAATCAATATCCGTATAATATTAATAAAAATGTGTTAATAAGAAGTTAATTTGTACCCTTGACTTGTGAGCTAATGAATAATCATGTGTGTATAGGAAATATAAATACTTTTATAATCGGTACATTTGATCTTGCTTCTAGATGCCATTCAGGTGTTTAAGAAACTGTTACCGATGAAGGCTAACGCTTCTTCAGTTACTTTAGAATTCATAATTAAGGTTATCTACCGCGGTAATAAAAAAACATCGAAAACCAATTTGTTATTGTTTGACAAATTGCAGATAATATAATTAAATTCAAAACAATTTATTGATTTAAGGCATCGGAATACTGTGGACTACGCATTCGTAATTTGTCAATCTGTAATATATGATTGGGGCCATAATGTCTTTGAGCATTAATTTCTTACTTTTGTATATATATATATATATATATATATATATATATATATATATATATATATATATATATATATATATATATATATATAACAGGGTGGTTTTTAATATGGACATTTTCGAATTTCCTTGCTCCCAAAAGCTCAAATGGTTCCAAATTAATAAAAGCCAATTCTCTGAAAGTTTTAGCTCTTAATATCAACCCTAAGATAGTCCGCACTCCAATTAAAGTTTCTTGGTTCTTCTTCCTAAGTAAATAATTATTTTATGAAATACATCAAATTTTTATTGTAATTTTTTTATTTATGATCAAAAAAAGCAAATACAATTTTATTCTCAAAATTTTGATTCACTAAGTGACAATTGTCGCTAAGTTGTAAAACAAATGGAATTTTTCCCATGTTATTTTCATATAAACTTTGGTTGGAGTGCGGACTATCTAAAAGTTCATATTAAGAGCTAAAACTTTCAGATAATATTTCGAAAGCAAGGAAATTCGAAAACATCCATATTAAGGACCACCCTAAATATACATATATATATATATATAAGATTTAGATTTTTTGTTCGACATTAAGACATTTCCGAGCTCTTAACGAGCTTAGAACGAACCCTACATAAATCTTTAGTTTCAATTTAAAACAAAAAAAAATATTATTGTTTATTTTCTATATTTTTAAAATTTTTGTTATTGTTTTTCCTGGTGTGATATGTATCAATTTAATTTTTTGCTTGTTATTTTATTGTTTAATCTATATATTATATTTTTTTTTAACTTTTTTTAGATACTGTAAAAACATTAAAAAAATTGCTGAATGATGACACACAACAGTGTCGAAACATATAAATATATATATATATATATATATATATATATACATAAATAAATATTTCAAAAATTATTATAGATGGAAGAAAAAATATTATAAAATAGAACAGAATAGCACAGTTATATATAGATAATTGAAACCGAATTAAAAATCCTGAAACAAGTCAACATTTAAATATCTGGAAATATTAATAATCCTAGATTTTTTAAGCAAATAAAAATTATTTTATTCTATTCATTGCAAATTTAATAAATTTTCGAATTTAAATGTCTGTCTAATTTTAAATTTATGATAATTATATGCCAAAAGATGAGCGAGCTTGGCAACACTAAAACGACGACAAATGGTCAAAATAGAAATTTGAAAATTAATTTAAAACCGGTTTATCTTTTATAATAATTATTAATCTGGTTTTCATTAATTAACTGATTAACTATATGTAACATATGAATTTAATTATGCATATTCTATTCAAAAGCTGTTTGATATAAATATTCATTTACCAAATTTTCGATAATATCCACGAAACACGATACAATAAAAAATTATAACTTTTGAATAAATTTCACGACAGGTTCAAATCGATAGAATATGTCAATACATTCGAATATATATGATAATATAAAGTAAATCTTTCCAGAATTACGGATACTATGATTATCAAAAGATTTATATAGCACAAAAAACACAGACAACTGGCATTTATTCAGTGTTATAAAAAAATCGTTCTCACTCACGGATTATGTAAACAATATGCAAAAATTTTAGGGACTATAACAATAAAACAAACTTAAAATTAAATATTAATAACAAGAAGATCGCAAGTAATTTTTAATGCAAATTATTTTCTATTTTTATTAATATGACATATATTAAAATTATTTAATAACATAATTTATAAAAATGTTTCTAATTTTGCAATATAAAATCATTAAGCAATGATGAGCAAGAGAATAATAAATTTGATAATGTTCATTATCATCTTTAATTAAATGATGTAATTTAATCTTTTAAAAATCTTTTAAAATATATTATATATTTGTTGAAGGTTCTGGTCTAACAAGTCAAGAGCGCGATTCGATTCTACATGCTCATAACAAACTTCGGCAGATAGTCGCTATGGGCCAAGTTTCGGGTCAACCGGCTGCTTCCGATATGCAAGAAATGGTAAGAGAAAGCAGAATACCTGTCTAATATTTATAAAACTTTGCAAAAATGCACCTTGTTAACTTCCCGTAGGGCAAGTTATAGTAATCGCAAAAAATCGAAAATGAAAATTTTTATATATCTTTACGTTTCAAAGGTTTCTGAACATTTTGGCATACCTTAGAAAAAATGTGTGTGTGTGTGTGCGTGTGTGTTTATGTGTGTGCGGATACAAATTTTCGTCGACGATTTCGGGAACACCGATCAACCTATTTGAAGAATTCAAAAAACATTCGATTCGTATTGATAAGGAGACGTGCTGATTAGTTTTTGGCAAAGGCAGGTCTAGCCGTTTTGATGTTACGGGGCAAAAAGTGACAAAAATGGTAACTCAGTTTTTAAGAGAACGGAGCGTCCGATTTTAATTATACAAAAAACATTTTACTTGTATTGACAAAATGAATAATTGATCAAATTTTCATGAAGGCAGGTCTAGCGGTTTCGGAGATCTAATGGAAAAAGTAAAAAAAATGCCATTTGGCGGTCAAAAATGATCATTAGACATATGCACATCAAATTATCAGATATTTTATAGAGATTTTAACAATAAATATAAATTTTGTTTACATTCCTATGGATTCCGTACCAAAGTTTATCCGTTAGACGGCGACGCGGCGCTTACGCGCTTTGACATTTCGTCTCTAAGCAGTTAAAGCAGTACGATTGCTTTAAAAAAAAGTTGAGTCAAAACAAAGAAAACATTTTTTTTTCAATAATTTTTTTTCAAGAAAAAAGTATGTTTTTGTCAAATTTATAGTTTCTCAAAAATCTCATTTTTTTTAAGTAATTTTTTTTCAAAAATGTTAATCGTTTTCAAAAAAATGATAATTTTTGGTACTGGAAGTTCCAGCAATTCGCTTTAAGGCACAATGCCATGCGCCGCACTAGTTCTAATGTTTTATTTGCTATTTGTGAAATGCAGTGTGAAACAACAATAAATTTGTAATTTCAGGAGTGGGATAGTGAACTTGCAGCAAAAGCGCAAAATTGGGCGGACAGATGCATATATGAACACGATCATAACGATCAACGAGATGTCCGTAAGTGCAAAATTAAATACTTAATTTAGCATAAAAATTGCGTAATATAAAACGAATATCTGATATATATTTTTGAATACATCGTCGCGCTGACAGAAGTTAATGCTTTATTTTTTATATGGAGAAAAAGTAAATAAATTAAACTGTTTATCGAAATCCAATATGTATGAACAAGATAAATTTTATATTTCAATCAAATTACTGTGTCATCTGACTGATAATTTATAACGCTCATTTTATTTATTTCAACCCGAGAAAGAGTTACTCAATCTTTATATGGACTGAATAAATTCATCGCGGCGTAAAGTTTATTTATGTTACGACTGGCGCACAATTGCATATATGTAAATCAAAATGCGGGCCTTTATGAATTTTCGCTGTTTACTTTAAAGATTTCAGGGCCGCGCTTGAAACCAAATTAAATACAAAAAGATCCAATTAAATCCGTACAGAGAGTTGATTTACTTGACACTTTCAAAATCGACGAACGCAGCGAACAACATTTATTACATCCTTTTGGTCATAACACAACTCTATAACGCCAATAATGAATTATCACGTTATTCAACCAAAGGTTAAGGAATAGAATAACTTATTAAACGAAATAACATCGATTAGTACCTGAATCAAAAATACATAAATAGTTTATGAAAGTTAATAGATCGGGAAACCAATTTGTGTTTCGTCAAAAGTCATCATGACACAAGTATGAACTGATTGCTTATTAGGGTTTATACAAAAACCGACATTTCAGAAACCCGGTTTTCGAATTTTATATAGAAAATTAACTTTTGCTCGAATATTCTGTAATTTATCCGCAAATTTAGTGTAATTTAGAGCAGTATTTGACTGAATTTATTTACTGTTCAATTTTATAGATTTTATAGATAGTAAACAAAATTAGTTTAATTTTAATTAGTCAAACTAAAAAATAATGGTTTATCTTGATTAAATAACTATGGAGTTATTCGTTATTCATGCATCATTTTCACATATAAGAATAAAAATATTTTTATGAAAGTGAAAGGAAAGTTTTCGAATAAATAAAAATAATACATTTTTTAATAAAAAAAATCATTAAATTAAAGAAAAATATAAAAAATATTAGATATATGTTGATACACACTTGTTAATATCAATTTTAGTTTTATAAACAATTAAGCTAAACTCGGGTATTGTCTGTTCCATGCAATTTAAATTAATTAATTTTAAACATTCTAATTGTTATTTTGTTTGATAAAATATGATTTCAAAAAACTGAGAACGTCTATCGAATTGCTACTTAGACGTGTCCTTTGTTTACTCACAAAATTTTCTGAAATAGAAATTACTCTTATACTTGCGACCAAATTATGCTTAATTGTTTTTAAAGTCTGATATAATAATTCTAAGTTTTTTGTTCTTTTATTTGTGGCTTCTAGTGTTTAAAACTCTTTTCTTAAGATTGAGTAGAGGAAGTTACTTCTTCAAGAAGAAGTCACACTGATTTAAATTAATATATACACTGGTATAAAAATCTAAATTAATATATACAAAACCTTTCTGGGAATCATTGCAGACTGATAAGATATCAAATGCTATTGAACCGATATGATTTCAAAAATCAAAGCGCTTTCATCTATCTTTCACATTTGGCTATATTTGTCATTTTCCATTTATACAGTGAAAACCGGTTTTCGAATTTCATAATTTTCGCCAAAAAACCGGTTTTTAAAACCGGTTTTTGAAAACCGACAAACCCTATTGCTTATATATTCTTGGCTTTGCTTGCTATTTGCTTTGTCAATCTGTTTTGACACCAGGACTTTGTCCTAATACAGGGAGCATCGGGTTGTAAGCGTTGATCGCTATTGAGTAATTCTTACAGCAAGATTTGTTTAGTATAGTAGCTAGAAACTAAATTTTACTTCTCTTGCAGGTCGTTTTCCCGTCGGTCAGAACATAGCGACCACCTGGAACTCGCACCCGACTGCTTTCGGAGCCAGCCCGGATTTCATGAGTCAGATTCGCGCATGGTTTGACGAGGTCAGCATCTATTACATGGGCAACGGCTATAGCGAGGCCACCGGACATTACTCGCAGGTGAGTTACCACACGGGAATATTTCTCTTGCCAAACACCACCGGTACTATATCAAAAGCTCATATCAAATCAAAAGCTTTGCTTAGGAGTATATCGATCAAACTCATAAGAAAATCTATTCAAATGAAATATAAAGAATAATATTTTGAACAAGTTGCTGTTACCAATAGGCTTTGTGTTTAGGATGGCAACAAAAAATACCTAGTGGTGCATGGCATCGAAAGTTAAAATTTTTAGAAAAGTTTTAAACCTTTTGAAAACTCTGATTAAATTTGATTTTTAGAATTTTGAAAAGAAAAATTCTTTCGTATTTTAATATTTTTTGAAAATTTTGATTTTTTCAAAGCTAGTGGACGAAATATCATAGCGTGTAAGCGCCGCGTTGCATTCTAACAGTTAAACAAAATACATCTTGGTACGGAACCTACAGAATTATAACCAAAATGTATACTTATGACTATAATCTATATAAAATATCTTATAATTTGATATGCATATGTCTATTGGTCATTTTTTTTTACTTTTTCAAATGGATCTTCGAAACAGTTTTTTACTTTGTCAATACAAGTAATTTTTTTTTCTGAATTATTAAAATTGGACGCTCAGTTCTCTCAAAAACTGAATTTCCATTTTTGAAACTTTTTTCTTCGTATCTTGGAAACGACTGGACGTCCCTTGGCCAAAACCTAATCAGCACATTGTCAATACAAGATTTTTTTCTGAATTATTAAAATTCGACGCTCAATTCTCTCAAAAACTGAATTTCCATTTTTGGCACTTTTTCCCCGTATCTTCGAACCGGCTTGACCTGCCTTGGCCAAAAACTAATCGGCACGTCTATTTATCAAGAATACATACATGCATACATACATGCATACATACATGCACACACATACATCCATTTTTTCTAAATATTTTCATTTTCGATTTTTTTGAGACTACTATAACTTTCCCTGCGGGAAGTTAACTAAATTCGCATTTTGTTAATATTTTTAATTTTATTTTTGAAATTTTAATATTAATTCAAAATGAAAGCAACTCGTATTCGTTGATAATTTGTTGACAGTGACTAAATTAAAATTAATTTTTCAATATTATTTACAGTTACTATTGTAAAAGTAATTATGATACGCACATGTATATACGAAATATTACTTTGTGTTTTTGGTTTTACTAAAACGTGTTAGCTTTAAATGTGATAACAAGTTCGCAACGGAGTTGAAAGCAAATTGATCGAGATGAAAAACCGGTACGATACGAATGTTAACCAGAATCATCCCGGGTAGACCTCCCATGGAACGACGTATATACACCACGTTTGCAAATAAATTTAAAATCATGTATGCAGTAATATAATAATCAATATTCAAAAATACGTATATAATATAAATATAAAATATTAAAAAATAAAATAAAAGGATCAGAAAATAATTAAATTGAAGAATTATTTATATAATTGAAATATAATTACACAATACATCAAACCATTTCTAATATACGTATACATAGAATATTTTACTTAATAACTTTATGTAGGTTAATTCATTTGAGTTATAGTAAATAAATTCAGTATACGTGTTACCGAAATATGTAAAACAGTAAAGATCTCATATTGAATATTTTATAAGGCGGTCAAACCAGACTTGATAAAAATTTAGTAGTTTCGTACAGACATAAATTCTAAAGGAATAAAATATATCATGAATAAAATTTGCTAATTTATCAGAGAGTTTTATATATTTTTCACAATTACATTACAATAGTAATTAATTTATTACTTAAATAAATTAAATTCCATTTTTAAATTAATTACAGTTGGTTTGGGGTGAAACAAATAAAGTTGGGTGTGGATACTCACATTGGTATGATCGCTCTCAAGGCTACACCAAATTTTACGTTTGCAACTATGGACCTGGGTAAATATCATTCAATTTATTATATGAACCCTTCGAAGTTTTTCAATATTTCCAGAAAATAGATTCGCGATTAATATTATTTACTCTCGTGTGATTTAGTAAATGTTATTTATATTTGTATTCATTCTTTCAGTGGAAATGTTATTGGATACGATCCGTACACAAAGGGATATCCTGACTGTAAAAGCCATGGCATGTCATCATCAAGCAAATATCCAGGATTGTGTGGTAAGATACCATTTTTATCAAAAACTTAATTAATTATTCAAACATAAAACTTTCAACAAAGTTTTTTACTAATAAGCACATTCAATTGAACAAGACAGGCACGCAAGCTGGCTGTTTCTACAAACTGTTTTAATATAATGTAATAATATAAAACGGCTTGAAAGCCTTTCATCAATGAAAAATATATTAATATAATTATTTTTATTATAGGCAAAGGCTCATACCAAAACAGTTTGAATTCAATCTTCAGTAACAGTAATAACGCAGTATTTAGCAATAGGAACACAGCCGTTTATAGCACGAATAATGCACGAACAAGCTACGACTTCAGTTATTTCAAATTCTAGTTTTGTTAAGAATTTTATTTAAACTATTGTTTAGAATTTAGACTGTGTTAATTTTTTAACATAATTTATACCGCCGCAGGATTCACAAAATTATTTGTATCAAATGAAATGTGAGTTCAAACATATTGTTATATATATGTATATATTTTTATAATAAAACCAAATCCACATTTGAATTACAGTTTTCATTCAAAGGGCTAATCCTTTGTAATCGTAAAAAGTAAAGATATGTATTTTCATCGCTATGGTATTCATCAAAAACACCTTAAAAATTTATATATATTTTTACCTGATTAGGTTTTATCTAATTGGTTGTGATGTTTCGAGTCATTGCCACTCCACTGTTGAAAGTGAATTGGAAATTTGTTCACAGATTTTCCCAATAGATACGTGAAATTTAATTCCAACATCTGGATATATGATTTTACTAAACGAAACAGTAGGTCCTAATATTAATAAAACTAGTTGGTATTGGTATTTAGCCTTGAGGCAAGTTACATGAACTTTCCGATATGTGTAAATAATCGACTTAATCAATAAAAAATAAATTAATTTATCAGTGATTAAAAGTATTCCGAGTGGATTTAGTACGCCTAATTGAAAACGAACGAACACTCTATCGTTATACCAAGTGAATAGTCTAATTTTAATTTTAACAAACGTCAAAAAAAAACAACTCATTTTCTCAAACTTTGATGAATTTTTAAAATTAAACTACTTGTCGTAAGATCGTAATATTTCAGTAAGTTCTATAAGACCAAGATATATATCGCCAAAAAAAAAATTCCATAAAAATCGGCTTAAATTTTTTTTCGACAGTTAATTGCAAGAAAACGGCTCGATAGATTTTCAACTAAAACTAATCAGTATTCTTCCCAAATGATATCTTTCGAACAGTGTTTCATTTTTAAAAATCGATTCGGTAGTATGAGCTTAAATGTGGACGAAAAGGTTAACACTTTTTTCCAAATTACGAAGAAATGGCTCGGCCGATTGCTGCGCAAAACTGACAAAAAATAATCCACATCAAAATACATTGATTGGCTTTTAAATTTTTGAAATCGGTTCAGGCGTTTTTGAGCAATCGTCGATGAAAGTTTTAATTTTGACAAACGTCAAAAAAAACGACACTAATTTTTACAAACTCTGACGATTTTTTAAAATAAACGACTTGTCGTAGGACGACTTGTCGTAATATTTTAGTATGATCTGTAAGACTACGGTATCTACCGTCAAAAAAAATTCATGAAAATCGTTGAAAAAAGTTTTTTCAACACCTTATTACAAGAAAACGGCCCGGCCGATCTTTACCAAAAACTAATCAGGTCGATTCCCAACCAATATTTTTCGAACGGTTTTTGAATTTTCAAAATCGATTCAGAATTGCGGGCTAAAACGTGGACGAAAAATTTTTCACTTTTCTGCGTTTTACAAAGAAACGGCTCGGCCGATCGTCGCACAAAACTTGGAAACGGTAGTCCTCATCAAGATACATCGCTCCAGCCGTTTTTGAGAAAACGTCGATTTACGGCAAAAAATCTGTTCACACACACACACATACTTTTTCCAAGTTTGGTCTCATACGATTCAGAATGGCTTGACACGTCAAGAAAACATAAAATTGGCAATTCGGATTTTTTGATGAAAACATAAACTTCTCCTTCGGGAAGTTAAAAATTAATATTCCATCAAAATAACAACAGACATAACTTATGTTTGTTGATTAAATTTAAAATATGATTATCTATTTACATTTATAACGATTATTAAAAATCATTATCAATCTTTCATTCTTTTATATTTGTAAGATATATGTTTAGTAATATTTTTAACATTTTCATCTAATTGAGTACATAACAGACCGCGGGTAGGAAGTTTACCGATATTTCGAAAACAAGTGAAGTTATAAATTATTTAACAACAATATTTGCAAGTAGACCGTAATATAATTGTTAAGTATACTTTATTTAATTGTTTTATAAAATATATTGTTAATTTCAAGTTGGATTCAACTTTTTTTATATAACTTCCATAAAAGCTTACATCTGGGTGGGATAAATAGAACCAACTGAACCATTGCCCAATTTTACAAGAGATAGAATAAATAAATAGTTATACAAACTCTGCCAATAAATATTTCTGACAAAATACTAGATCAAGGTAATTTATAGTGTTATCTCCGTAAAAAATGCACCTATGAAATTAACTTTCCGTAGGGTAAAATATTGCAATCGTCCAAAAATCGAAATTGAAAATTTTTGCATATCTTCACGTTTTGAAGGTTTCTGAACATTTTGGCATACCTTAGAAAACTAGTTGATATTGGTATTTTGCCTTGAGGCAAGTTACATAAACTTTCCGAGATGTGTAAATAATCGACTTAATCAATAAAAAATAAATTCATTTATGAGTGATTAAAAGTATTACGAGTGGATGTATTACAATTGAAAGCGAACGAACACGATAACTCAGAGTATTTTCTAAAAGCAAATTATCACAGATCAATAATTTTTATAATTAAACCAGTTTCCGTAGAACTTTAATGGTTTAGTATGTTCATAATAGACCAAGAGCCCGTGGGCGGATGACAGTATGTATTTTACGACACCTGAGATTTTGTGCATCGATTCCTCTATACCTATCCTACATGAAATGGGGACTGACTAAGCCCAAAGTGGCGGACACAGCTACTGCGCAGCTGGTAAAGGTACCTTTTTTTCGCCCATATCCGAACCATTTTACGACGGTTGCCCTTTCGAAAATTTGAAAATATAATATTATTACTATCGTAAAATACCAATGGCAGACGATTATCGCGCGGTTAACATGGTGGCAGACGATTTTGAAAATGCAGAAAAAAAAATTTTTTGAATGTATTTTACGATGTCTGCCATTTACATATTTTATTCCTTATAGTATCAAAACCTTATATTTATCACGGCAGACGTGTACCTGGTGGACCAACATCAGCAGAGTTAAAAAACTCAGCTACCATTTGGCGTGATAGTATGCATAAATCTCCATGTTTTATACCGATATAAGCAATTCTTTCATAATGATAATAGAAATTAATATTTTTTAGTTTATATGTGACATTTAATATTGTTGATGAGCGGAAAAAAGATTTTTTACGCTAAATTCGTAAAGATTAAAGTATACAAACGATAACAACAATTATTGTAATATTTATTCTATTTTTTTATTTATTTTAGTCTAATTTCAAAATATTGTATAAAAATAAAGTTATACAATATTATATATATATATATATATATATATATATATATATATTATAATCTCGGAGCCATATCTCGCTTTTGATGATTCCTCATCATCCGCTGAATCAGATTCTATAAAATAATAAATCAGATGTAAAATAAAAATTATTTGAAAATCCAACTAAAGATGTTTGATAAAGAGGAGATTCTCCGACCATACTTAAAAAATTAAGCTGAATAGTATTAAAAAGATATTGTATGTGGGTTCTTTGTTAAGTGTAGCAAACATTTGTTGAAGATCGATTTTTTTCAGAGAATTGTAAGGTCTTTTTTTTGTTAAAGAAGGCTGGATTGAAATCACAACCAGTAAAAGCATGACAACAAATTGAAATTCTGGCAAACAACTAACCAGTTCACTTTGTGATGTTAATATATCTCTGGTTATTTTCAACCCCATTTAGCATCCAAATATTTGAATTACTATATTTCTTAGTTATGTCATATTACCAAATCATATTACCAATATTATACTGATATTTTGCAGTATCGAAGGCTCTAATAGGAATATTGCAACGATATGCTCAGCGATGTTACGCGCGTGATTGATAATGTTTGTGTCAGGTTCTTCATGTGAAGTACAACAAAAATCTTCAACAACACACGATTGGACATTTGTGATTATCATTGTATAATTGACAGTCTCAGAAATTCAAATAAATTAACAAAATTTAAATAAAAAATATCGATCTTCAACAAGGGTTTGCTACACTCGGTTTAGCAAAAAAGAAAATTTAACAGGAAACCACCTAAGATATTTGCCAAATATATAATGCAAAAAGACTTAAATGACGTGGTTCTTGGACGGTACAAACTATTCATTAATAACTATAAAGTTTACAATGTCAATGAACAATTCAGCAGAAAAAATTCTAAATTTTGGTGCAAGTTCAATCTCGTGTTTTATCAACAATTTTTAAGAGCCCACTATAACTATATTAGGAATAATATCTATAACAAGCAACCAACATTGTTGGGCGCATTAAAGTATGGTCGGAGAATCTCGTCTTTATCAAACATCTTCAGTTGGATTTTCAAATAATTTTTATTTTACATCTGATTTATTATTTTATAGAATCTGATTCAGCGGATGATGAGGAATCATCAAAAGCGAGATATGGCTCCGAGATTATAATAAATAGAGAAAGTATATATATATATATATATAATATTGTATAACTTTATTTTTATACAATATTTTGAAATTAGACTAAAATAAATAAAAAAATAGAATAAATATTACAATAATTGTTGTTATCGTTTGTATACTTTAATCTTTACGAATTTAGCGTAAAAAATCTTTTTTCCGCTCATCAACAATATTAAATGTCACATATAAACTAAAAAATATTAATTTCTATTATCATTATGAAAGAATTGCTTATATCGGTATAAAACATGGAGATTTATGCATACTATCACGCCAAATGGTAGCTGAGTTTTTTAACTCTGCTGATGTTGGTCCACCAGGTACACGTCTGCCGTGATAAATATAAGGTTTTGATACTATAAGGAATAAAATATGTAAATGGCAGACATCGTAAAATACATTCAAAAAAATTTTTTTTCTGCATTTTCAAAATCGTCTGCCACCATGTTAACCGCGCGATAATCGTCTGCCATTGGTATTTTACGATAGTAATAATATTATATTTTCAAATTTTCGAAACGGCAACCGTCGTAAAATGGTTCGGATATGGGCGAAAAAAAGGTACCTTTACCAGCTGCGCAGTAGCTGTGTCCGCCACTTTGGGCTTAGTCAGTCCCCATTTCATGTAGGATAGGTATAGAGGAATCGATGCACAAAATCTCAGGTGTCGTAAAATACATACTGTCATCCGCCCACGGGCTCTTGGTCTATAAAGACCAAGTACTCTATCGTTATACCAAGTAAATCGTCTAATTTCAATTTTAACAAACGTCAACTTTGATGAATTTTTAAAATTAAACCACTTGTCGTAAGGTCATAACATTTCAATAGGTTGTATAAGACCATGATATATATCATCAAAAAATGTTTCATAAAAATCGGTTCAATTTTTTTTTTTTCAACAACGAATTACAAGAAAACGTCTCGGTAGATTTTCACCTAAAACTAATCAGTGTCATTCCCAAATAATATCTTTCGAACAGTTTTTGATTTTTAACCTCCCGTAGGGTAAGTTATTGTAATCGTCCAAAAATTTAAATTGAAAATTTTTGCATTTCTCGACGTTTGGAAGGTTTCTGAACATTTTGGCATATCTCAGAAAAAATGGATGTATGTATGTGTATGTATGTATGAATACAAATTTTCAGTCATGTTTTCGGCGCACGGATCAACCGATTTGAATAGTTAAAAAAACATTCGATTTCTATTGATAGGAAGATGTGCTGATTAGTTTTTGGCAAAGGCAGGTCCAGCAGTTACGGAGATAAAAAGCAAAGAGTGCAGAAAATAAAAATTGAGTTTTTGAGAGAACGGAGCATCCGATTTAAATGATCTAAAAAAAAACATTCAATTAGTAATGATTGGGAGAAGTGGTTATTAGTTTTTGGCAAAGGCAGGCCCAGCCATTTCGAAGATACAGAGCTAAATGTGCAAAAAATGGCAGTTTTTGAGAGAACTACGCGTCCGATTCAAATAACTTTCTGCTTATTTTAACAAAATAATTGATTTTGGAAAAAAAAAATGTTTCAATTTATTTTTTTCCAAAAAAATTTTTTTTGTATATCGAAAATTATTCAGATTTTATTTTTAATTCTGACTAAAGTTCTAATATACTTTAAACAAATAATTTCAACTTTCCAATTCAGTTTATGTAATTCTTATAAATATTAGACAATGTTACAATATTTATAATTTATATATTATATATTTATATTTATATTATATTTATATTTATAATTTATATATTTATAATTTATAACTTTGAAAACATTCAATATGTCTCGAACATTTCTTTACGGTACGGGAAGTTCCAGCAATTTGCCTTAAGGCACGATGCCATACACCCCACTAGTTCCAAATTTGGTCTCATTCGATTCAGAATGGCTTGAAACGTCGAGAAAACATAAAATTAGCGAATCGGATTTTTTTATGAAAACATAAACTTCTCCTATGAATTTACTTTCAAAAAGATCAGTGGACAATACAACAAAATTCAACATCGCAGTGTCATGTATTCTGAACGTTGTGAATATAAAAAAAGCACAGCATGACAATTGTCGTTTTTAAATACCATTAAGGTATTTGGCACCCAGAAAAATATAAAACTAAACTAGTGGGGTGGGTGGCATCGTGCCGTAAGGCAAATTGCTGGAACTTCCCGTACCGTAACGAAATGTTCGAGGAATACTGAATGTTTTCAAATAGATTATTATAAATATTGTAACATTGTCTAATATTTATAAGAATTACATAAACTGAATTGGAAAGTTGAAATTATTTGTTTAAAGTATATTAGAACTATAGTCAGAATTAAAAATAAAATCTGAATTATTTTCGATATACAAAAAATTAAAAAAAAAAAAAAAAAAATGGAACAAAAAATGTTTTTTTCCAAAATCAATTATTTTGTTAAGACAAGCAGAGAGTTCTTTGAATCATTCAAATCGGACGCTTAGTTCTCTCAAAAATTGCCATTTTTTACATATTTAGCTCCGTATCTTCGAAATGGCTGGGCCTGCCTTTGCCAAAAACTAATAAACACTTCTCCCAATCATTACTAATTGAATGTTTTTTATATCATTCAAATCGCATACTCCGTTCTCTCAAAAAGTTGATTTCTATTTTCTGCACTCTTTGCTCCGTATCCTCGAAACGGCTGGACCTGCCTTCGCCAAAAACTAATCAGCTCTTTTCCCTATCGATCGGAATCGAATGTGTTTTGAACCATTCAAATCGGTTGATCCGTGCGCCCGAAAACGTGGGCGAAAATTTGTATCCATACATACATACACACACACATCCATTTTTTCTGAGGTATGCCAAAATGTTCAGAAACCTTCAAAACGTCGAGAAATGTGAAAATTTTCAATTCCGATTTTCGGCCCATTACAATAACTTACCCTACGGGAAGTTAATTAACTTTGCAACGTTAGCTTAAAATTCGAAAATTCATTTTTACATTATAGAAAACGAAAATCAAAATGTTAGAATTCGGAAGTTAGAAATATCTTGTATGTCTTTTGTATACTGTAGGGCAGTTACATGCAGCTGTATTTGCAAATTAAATATCATGGAATATGGTCATATGGATCTTCTGTCTACAGTTGAAATTACAAGTGAAATTCTTACCAATCGTATTAACGCATCAAAGGAAAACTCTAAATTAATTATACCACTAAATGATTTGTCACATGATAACATTTACTTATACATTTCACATTTTAACACTTCGAGTGCAACAAGTGCTTTTTCTTTCATAAACGTCAAAAAATACTGCCGGCGGTGCGAAACATTCGCAATTAACAATGTCATGCCAGTGCAGAATACGTTGAAGTTTGCCTTCATTAGTTTCTAGTGCGTCATTTTTAGGCGCACACACTATTATTATACTTTGTAGGACGCTTCCAAATTTTGCATTTTTTAAGACTGAAGGGCCATTATTTACAACCATTATTTAAAATGTAGCATACTTTTGTCTATTATATAACGATTGAATAGGCCGTAAGATATGGTGCACTAGCAGGCAATCACACTTTATTTAGTGTTTATTAGCAATAAGCATTATTCTAATGATTAATTTTAAACATTATTATAATTCTATTTTCTAATTATCTAGCACTGATCATTTCATATAAAACTCTCTATATATTAACTAATTTCATAGATAATTTTTTATTAACGTTTTTTTATATTTTGGCGCAAGATTTAAAAAAAAATCTACGAATGCTCAAAACTAATAATTAACTTCCCGTAGGGTAAGTTATTGTAATCGTCCAAAAATCTAAATTGAAAATTTTTACAGTTCTCGACGTTTTGAAGATTTCTGAACATTTTGGCATATCTGTGAAAAATGGATGTGTGTGTGTATGTATGTATGGATACAATTTCTCGGTCACGTTTTCGGGCGCACGGATCAACCGATTTGAATGGTTCAAAAAACATTCGATTCCTATTGATAGGGAGATGTGCTGATTAGTTTTTGGCAAAGGCAGTTCCAGCAGTTACGGAGTTAAAAAGCAAAGAGTGCAGAAAATAGAAATCGAGTTTTAGAGAGAACGGAGTATCTGATCTGAATAATCTAAAAAACATTCAATTAGTAATGATTGAGAGAAGTGGTTATCAATCTTTGGCAAAGGTAGGCCCAGCCATTTCGAAGATACAGAGCTAAATGTTATAAAAATGGCAGTTTTTGAGAGAACTAAGCGTTCGATTTAAATGATTCAAAGAACTTTCTGCTTGTTTTAACAAAATAATTGATTTTGGAAAAAAAAATTGTTTCAGAATGTCTTTTTTTTTTCAAAAAAAATCTTTATTTGTATATCGAAAATAAATCAGATTTTATTTTTAATTCTGACTAAAGTTCTAATATATTTTAAACAATTCAGTTTATATAATTTTTATAAATATTAGACAATGTTACAATATTTATAATAATCTATGTGAAAACATTCAGTATTCCTCGAACATTTCGTTACGGTACGGAAAGTTCCAGCAATTTGCCTTAAGGCACGATGCCATACACCTAACTAGTTTATCCATGTTTGGAGTGATCTGGGATAGTTTGTGCTTGAGATATCATATGTATTTGTATAGATCAATGAAAATTAGTCAATATCATGTAAACTAAATAAATTCAATAGACATTATCTAAAAAAACAATAATTTAATTTGCCTCAGTAATATCTTCCACAAAAAGGAAATGATTTTGAAGGCTTAAAAATTATCTTTGAAATCTTCTATAAATTAGGGTTGATGAGTTTTTAATTTGTTAATATTTTCATATGATATAATACATAACTATGAAAAACAAAATTTTCCCATTGAACCAATAATTTATTTACAAAAAAGAAAAAAAAATAGTATTAAAATATATTTTATTTATATAAAAATGATTTACAATGTCCATAGTAGTAGTTGTATTAATGGTAATTCATATAATTTATATATTTACATATTTACTGATTTTAAACTTTCTAATATCTCTTGCATTATAGGCCTATTTCGCTTCTCTCGTAAACATGCTAAAGCTACTTTGTACATTTCCCGTGCAGTCATTAACCATGGTCCAGGCCTTTCATCAATTAATTTATCAATACCTTCAACTCCTGAATCACAATATTGCTCTATATGTGTTACCTAAATTGAAATTAATATTACTAATCTTAACAATATTAGAACATATATCAAATCATCATTAACATATTAATTCACAATAAATCATTATTAACATCAGATGCACTAAGTCATAAACATTTTAAAATTTTCTAATGTAACTCCACAAACACTGTCTCAAGAAAAATCATTGAAACAAACTGTATATAGTTTATGAAAACATTTTTATTTAAATTAAAATTGAAGTGTTACTTTAATAGTAACTTACTATATCACAGCCTTCTCTATGTTCATCAAGAGGTGGTAAGCCCGTTATAAGTTCTAAAAGTACTACTCCAAAGCTATAGCAATCCATCTTTTCAGAAATATCTCCACGATGAGCTTCTGGTGACATATAAGCTGATGTTCCTAATATTGTAGTAGTTTGTGCTGAACATAACGCACTATTTGTTTTTTTAATAAGTCCAAAATCACTTAACTGTAAAAAATATTCCAAAATATATTAACCATTTTAATGAAGATCTTACTATATACATATTATCATTCAGAGTAACAACAACTCAAAAAATTGAAATTAGCATATATAAAAACCACTAAGTTTTACATACGTAAAGATTGCTGCATAAAGGCACTCGTTGTTACATGACCATTCTATGAGTAATTGAAATTAAATTAGATTTAGTACTTTTTTTTCATTCATAAATATCACATGTCTGTGTTTCAATTACTTACAGAATAATCAATTATCCAGTACCTTATTTTTTAAATTTAAATTCACATATCTCATTTAGATAAAATTTATTCATTCATCTTCAATATTTTAGAGAATGATTATCTGATATTATCTGATATAAGACACAGTGCAACTGTAGCTGATCAGCATAATATCAGTTGACGATTGTAATCTACGGTACAAAAGTTAACATAAATATTTGAAAGTTTTCAACTATTTACTTAAGTCAATAAGAAAGAGTGGATCTTTCCTATAAAATTTTGAAGAAAAATTTAAGTTAAGTTGTAATCATATTATTAAATTTAAATAATAATATATAATTCACATTTGCTAATTATACAAATAAAACTAAAACTATGTTTCACAATTCCAGGTTGCAAACAAACACATAGTTAGATAGTCCAAGCTAGCTTCAAATTGACATAAATAAAGCAACAATAAATTTAATAAAGAAATGTGAATTTGCGAAATTGAATTTCTGTTGTATTACCTTGGGCTGATTTCTTTCATCAAGTAATATGTTAGCTGATTTCACATCTCTATGTATTATGGGTATATTGTGTAGATAAAAAATACCCTCAGCACAACCAATTGCAATATTAATCCGGCTACCACCACACAATTTATTATCATCCATTTTCAATCTATCTTGCAAAGACCCTCCAGGCATATATTCATAAATCAAGCAATATGTGGGGCCATCAACTGAATATCCAAACAATTTTAATAAATTTTTATGTCTGTGATTAGACATTATTTCTATTTCATTTTTAAATAAATTAATGTTCTCGGAATCAATTTTATGAAGCCTCTTTACTGCTAGTGGCCTCACACTTAAATCTTGACCTAAATAAATAGTACCAAATGCTCCAGAACCCAACCTGCAACCTCCAGGTTGCCCATATAAGGCATCATTAAAATTATTTGTATGCATTTCTAAAAGCTTATATGGATAACAATTAATTTCTGAATTTATATTAGAATCTACTATTGGCATAACATCTGAGGTAGAATTCTCTAAAAATGATCTATTTATATTTAGCTCTGATAAATTTGGTAACCTAAAAGCAGATGTAGCATATTGTGGATCTTTCACAATGACATTCAAATTTTCACTACTACAATCTTGTTTGTCAGATCTCATATTTTCAGTACTGTTTTGAGTTGAATATGGTATAATATCTAATGCAGCTAAGTCAGGTATATACCCAGATGACGGAGCATAGGAACTAACTGCAGAATTTGTAATTTCTGGTTCGATATCTGATAAATGACCTGATTTTTGTGATGTACTCAATAAAACTGCAAAGTCTGGTATACAATCTTGTTGTATTGCAGATAAAATGTCTGGCTCTAAATTAGATGATTGTGATATGTTTTTTGTACATACTTTTTCAGCCAAAAATTTGTTTTCTTGTATAGCTATAATTTAAAAAATATAACAATTTAAAACATAATTAATTAAATATATATTATTATTATCATTATTCTGAACACAGCAGATAAGAGTAATTTCTTTACTATTATTTTTATGTTTTGCAAATATATTACTTTTAAGTTTTGAAAAATATCTTAATGATAAAAATATACTTCTGCAAGCTCATTACTATCAAATTATGTTTGATATTCTATACCATTCAAAATAATACAGGTGGTAAATGTAAATATTAGATTCATCATTTTAAGTTCAAATATTTAATAGTTGAAGCATATTTGCATCATACTTTCCAATGAATTTCCCATATGCATAGAAGTATCAATCTTAGCAGCAGGTCCTTCTGATGGTCGCGGAGCAGGAACACCTAGAATTCATTTGAATTAAGGAAAAGCTAATGATAAAAAACATGTAAAGCAGAATTACTAATACCTATGACTCTGTACATATATTTCGTTATATTAAGATTTTTTCTAAATTATTAATAAAATGTGAAATGTTTTGTAAATTGTGAAAAATTTAAATTAACTTGATAATTATATAAAAACTAATTTTTTTTTTTTTTGAAAAGTTTAATTACACTAAAATTAAAAAAAAGTCAAGGCAAATCTTTTTTTCTGAACAAAGTTTAAAAAAAAATTCAACGGTTTAGAATAGATAATAATACATAAACTTGCCTTTCCCAAAAACGAATGAATCTTCTGCATTGTCAGTACAAATAAAATTTTGTACTGACTTTTAAACAGTTCTTACCGTATGCCCTTTTTTCCCAAAAACATGGCACATCCTAACATACATACATGCATGCTACACATGCATACACACATATCCAATGTTTCTATGGTATTCTAAAATGATCAGATAATGAAGTATAAGAAAACAAACAAAGATAAGTGAGATGTTAATATACTCAATGAAATGTTAAATAAAAAAATAAAGCAAAGAAATATTATTTACCTTTTAGTATATCAACTAATATATAATCAGCTGCCCTGAATAGGTTCGCTTTTAGTAAAAGATCTAATAAAAATTCTAAAGTAGGTCTTTTACGACCGGACGTGCCCCATTCATCCAATAATATTTCAGCACATGATTTTTTATCTGAGGCTTCATTTTGAATTAATCTAGAAGAAACAATATTACACAAATTTATTTAAATTTTATGATATTGATAAGCTCACAGATATCATAATGTAAATGTTTATTAAAAACAATAATTTTACAACTTTAATAATTAATAAGAGTTTAATTTACATGAGAATGATGAGAATATAATTTAAGCAATTTAATACTCCTTAATATAATGATCATCAGTTCTAAGCATGCGGATCCTTACCGTAAATAATCTGATCTCATAAAAAAATAATATGTACTTATTTAAATTAACTAAAATACCTCAATACATTTTCAATCCATGATTACCTAATGTGATCTGTGTTATACTTAAATAAATTTCCACTTTCGTTCGGTATGATTTGCATCAGATCTATCCAAGAGTTTGAATCGTTCAATATTTTAACAAGCCCATAAGTTTCAGCTGAAGAAAGTTTACGAATTTCTGTTTGCATATTAGCCATGACAAATGACTGGTTTGTCCAACTGAATCTGTATTGGATACATTCAATATTTATTTTGAATCACAAATTCATCACAGAAATAAGGTTAGGAATTTTTGACATAATGGATAAATGACTATTCACAGGAGCATTATTTATTGTTCAAACAATCAGACGCAGCGACTGACTCAATATACAGAACGTTAAAAATAATAATGTGAGAAACTGATTGAACACTGCGGGACATAGGAAAAATTCAGCGGCGATAATATCAACCATCAACGTTGATAATTTCGGGAACTGTCAGAAACTGACAGAACATGTTATAAACGCCGTGAAGTTATTCGAGTTGAGATTTTTTAAACCATAGTAAAAAAAAAAGATTCAAAGGCTCCAAATGTTAATTTATCTATGCCCTGGACAACATATTTCAAAGAGTGAATATGTTTCAAATTCAAACAGTGTACTCTCGAATTCATTATTGTATCTTATTATGTTTGTTGAAAATCTCTAAGAAAACCGTTAGTCTTTCAATCCTCTTTCACTAATTCCAGACTGCAATCTATATTATTGCTGAGTACGTTATTCATTCGTCATATAATAAAAAAATTAATTTAACAATACGTAAAAATATTCTTAGTAAAAAAAAAAAAAAAAAAAAAACAATATTGTTGCCATACTCAAAATACCCTTACAATATCCTTCACTACAATCTTTTTACAACCATCTTGCTGTTTAATTTGGTTGAAATTCACAAAAATTAAGAAACAGAACTATGCAAAGGCTATTTATTTAATAATCACATATTTTTTGTAAATACTAACAACATTTTCTTCAGAATCACTTTCTGCTTTTACTATTTCAAAAATTTTAGTCCATTGCAATTTGTAATTATTGCATGTTTTAGATACATGATTATTATAAATATCCTGAACTTCCTTAAACTTTATCTTGTTAAGAGAAAGTAGTATTGATACAGCAGTTATGAGACATTGTATTGATTTTTCCTTTTTGGTCTGATCGATTTTGCAGTTATCAACTCTCAATAAAAGCAATAGTATTTTGTCAATGATATAATCATACATAAAAATAAATGATCTTGAATACTGCAAGGTTACTATAATGCACTGTAAAAAGAAACCAATAATAATTGAACTAATAATTGTGAGCTGGCATAATATAGTTGATTATAATACCTCTGATATTCCATGAATTGTATCTTCATCTAAACAGTTATTCGTTACAGATGTGTCTAGATAGTCAATATATATAGTCAATAAACGATTTAACCATATAAGTATTTTAAATTTCATGCAATTCAATAGTTCTGGTAATGCATTGGTATATACTGATCTTAACTCTAAAACCTGTTCACCATTTATTCCTTGTAGTAAAATATCAACTGCTTCATTACCAGGGCCCCACTCATAACAAAAAAAATCTTATTAACTTCAACAAATAATATTTTTGTACAACCATTTAGACATTGCCTCAAGCAAAAACACAAGAGCAACATTTACTATATACCTTTTCTAAGTCAGTGTTACACTGAAGTTTTATGAGAAAACCTAAACAATCTATGGCATATTCTAAAACTTTTACATCTTTTACATAGAGAACTCGTTTAATGGCATCTATCATCACATTCCATAAGCCGCATTGAGAAAGTATTTCTTTTTGCTGAAAATAGTCAAATTATTTATAAATTAATTAGTTTACCAATTGACAATACTAAAAATGAATCTGAATATGGTTCATCAAAGCTACACCTATATATTATTATTGACGCCCACAAACTTACTGATGCAGCTAATATTTGTTTCAATATTTTTAAACCATTGACTCTATTTTCTATTTCAAAATCATCAACCTGCAGTAATGTTGCTGGCAATAATAGATCATAATAGTCTTTAGTTGGTTTAAAGTACCTTTCCTGCAATATATAAATGTTCATTCTATATTATACAACATAATTTTGTCACAATTACACACTCATTGGTGTTTGGTAATATTTAAAAAAGCATTTACCAATATAAGGTGTGATATAAATGTTGCACAAGCAATTTTACTAGGATGACATTTCCAGGTATCTCTTTTAAGATTTGTTTTAATTTTATTAAAACAATCAATAAGTCTACTTTCTAATAATGAATCGTTATGTAGTATTTTATTCCAAATGTTTAAAAGACCTTCTCTAATACTAATAGAATTTGTAGTCCAATTTCCTTTCCTTTGTTGCTCCCCAATAATTAAAATTAGTGTTACAATTGCACTTTCCTCCAAATTTTCAAATTGATTTTCTGCCTTAAATAACATTAATTCCAAATTTGAATCCAAAGATTTAAGAAATTGTTGAAAGTCTGAATCATTTACAGGTCTATGTAAAAGATCCGGAATTGAAGGAGCAATACAACGTTCTAGTAATATTTCATAATCATTATAATCCATGGCAATTATGTTTGATCATATCAATAATATTAATACGAGTTGACCATAATGATACACCACCTTAAATCAGGCTAAGAATTTTGACATTTGCATATTTCAGCCAGCATGAAGTTGGCGACGAAATAGAAGTTAGACGTCAAGTTGAAATGTATTGGATTCATAACTTTGACAGCTAAAACCTGTCAAGATCATTATTATCACAGCCAAACAAGTATTATTATTATTATATTGTCTAATACCAAGATGATAGCCTTTATCTTAGACAATATATTACGTTAAAATACAATATATCTTGTTCCCTCATAGCAAATATTGCAGAAAAAACGAAATATATCTGTCAATTCCAAGACAGTATGAAGTATTTTGGTTTAGTATTATAACATCAGAAGTGTTCCAATTTTATTTCATTTACTGAACCTTCTATTTGTTGTTTGTTGAGTTTTAGTTAGCTTCCACTGAATTAAGGTTAAGATCGAAACCAAACCTAATAATGTCTACAACGTAACCCTAACAAAAATAATGAATAAAATGTAACCCTATGCGTAAAACGTAAGCCTAAATTATTTTTTAAAACAAAATTATAACTAAAACATTGTATAAAATCTAAGCTAGACTAAAATGATATTTGAATGAAAAGAATCCTAAAACATAACCCTAAAATGTAAAAATTAAAATAAGAACTAAATAGGCGCGTAATCAAAAAGCCAAAGCGAATAAACTTGAACGGACATAAAAAAATAAACACAAAAAGAATGAATCATAACGAAAAGCTAAAAAATATTAAATATGAAACAAGCCTACTTAATAAAAAAACAATACGCCGACTGATATAAAAATGAACAAAATGGCCGACGCGCTCTTGACATCTGAAATGCTTGACAGCTTGATATCAGTCTTCGCCGGCAACTTCATGCTGGCTGAATTATGCAAAGTCTTAGCTCGATTTAATGCCTCCTCATAATGATAGATAAAAATGTCAAACGTTTCAAACATAGATTTCCAAGCAAGGATACCACCATGAACACGGGGTATTCTAATATTGTCTAGGGATACCACCATTCATCAAAGAGTCGACATAAAGGTGCACCCATTGATGCCTAAATATACGAGCACGAACGAACATGACGAACAAGAATATACAAAAAGGTGCGTCCACACCTAACGAACGAACACGAACGAACATGTCGAACAAGAAAATACAAAGAAGAACGAACAGGAACACAAACGAACGCAAAAAATTCCAAACGAACTTGAACAAGCGCTTAAAAGCAGTGAGCGCTTGAATTTTCGTTGTTCGCAGATGTTCCGTGAAACGTCAGTTTTATTATTGATATGGATGTAAGCTTTAATCATACGGCATTTTCACTGGTTTTTGTGTGATTTTTGTTCGTGTATATTTTGTAAATATACTGTAAATAAATTATTCAATTAATTTCACTCAGTTTTTGTATTTAATATTTATATTTTGAGTCGTTTTCTTTTCTCAGCATTCATATTTGGAGCAAGCTGAACATTCCAGGCTTGAGCTAACTATACTCAATTTTCATACTCTCATCCTCAACATATATGTTGAATGTCTATGTATGATAACAAGTTTGATATTTACTTGTAAAGACTGCAATCATACTCTTCTTTTATCTATGACTGCAATTTCTTCTTTACTGCAGCTTCTGACATCCCAAACGTTTTGCCTACACTTTCCCAAGCATCGTTTTTTTTTCTAATAATTTTATAAAAAGGGTCTTTAGTCTCCCATATTATAGGAAACTTTTCTATTTCATTTATGAATGATGAAATTACGTCATTTGACCATTCCATAATTTATTCAAAATTTTCAAACTGTACACAATAATTAAAAGTAAATATTATTAAAATTTTCAAACATTAAAATTAATAACATTATTATTAAATTTAAAAAAATTATTATTAAATTATTAAAATTATTAAAACAAAAATGTTCGTTTGCGTTCGTTGAGACGTCCACACTGCACATACGAGTTCAAACATGAACGAACAATTCCCTTTGATGTACCGACAAGTTGCGGAACATTGTTCGCCATGTTTGTTTATGTTCGTTCGTGATCGTCGTGGCGTCCACACTATGCTGTTGCCGTTCGTTCTGGTATGTTTGAGCGCAATCACTTATGGCTCGCTCCTTTGCGCGAATTCGTACGGCGAATCTGTTCGCAAAGTGCGCAAACAAAATTATTGCAAGCAAAAGCAAACCACGCGCACGTCAGACGCATGCGCAGACTGCATCACTTGTCAAATGCATGTTATATTATTTGCATCTTATATTAATTTAATTTTTGGCACATCTCAGCTGCTTTTCGGCATTAATAATGTAGACATTACATTTTCCTTATTCATAATTATGAATTTATTATATTCTAATATTGCCTTAGCCTATAAGTGAATAGAAATGTTTGGCAAATGACAGTCCTCAATTGTTTTTAATGTCAAACTAAGCTTCAAATATTTTCAAGGGCAAACAATGATAAGCGGTTTTTTGTAATTTTTTCTATTTATTTCTACAATTTAACTATATTTCTATGAATCAAAACATTCTAAAAAATTTCCCGAACAAACTTCAGGAAGATTCATGAAAATCCGAATTATAGTTTAGGAGGAAATATGAAACTTACATTGTTACAGAAGAATTTTATATATAAGATATATATATATATATATATTTTTGAATAGTCTTGAATTTGATGTTGATATATATGTTTAATTTGAGTTTAATATTCGGGCGTAACATCAATAAAAATAATATTAAATATATATAAATATTTATTTATATAAAATATTTTTATATATAAAAAATATATAAATATTTTTATTGATGTTACGCCCGAATATTAAACTCAAATTAAACATATATATATATATATATATATATATATATATATATATATATATATATATATATATATACTCTTACTACTTATATGACGTATCATATATTTATTATTCAAAATAAATTAAATGTTTCAAAAAAAAAAAAAATGGTAATTTTGTATTATTTGCAATTACGCTAAATATCATTTAAAATCTTATTAATATGCAGACTGAATTTTTGCTCAAAGTCTTTTCTGACAAGTATTTATATTTAGAACAGAAGTAATAATTTTTATTCAAAACTGATAATTGTTGGTCAGCCTGCCTCTGTATCCGTATACGTTATTTCTTTGAACTTGTACGTAAACGTTGATCTGTGCTACGGTATAAGTTCAATTGTACAGTGAAGGCATTGAGATATTTCATCTTATCCTCAATTTTGAAAATGGATATGCGTAGAGAAGATGTTATACTTCTTTACACTTCTTATAATTGAACTGTATCAAGAAAAAAAATATTATGAAATCCTAAAAATTTCAAATGTATCAAATTGCTCGCAGTGTGCGTCGCGCACAAGAGCCAACGCATGCGTGCGTCGCGAACAGGATTCGCCGCACGGATTCGTGCAGTGGGGACGCAGCATTATATGTTCGTTCGTGTTCGTTCGTTAGGTGTGGACGCACCTAAAGGTGCGCGTCCACACCTAACAAACGAACATGTCGAACAAGAAAATGCAAAGAAGAACGAACAGGAACACGAACGAACGCAAAAAATTCCAAACAAACGTCTCAAAGCAGTGAGGGCTTGAATCTTTTTGTTCGAGGATGTACCGTGAAACGTCAGATTTATTATTTAAAGTGGCGAGAAAGAGCAAAATTATTTAAAGTCACCTAAAAAGGAACGAACACGAACACGAACACGAACAAACGGAACGGTAATATGCCACACCATGCTTATTTATCTATGGTCCACACTGCACATACGAGTTCAAACATGAACGAATAATTTTCTTTGATATACCGACAAGTTGCGGCATTGCTTTAGACCTTTAGAGTTTAGCAACACCTTTAGAGTTCGTTCCATGTGAGCAAATAAGTTTAAAATTTATTTTTTTATTTTTTAATAATATTATGGCTTATACGTAGTAATATAACAACCTTATAACAATTATATAAAATGTTTGTAAAATAAATAATATGTAAAATTATTTTGAGAAAATATCAATATGCATGAAAGCATGAAAGCATTATTCTAATACAGTCTAATAAAGAATTGCAATACTTTTAATAATTTTTATTCTTTTCAAAAGATGAGCCTAAGCGTCATTTTAAGATAGTTTTTTTTCGTATATACATGATAACTGGAATTACCCATGCTTACCCCCAGACAATATATATAGCACACTTATAGTATATTATATATATATATATATATATATATATATATATATTTATTTATATATATATATATATATATATATATATATATATATGTATATGATTTAGTTGTTAATTTTGATCTTGAGATATATGAGTAAGTTCTTGTGGGGCGATACATCAAAGAATAAAAAGCAAAGATTTATAAATTAATCTCTAATTCCAAACGTTTCGACATTCAATTTAATGTCATCATCGGTGGATATTAACGTTGGTAGGTTACATCTAAAGAAGTGTACACAACACTAGAAATTAGCACTAACATTTATACATCTAACTTGTCAACACCATGAATTTTTTTATCATTTTTTGTAATGTAAAAAGAAAAATGATAGTTTTTTACTTAAGTTAGATGTATAAATGTTAGTGCTAATTTCTAGTGTTGTGTACACTTCTTTAGATGTAGTATACGACTGCAGCCGCATAGACCAAACTTTTATGGCATTCGACCGAATATACATGGCAAGCTTAATTGTTAAGATAATAACTTTAGATATTTTTTAATTCAATACTTTGTGTCACGTAAATCATAATAAATTTTAAACAACCTGATCATTCCACAAATCTATTAAAAATTTAATTATAAAGTGGTTTTCAATAATTATACATTTTCCATTTCTAAGGCTTTTTAATAAAACATATGTTTAGTCAATATATTTAATTCATACATAGAATGCAACTTATTGGTCAGTTTATATAATGATGAAAGTACATATGCATCCAGTATATAAAATAAATTTATCAAATTCGAGATAGACATGAAATTATTAAAACTATACAGATCGGGATAAAATGGGTAAAATAGAATGTTCTTAGTAACAGCATGTGTGTATGTATGAGTTTGTATATATACTTATATATTTGTATTTGATTTCAGAACAGTAAAACATAATAAAAAAACAAAGCTTTTTAAAGGTAGTATTTATTTGTAGCGATTCGGAACTGGCTTGGTTTCATCCATCATCATGCTTTCTCAAACTAGTTCCGAAACGACAAAAATAAATAAGACCATCAAAATTTTTTTTATTCTTACTGGATTTACTGATAAGAAAAAAACATATGTATTTATAAAAAATCCAATATGTTTCAAGTGTTATTAAATTATGATAAATGTATATAACTATAATATTATGGTAATAATATATTATTATCATAAAGAATCGAACTTATTCTAATAAATTCAACTTCTATCATAATCCAATAACATTTGCAACAAATTTTTCTCACTGTATACTATAATTGTTCCATATATACGAAGGGGATATATTATAATCAATAAACTATAATGTAGATATTTTATACACAATGGTAATGGCAAATATGATATTTTTATTTACTCTAGATAAATACTATTGTTTTCATATATTCTAATCTAATAAATATTTACATATAGTTTCATCACATATACAATCTATATTCTATACTTAATGTCTGGTAAAATCAATATAAATTTCAATTAACTAAATCACATTTACCTATTAAAGTTTTTAAGAATGCATAATATTACTGCCTTTTAAAATGTTTTAAAATAAATATATTCAAAATGATTATTTTACTACATATATAATAATTTATTAATAACATTAGATGTGATATAAATATAACAAAAATTAAAATATTAAAAGAATTGCACGCTAACCCATAAATACTTTTATATACGAATATATAACATAATTAATACCATAAAATTTATACCATATAATTTGCATATGATATGTTGATTAAGATATATTCATAATGAAGAATGTTTAGTAGTTGCATTTCGTAAAAATATTTAATACGAAATTTGAAAAAGTAGGCAAATGTGTAAATATTTGTGTATATATATATAATATATATATATATATATATATATATAAATATATATATATATATATATATATATATATTAGGGTGGTCCTTAAAATAGTCATTTTCGAATTTCCTTGCTCCCAGGGGCTCAAATGGTTCCAAATTGATAAAAAACAATTCTCTGAAAGTTTTAGCTCTTAATATTAACGTTTAGATAGAGCGCAATTCAATCAAAGTTTGTATGGAAAGAGCATGGAAAAATTTTTGAAAATTAAAAAAAAATGTTTTAAGTATAACTTAGCGACAAATGAATGTGTTTTATTCATTCATTTGTTCGCTAAATTACATTTAAAAAACATTTTTAAAATTTTTGAAATTTTTTTCATGCTATTTCCATACAAAACTTTGATTGAATTGCGCTCTATCTAAACGTTAATATTAAGAGCTAAAATTTTCAGAGAATTGTTTTTTATCTATTTGGAACCATTTGAGCCCCTGGGAGCAAGGAAATTCGAAAATGACCATTTTAAGGACCACCCTAATATATATGTATATATTATGGCGGGTCGATTCAAAGGTCACTTAGGCACATATGATTTTCGGATACTACAGATCAAAATAAGATATTTTGCCGAAGATACTATGTCTCTAAAATGAATTCTGATGTCCCGTGCTTTGACCCAAAGGGTTAAATTTTGAAAAACCTCCCAGTGGGGATTTTCAGGGCTTGAACCACGGGCATGAGTAAATTGGCCTTCCAACGTTAGTGGGAGTCGGTCATACATTTGGAGACAATTGGGGCATCCTAAATGGGTCAAAATGGCATTTTGCAAATGTTAACCCTTATCTTTGAGTCAATGCATGGAACATTCGAATTTATTTTATAGATATGGTTTCTTCGGCAAAGGATCTTATTTTGATCCCTAGTATCCAAAAATCATATGTGACTAAGTGACTTTTTTTGATCCATACAAATCGACCCGCTCTAGTAAGTATATATATATATGTAATATAATCCTTAAAATGGTCATTTTCGAATTTCCTTGCTCCCAGGGGCTCAAATGGTTTCAAATTGATAAAAAACATTTCTCTGAAAGTTTTAGCTCTTAATATTAACGTTTAGATAGAGCGCAATTCAATCAAAATTTTGTATGGAAATAGCATGGAAAAATTTTCAAAAATTTTAAAAATGTTTTTTAGATGTAATTTAGCGAACAAATGAATGAATAATACTCATTCATTTGTCGCTAAGTTATATCTAAAACATTTTTTTTTTAATTTTCAAAATTTTTTCCATGCTCTTTCCATACAAACTTTGATTGGATTGCGCTCTATCTAAACGTTAATATTAAGAGCTAAAATTTTCAGAGAATTGTTTTTTATCAATTTGGAACCATTTGAGCCCCTGGGAGCAAAGAAATTCGAAAATGAGCAGTTTAGGGACCACCCTAATATATATATATATATATATATATATATATACATATAATTAGGGCGGGTCGATTTGTACGGGTAAAAAAAAGTCGCATAGGCACATATGATTTTCGGATACTAGGGATCAAAATAAGATACTTTACCGAAGAAACCATATCTTTAAAATGAATTCTGATGTTTCTGATGATCTTATTTCGATTTCTAGTATCCAATAATCATATGTGCCGACTTTTAAATCGACCCGCTCTAAATATATATATATATATATATATATATATATATATATATATATATAGAATTTTATGATATATATATATATATATATATATATATTTATATTTATATATAAATATTGCAATTCTTAAACACTTCAAAAAAATCATTGATCAGAATTAAAAATTGTGCTAAAGTATGGCACTTCAAGACTTCAAGTTCTTGGAAAATATTGGCTTTTATTTAATTTGATTATATTTTAACAGCTGTTGAAATCATTATATAAAAATATATGTCACTCTATATATTTTTGTAGATCTTTATTGAAAAAGTAAATGTTTAGTATTATATATTTAGAACTAAAAATTTAATTCCAATCAATGATTCAAATCTTTTAATGTATACTACTTAAAGTTTTTGACTGATAAACCATAACACAACAACTACTATGACACCCAATATTGATAACCAAAATTATATCAATTTATTCTATTCATTTACTATAATACCTGATTTTAAACATTTAGCTAAGTCTTGTACACATATTTTGGAATTGTTGCTAATTATTGTGATAACCAGTATTGGATTTAGATATTGTGGGAGTGATCTCAAATTTGTAATTATTCTTAAAAAACAAAAATGTTTGAATGCAGTAAAAACAAAAGAAACTGCATTTAAAAAAAGTAATATTTTAAATAGCTTTATGAAAATGATTGAATTTCAAAAATACGTAAGTTGCATTATGATTTATGGATACACTATTTTATATACAAAATAATAACTTATAAACTTACTGTGATACCCATAAATAAAACTATAACAAAGCATTAATTTCTATCTATATATAAATATCATGAATAAATAAGCATTAGAATAAATATAGCAGAATAAAATATATCATCAAATAAAATTATTTATATTTTGAAATTGAAATATGAAGTAGATATAATTAAGAGTAAGAGTCAATTTTCTCACCGTTAATGCAATATACGTATTTTCAACTGTAAAAATAGAAACTAGCATAATAGATGTTTTAAAAAAATTACATTATTCATTTCTTTTGTATGCGCTTTTTGGTCTGTGTATGAGCATATATTCATGGTCTCCCTACTGGTAAATTTGCCACTAATGACAGTACTGATAATTAAATAATTAACTTGATTTATTTAATTTTCTGAGACTTTTTGAGCAATCCGTAGCAATTCTGACAGACGCGTACTGGTCTAAGAATCCGAAGACGCGATATCTCAGATTCAAATCGGCTGCATTTGCTGCAAAAAACCTGGCCGCAGTTACGACAGTGGTGTTTTCGTTCGTATATAGTGAACCTGATTAATTTAAATAAAAATTCGTTTATATAATTCGCAAATATATAACAATAAATTGAAACAACACGTTAAAATTGATTAAATAACTAATTATCAATCTTCAATTGATGACGCAAATATTTCTAGATTATTATTAAATAATATTCTTACTAAATTTCATAATCATATTACTGTTGTAAAATGCTTGCAACTAAGTTCAAAATATAAGAGAGACTTCACAACTCACTTTTACTTACTTTTTTATTATTTCTGCTTCACAAAGTTGGACAACTTTCCTATTGTAAACATTTGCTTAGCCAACTAAATAGTTCTATTTAATGATGTAATTTATAACTGTCAGGCAAAATATAGCCGCGGTACGACTTAGATTGTGGTGCGACTTGTGCAACCTTACCCTACTTGGTAAGTATGAAATAATATCTTCAACTCTTCATTATAAAAAAAGCCAATTGTTACAATGTTAGTTAATGTTATTGAAAAATGAGGCATATCGAGCATCGTAGTTGGCAAAAAAATGCCCAGACCAGATCTATAGCAAAAACTAATCAATAAGATTTATATATATATATATATATATATAATATATATATATATATATATATATATATATATATACATGTGCGCGTGTGCGTGCTTTAGATTTCAAAAAATTGAGCCTACAAAATTCAAAATACTTTTGCTATCAATGAAAATTTAAAAAAAAATTACTGTTAATTATATTATGTGCCGATGAAAATGTATGAAAATCATTTTTTAACTGAAATTAATTCTAAATTTTTTGAAAGTTTATACAATTGTTGAAAGCGATTCTTTTGCATACAATTTAATATAACCTCATTATATTATGTGCCGATGAAAATTTATGAAAATAATTTTTTTACAGAAATTAATTCTAAATTTTTTTTAAATTTATACAATTTTTGTAAGCAATTCTTTTGCATACGATTTAATATAATCGAATTATATTTTAAAAGTCGCGCAAGAAAAATTTTTAAATGTTACCTTATTTGACATCCATTACATGAATCTGCTCCTTCATCTTTGAGCCAATGATCTGCCATACCACGACCAGGCTGTTCTGCCACACTCCAAGAAAATATCCTGCCTCTAGCATCCCCCACATAGAGAGAGCGGTGATCTTTTGAAACTGACAATGCTGTCACACTGGCTGGTTCAGTATTATCTTTTCTATCGTAAGCTGTATGCATTGTTAATTTGCTTCTAAACACTAGTTGCCTTTGCCATTTAAATCCTAAAATAAATAATAAACCCATATTCAAAAATTGAGTGAAGGTACGGTTGTGCCAGAGTACAGTTGTGACAGTCATCATAACAGCTATATACTGATTTTGAGATAGGATCCCAAAAAGAAAGATGAAGTATGATTGTTTGAATGAGTTCCCATTATTGTTTTCAGTCCAGCCTTACATTAACATAATCAGTAGGCCGCATTGCTTTTATAGATTCCAAAGTAAGTTTTTACGTTCAAATTTCAAACATAGTGCAAAATCGATTGTGTTAACTATCATAATTCACAAACTTTGAAATTTAACTCAGTTCCCGGACTTAGCGTTTTGTGAAAGCTCACTTATTTTTCTTAAAATATTAATATATATTTTTGTGTATATTACATGAATTATAGCTGTAATTTAATAAAATCTAGTTAAAAGTATTTGGAATATTAAAAGACTGTTGGCAAAAATTAGCAATGAACCATGTAATAACATTTTAAAAGAATAATGTGTGACTTATAAAAGCACTAAAGAAATATCTTATTGTTGCGGATAGTATAGCTATACACACCCTCCCTCAGTATATTTTCCTGATTTTGAACTTTTGGTTTATCATTGTCTACTACAACAAATGAATCCGTGAGACTAGTATCTGATTTACTAGATCTCATTGTCGAGCCAGAGGTTGGTTCTGAGTCCAATGAGCGTGATGCTTCATTGTCTACACTATTTACATATTCTGTATCAGATCTACCTCCATCTAAAAGGAAGAAAAATTTATTAAAAACGTAATTATACATTTATTATAAACATATTATCATGTATAATAATTTTTAAAATTTTGTATAAGCATTTTCAATAAAAATTTGAAACATTTAAAACGTACATTCAGATTTTCTATACATTGGATTAGCACGAGATTTCCTTCTCATTACAACAGGGTCTGGTTGAATAATTTTCTCCCCTTCATCTGATTTTGTATGCGCTTCAATTAAATCATTTGACAAATTCTTTTCCAGTTTACTTGCTTCTTGCATCTGTGTTGCACTTTCATCATCACTGCATGTTTCTTTCTCTTCATGAAAAGTTTTAGCCTCTTTGCTTGTTGTATCAGTGCATAAATCTGATAAACTGCTTTCAGATCCGGATTTATTGATTGAATCACCTATAATTTATTTAAATATATACATATATATATATATATATATATATATATTTATATATAATTATATATATTCTTGAAATTCTCCATGTAAAACATTAAATAATAAATTACATAAATTATATATATATAAAACGTTATATATATATAAAACTTTGAAAAAACGAGTGTTTTTAACACAATATTAGTGATATGGATATATAAATTATTACAGGTAAATAATTTTTGCTTCTAAATTTTAAATAAAACCTTTTTTAGATACTTTTCTTTACTATTTACACTGGTACATATTCCATTCCTTTATCATTTTTCTAAATAATCTGTAATAACCATCATTAATTAATGTTAGTCCATAGTTTTATAAAACATTGTCTTTGACAGAATAAACCTGATGATGGAACGTATCTAGTTCCGAAACGTCGTTATTAAACATCTTCAAAAAAACAAATTGTTTTTTATTATTGGATTTACTGTTAGGAAAAGAAACAATCAATATATATATATATATATATATATATATATATATCTTGAGGATTTTTTGTTCGACTTTGAAACATATTGAAATGAATAAAACAGCCAATGTAGAGAATTTATTTTAATTTTTTATACGTTTCGAGACTAGATGTGTCTCATCATTCAGCAGATCAGGAAAAACTTTACTAACACATTTTACAACACCACAATTACATGATACTACTGTAGGAAAGCAAAAATAATTTAAGAAAAGACCGAAAAAGGGTAAATGTAAAATTGTATAAATGCTATGCTATCTGTTAAAAACAAATAATTATGTGTTTTATACAATTTTACATTTACCTTTTTCGGTCTTTTCTTAAATTATTTTTGCTTTCCTACAGTAGTATCATGTGATTGTGGTATTGTAAAATGTGTTAGTAAAGTTTTTTCCTGATCTGCTGAATGATGGGACACATCTAGTCTCGAAACATATAAAAAATTAAAATAAATTTTCTACATTTGACGCATTGGCTGTTTTATTCATTTCAATATATATATATATATATATATATATATATATATATATATATATATGTGTGTGTGTGTGTGTGTGTGTGTGTGTATGAAAGTCTGATGCTTGTTTTTACCAATTTTTATTTCAGTCTTTGTTTGGGATTCCAAAAAGTTATCCTTCAGAACGTCTTCATCATTTGGATCCACACATGGAACCTGTACATATTCCATAGACCACATCTATATAAAAATACATAGATTAACACATAACATCAATATGATTTTTAAAACTAACTAAACATATTTTTAATGCGATATATTAAAAATAAAATCATAATTGTAAAAAATTTATAATATTGTTCTTTATTTAGCATTTGCTCTCTTATAAAATACAGTGGCGCCCCGACTTACGAGCGACCTACCATACGAGTTGCTTTCACATATGAGCAAAATTCAAGATACGAGCTTTGACCAAGAAAGAATTTTCTCGTAAAGTGTTAATGGCAAAATAAAAATATGAAAAATTTTCTCAGTTGGAAATTTCATAGAAATATTTTGGCTGTTTAATGATAATAAATTATTTTATTGTTAGTCATTTCAATTATACTACTGTATAGAAATATGAGTAAGACTTTATTTAAAACTTTTGAAATCTTATCTATTCTTCTAAATCTAATTCATCCCCCTCAAAATAATCCCTCCCGGATGCAATGCTTGTGGCCGCCCGTTTTTGATGTGATTCGCCTTCAACGCGCTCTCAACTTTCTTTGAACAATGTATGCCAATCAAAAACACTTGCTCTTGACATTAACTTCTCATCAAAAACTTTCTGCAGCATAAAATTTCGAACACAAAATTCAATGCTTCTTCTTTGATAATAATTTTAGACATAAAAATCAAAGAAACAACTTTTTTGACTTTCCGTAGGGTGACTAATATGAATCGAAGATAAACGTTTCTATATATCTTTATGTTTTAAATCCTTCTGAACATTCCTACTGACAAGAAGGCATGCTGATTAGTTTTTGCTAGAGGCAGGTCCAGCCTTTCCAAAATACAGGTCAAAAAGTGCCAAAAATGGTAATTCAGTTTTTGAGAAAACGCAGCGTCCGATTTCAATAATTCAGAAAACATTTTATTTGTTTTCAAAAAATTTAAAGCTTTTTTAAAAAAAATAATTTTTGGTACTGAAAGTTCAGCAATTTGCCTTAAGGCACAATACCATTTACCGCTAGTTTACGTTTGCCAATAGCAAGAAACTATTAAAAAATATGAAGACGAGCTTAACACATCATAGATAAAGGGCATACCTCAAGATAAAGGCTTTACAATAATTTATAAGCAGTTTTCAAAGCTCTAAAAGTTTGTGGGTAAAACCACCCCAAAAAAATTGCAATAGTTAGACCATCAAAGTTGTTTAATGAAAAATGTCTAACTCATTTCCACAATATCATGAATGACAAAAAAAAACAATAAATAAATTAATAAATATTAAACTTATTTTTAATATCCAAAAATCTTAATAAAACCTACAGAAATAGAACGAATTAATAGTATTTCAATATATTTATAAGGAAAACAAGTGCTTTGAGATGCGAGCATGGTTACAAAACAAATTAAAATCGTATGTCAGGGTACCACTGCATATTTCAATATTTATCATCATACTCTAGCAACGCCATCAGTGGATCCTGTCATAATAACATTTGAAGCATCCCACTCATGTGTTTGTGAAAAGGCGACACATAGAATTTGTTGCATTCTATCAGCACGACCAACGCAAGTGTTCACGCAGGCCAATTCATCACCATTAATACTCCAGACATGCAACCAAGTGGCGGCACATGTCGCAATATCTCCCTGAAATTATTTAAATTAATAAAATTACAAAAGTTTCAAAATATATTTGCATGGAAACTAAATTCATGCATCAAACAGGAAAAAAATATATTAATCTCGCATTCATATGAACTACAGACTATTAAAAAAAATATCAAAATAGCAACCGTCTGAATAAAAAAATATTCTTTTTACAACTTTCTTTGATGTTCTCGTTTTCTTTAAAACAATAAAAATCGAAATTTGGGGATGAGCGTTCCCAAACAGCCCATACTGATGAGAAGTCCAGTAGTAATCTAAGTAAATCGGTCCAGTAGTAGTTGAAAAATAATCGGTATCGAATTGAAGTTTCGCATTTTAAGTTTCGCGTAACGAATATATTTTGGTATGTAAGTCCAAATCAAAAAGTTCAGAAACTCATTGTTAATTTGAGTTTCATCGAGTCAATAAGTGTTCTGATGATAAAATCTAGTAAGTTGTAACTGCCAAAACTTTACCTCACAGAGGAGATTATCATGCTATATATCCGAAATAATTTAAATTTTAAAAAATCATTAAAATACCCTCTTAACTTTTCATATTTTTGTTTTATTATTATTGCGACAATTATGATTTTTTGTTATTCACAGATAATTGCAGAATTTTTGATTTTTGATTTTTAAATGATTTATTTTGGGAATGAAAAATGATTATAAAAATATTAATTAGTTCATCTTGCCTAATTCATTAGTTTGAACCAATTAGTAAACAATATAAAATGCTTAAGAAATACTGCAGTGCTTATTGGTAAAAATAGAACAATGAAAAAAAATTAATTATAGATATTTGAACCCGACCATAAATTGCTCCTTAATGCCGAGCTAATATTATTCTTTACAAATTAAGTAAATTACAATATAAATATTTTACCGTAAGATTATTCACTGTAACTGCAGCAACTGGTCCCACATGACCAATTAGTTGACGGACAAAAATACCTCTGCACAAATCCCAAACAATAGCTGTAGCATCACGAGAACCAGAAACTATAACATTATATGCAGAACTTGAAGCTAAACATGTAACTGCATCAGTATGACCATATAAGCTCTGTTTAACACTCAATTGTTTGCGCCGTGATTCGTATTGCCAAACAGTCACAACCTTTTTGAAAATGAATTAATATCATTATATGATGATAATATTATTTTCAAATGATACACGTTAATAAAATAAAATTAGTTTTTCTGATGTAATAGAGAAAACCCACAAAAATAAAAACTTTGATATTCAAATATTATTCAATCTAGTTTTATAAAGCATTATGCTTTAAGGGTAATTGCTCCAACTTTCTGTTATATATACAAACATAAGATGAGGTAAATATATTTTTAAAAAAAGTGAATTTCCTGAATATTTTGAATTTTACATATTTTTTTTTTCAAAAACATAGTTTTTGTTTTTCACACAATCGAGGTACAAATTATCACTACATAAAGGTCAAAGTTCCTATAGACTAATCTATAAGTACTATAGCCTAGCTAGTTTTTATGGCCTTATATAATCCATTCATTTTTATTATTCATACATTTAGTTTTGTTTGTTTATCTTCCCAATAATAATGTTTAAAGAACTTTTTGGTTTTAATTGCTATGTTGGATTATGAGTTCAACATACTATATATTTATATAAATCATTTGTTTAATAGTTGTATGATGTATAGTAGACACAATTATTATTTATTTTATAGAGACATTTTTAGCGCTTACCGAACTGGTTCCGGCTGTAACAATTAATTTTGGCGATGGGCAAACACATGCCATAATTTCTCCACTGTTTTGAACTACAGATTCACAAACAAAAACTGCTTTATCATTTTCATAATGTCCAATCCTCAGGGAATGATCGGCAAACCCCCAAGCAACATATTTATTGTATGATGGTGGGATTAAAACTTTATTCTGTTCTACAGCCAGAACCGTCTTCTCAGGTTGGAGTATCTGACCTACTTCTCCTTTGACTTCTGAAATTTTATTATATTGTAATATCATAAAATAATAACTTGAAAACGCACTGATGTAATATCAATAGATAACAATATTCACAGTGGTTTAGAACAAAACATTTCACTATCATATCATTATTTTAACTAATCCTGCATTAAAATTCAAGCAATAATAATAATGTTTAAATTAAACATACCTTTAATAGGTTGAAGAGATGGCTTTAAATTATCTAAATTATGAAAGAATAATTTATCAGTTATAAGAGAAGGACTAAAAGTTGAATGCAGTGGCCCAGGATCTAATACTGAATTTCTGTTACTAGTCATCTTCTTGCATGGATGTGGTTTACGAAACAATTGCTTAGGAATTTGTCCAAAATTATTTATAAATCCTATAGTAGCATTCTTTTTCAGAGGATCATCAATACTGTAAGATATAAAATAAAATAAAAACATCAGAACACAAAATTGAGTACACATTCTGAATATACATGCATAAATATTTATATATATATATATATATATATATGTATATATATATATATATATATATATATATATATATTGTATGATTCTGAATTTGATGTTGACATATGTATTAACAAAGTCTAATAATCGGGCATAACATCAATAAAAAACATGAATTTCTTTCAAAAATTTATTTTAAATCCATACGTTTCGGCTAAAATCCTAGCCTTCATTCAGTGGAAACTAAAAATAAAATTAAAAACTAAAACAATTGAATTGGAGTGAAAAGAAAAAAATAAAATAGTAATTAGTACTTACAATTAGTTGATCTTAGTGTTAAATTGGAAAATTTTAATAATCCATGGTATTAGGATATGGTAATGCACTACACTATGTATTATAAACATTAACTTGAAATTACACAATATTTTCACAAAATACTGATTTGAAAAAATCACAAATGGATAGTGCGTTATTCGTAGACTGGTTGAAGATGTAATGGAGAAAAACATTTTTTAAAAAATATTTTTACCAAGATTCTGCACATGTGTGGAACGAATTGTAAATCCTTTGCGCGAACGCTTTTATTGTTTTGTAAGAAATTTGGAAATGTTATCTAAATAGAAGAGATTTGTGTCGCACAGCGTGTTGAGTTCATTCCGTTTATTTATTGTCTTATTGTTATAAATAGTTAAAAAAGATCCCTCTATAATTCTTCGTTTAAATAAATTTTGTTCAAATTGTAGTACAGTCGGATTAGAAAAGTCCATATTGTGTTTTAAAGTGTATATATGGTCTGCAAGAACAGTTTTGAATTGTTTGGGTTTTTTTGAATTGTTTTTATGTTGTTGTAACCGTTTATTGAGGTTCTGGCTAGTTTCTCCTATGTAAATTAAATTACAGTCTAAACAATTTATTTGATAGACGAGATTTCTGAGTCGTTCAATATTAAATGGGGTTTTTGTCTTGGTAAAAACAGTGCTAGTAGTTGTACTAAAATTGGTTACAAGTCGAAGTCCAGATTCATAAAAAAGTTTTTTCCAAGGAACATACAATTCTTTAATGTATGGCAAACATATTACACCAGAATGAGTTTCTGAGTCAGGTAAATCGTTATGTACTGTGCAATTGTCCATTTTATTCAAAAGGTACGTTCGTCTGTTACTAGTTACGGAATTTATAAGTTTTAGGGGATAAGAGTTATCTGTTAAAATTTTTGTAATTAATTTGATGTTGTTGTCCCAAAATGTTTTGTCCGATAGAAGTATTGCGTGGTCCGTTAGATTTATTATAGTACCTATTTTCATTTTGAGTGGATGATAAGAAAAGTGATTAAGGGATCGTCCGGAGTTAGTTGGTTTTTGGTACCAGTTTGTTATTAGTTTGTTATCTGTAGTACGTATAAGTTTTATGTCTAAGAAACTTATCGAGTTCATTGTCTCCAATTCCACTGTAAATTTTAATTTTTTATTGACGTTATTAAATTGATCAATTATCATAGTGACATCATCACTAGGGATACAAGTGATAATGTCATCTACATAACGGTAATAAAAAATATGTTTATTGTAATTTTTAAAAATTGTATTTTCAAGGAGTTGTAAGGATATTTCTGCTAGAGATGGACTTGCTGGGGACCCCATTGGCGCCCCAAAAATTTGATAATAGAAAGAGCCATTGAATTCAAAATAAGTGTTAGAGACAATGAACTTGACGGTTTCCCTGAACCAGTGTAAAGATAAAGAAGTCAACGGGAAAATTTCATTCCATCGGATTGTTATTGCGTCTAAAATAAGGTCTAGGGGTACATTAGTAAAAAGTGAGACTATATATATATATATATATATATATATATATATATATATATATAAAAATAGTTTTTCTGTTCACTACACTTATTTTGTATTAACTGATTTTGGTATAAATGTTATAATCGTTTCAACAAAATGAGTGAAAAATATCAAAGTGACATTAAATTTAGAGCAGAAAAGCATTTCTAAAACGTAAAAAAGTTGAATAATAAATATGTATCACAAAAAATAATTAAAAAAAAGTACGTAATTTGCTTTCATGAAGAAACATTTCTTTACATTCCCAAAAAGTTTAACTATTTCTAATTAATATACTTATTTCTTCACTTACTTATATATATCAACATTGCCTTCATAAAACAAATGATGAAACACATTAACAGCATCTACAGCTGCTTGCCCTTGTTGCTTATGTCCAAATATCAGATCAATCCATAAATGTAAATTCTGACTAACATAATTGCACTCCAAGGCTAAGCGATGCATTCTTATAAATTCTCGAGGGTCTTGTTTGGCCCACGGTGGTAAAACTATATCACCTAATGACACTCCACTCTGTTTAGAACCTAAAATTGTAAACACATACTTGTAACTAGCCACTTCAAGGGTTTAACATAACATATTAGTAAACAAAAAATATACTATTAAGAGCTTTTATTCGACAAAGTAAAAATATTTTAAAATAATTAAATAAACATTGCATTTAAATTTTTCATGATTATACAAATATATATATATATATATATATATATATATATATACAGTGAAAGATCTTTATTCTCTTTATTCCAAAACCTTCAGTTCTTTTATCAAATACTTTAATTTTCAAGAAAATATACATTGGAAAGTTTTTTTAAAAAACAATCCTAATATCTTAGCAACAAGAGCTGATAAAAGCAATGTCACAGTTATTGTAGATAGACACACAGATCTGGAGAAAGGTTCAAACTTAGTATATGATCCTAATACTTACATTCCAATTATATCCGACCCGACGGAACGCATAAACCGTTTCTTCCACAAGCTAATTAACAATTTAGTGACAAATAAGCAAATTACGAAAGTTCTTTCATTCTCTTTAAATTGAATCCCTACAATACCAAATTGTATGACCTCCTTAAAATCTATATACAAGACCTTGTGTTCAGACCCATAAACCATAATATTCTATAACAGCTAGATGGAACGAAATTTTCTGTCACGTAACACTTTCTTTACCTAGGATTTTGGAATCCGTCAAAGTCATAATTTCGAACACTTACTCTGAATTAAATGACCAATTTTATCTTCAAATTTTTGGCACCCTATGGGTTCTTCCATTTCCCCCTGGCCGAATTGTTACAAAACCTAGAAACTAGAATTTTTAATTCTATCAACATAGATGCTAACTTCTATTACAGATATGTAGCTGACATTATTACTTGTATCTCTACTCAAAATTATGATTTATTACTATATACTTTCAATTCATTTAACAATAATTTAAAACTTAGTTTTGAAAAACAACTAGATAATTCTACTAGTTTCTTAGATGACAAAATCATTAAAATCGCAGATAATCTCATTCTCACTAATTGTTACCAAAAACCTACTTGATGAGGTAATTATTTAAATAAAAACAGGAACTAATCATTAATCTAGATACCCATGCTATCCTCCTTTCGGACGAACAATTTTGCTCCTCCAATTTAATTTATTCATTAAAATCCTCATCTGCAACTCCTATCCTCCACATCTAATAAAATCCGTTATTAACTTCTCGAATGGGGAAAGGTTCGTTTTCGCGACAAAATCCGATTTGCTAACTTTATGTTTTCAAGTCATTCTGAATCTATTGAGACCAATTTTGGAAAAAGTATTTTGTGTATGTGTATATGGCTGTGTGCATGACCAATTTTGGAAAAAGTATTTTTGTGTGTGTGTATGACCAATTTTGGAAAAATTATTTTTGAGTGTGTATGTGAGCCGATTTATGACCTTTCGTTGACGTTTACTCAAAAACAGCTAAACCGGTTTCAAAAATTTAAATAACAACTCGATGATGACTAGCGATTTTCAATTCTGTGCGCTGATCAGTAGCTGTTTCTTTGTAATTACTAAAAAAGTGTAAAGTCTTTCGTCCACGTCTTAGCCCACAATTCTGAATCGATTTTAAAAATTCAGAAACCGTTCGAAAGATATTGATTGGGAATCGTGCGGATTAGTTTTTGGTAAAGATCGGCCGGATTTTTTACGGTCTTACAGACAAGTCGTTTAATTTAAAAAAAAAAATCATTAAAGTTTAAAAAATTTAGTAGTTTTTATTGGCGTTTGTCAAAATTAGACCTTTCATCGAAAAATTCGTACGCGTTTTAGCCAAAAATTCTGAATCGATTTTAAAAATTCAAAAACAATTCTGGACAAATATTGGCTGAGCCGTTTCTTAGTAATTAACTGTTAAAAAAAAAATTCATTGAATCATTTTATATTGATAGATGATACGAATACATATACTAAAATATTACGGTCCTACGACAAGTCGTTTGCTTTTAAAAATTCATGTTTCTAACGAATATACTAAATATTACGGTCCTACGACAATTCGTTTACTTTTAAAAATTCATCAAAATTTGAAAAAATATGTTTGCCAAAATTTGTATCAAAAGTCGCTTCTGTGATGTAATATGTCAAAATTTGAACAAATTTAAAAACCATTGGAATAAATTCGATAAGAAAGGGCCGTTTCATAAAATTGAACATGACAATAAAGTTCATGCTCCTGCATATCCTACGAAATTGGTTGAATTATATAAATTCATTAAAATTTGGAATAATAAGCTACAAGGACACACAAGCACGTGTTCGTGCACTATAATTAATATAATTACAGATATTATAAATGTGTTTGAGAGATATATAAATTGGAAATTGTAATGTTTAGATTTAAGTGAAACAACACAGTAGAAAATTTTATCTAAATCTCAATTTCGGTTGATTAAGTTAATTATTTTTCCTTAGCAAAATGCCACTTTCAACTAATTAATACGATTTGAAAGCTTCTATATTAAGGTTTGTGTATAACAAATTTTAATCAATTATACGCAGTAGTTTTGGGGTGGTGCCACTTTAAATACATAAATAATGAAGCAGCATTTTCGACATGGTTTACTTGTTTGCTATAAAAAAGGTAAAAATGATGCTTGAGTTAAAATGAAATAAATTGACTAATGTGGATAGAAATGACCCGTTGATAGTACGACAGCTCTAAAAATGGTTAGCCTAATTTCATTCCGGGTATTTTAATGTCAAAGACGCACCAAGGTTAAGACGCGAGAAATGGCGAATAACAATACCTAAAATCTGAGTGAGTTTAAATTTATCAAATTCAACAGTTTATGATTACTTAAAAAGTCAGGAATTACCCTTGAAGCTCAATGTATGTTTTGGACCGGCCGTGGTCCCGTGGTGAGAACGTGGGCTTTCAAATCCTATTCCCCGGTTCGAATCCACCTCGCTCAGTTCGGTACCAAAGCAGCTTCATACCAAATTTTCATTTGAAATCTTGGATTTCAAATAGGATAACGGAAAATGGCATTTCGTGGGCATAAAAGCCCACATAGCTCTAGCGGTAACATGTCCCTTGGAAGTAAAGGGGTAATCAGATATCGCTCGAAAATGAGAAGGAAGTCGAATTTTACCCCTAAACTGTATATAGAAAAATATAAGGACTCTGACTTTGTGCGTCCATGATTGAGTGCAGTTTAACTCAACACACAGATCTGCCTTTGGAAGAAATATCCATTAAGAAACTTTTTAAAAAATATGTAATAAACAGTAAAAATATGTAAGAAAAATTAAAAAATAAGAAGTAGTGAAGTTTTAAAAAAATATCTATATGTAATGTAATTAAATGTCTGACTATAAAAATTTCTTCAAGAAATTAAAAAAACTGTTCGAAGTGATCAACCCATAGACCACCCCATTGAGCTTTTTCATTAACTTTGAAAAATCTTAATCGAAATTCATTCAAAAATGTTCACTGAAAGAAATCGAGATGATAAATGATGTAATTGATATCATTTTTCGTACGAAATTGAGGCTTGTGGTAAGATACAAAATTTAGGGCTTTATGTACTTTTTATATAAGCATTGAAAAAAAATGACTCAAAAAATATAAGAAAAGTCTTCTTGGTTCTTCAACTGGTTTCAATTAGAATATGCGAAAACCTGTCCGGCCAACCCAACATACCCAATATTTTCTCAAATTTTCATGGCGATTGGATGTATGGTTTATGAATGCATAACTATTACACCCACAGCCATATTTATATATATATATATATATATATATATATATATATATATAATCAGAAAAAAATAAGTGTGCTAGATTAAAATCAAATCAAATACCTAAATCAAATTGATTTGAGTTGCATAAAAATTCTGGCAAATAGAAAAATTCTGGTATCAGTTCTTTGACATCAGCCATATTGTTTTTAGAGGCAGACAACCAGGCTTCTTTCATGCTGTGAAACATTCGATCTGCCAGATCGAAATGTCCGCCCTGTAGGCGCAAAAAGTGTTGCGTGAAAGGCTCCATTCGAACTAAGTACGAACACACAATCATAGCGCTACTGTAATGTGTGCCGTAGTGATAAGGAGGAGTCTCGCCGTGAGGATCATCCCATTCCTGAAACAAAAAATGATTTTATTATTTATGAAAATATCTAATTCCAATTTGAAAGACATTTTCCCACAGAAAAAGCTCACCAAACTTTACAAACTTTATTTTTAACTTCCCATAGGATAAATTAGCAATCGTCCAAAAGTCGAGAATGAAAATTTTTGCATATCTTCACGTTCTAGAGGTTTCTGAACACTTTGGCATACCTTAGAAAAAATTGATGTATGTGTGTATGTGTTACGTGAATACAATTTTTCGTTCAAGATTTCGGGCTTACGGATCAACCGATTTGAATTATTCAAAAAACAATAGATTCTTATTGATAGGGTGCCGATTAGTTTTTGACAAAGACAGGTCTGGCCGTTTCGGAGCAAAAACGGTATACCGGTATATCCAATTAGATCGATTAAAAATACATTCAATTCGTAATCACGATAAGATGTGCTGATTAGATTTTTGCAAAAGCAGGTCCAGCTGTTTCAAAGATATGAAGCAAAAAGTCAAAAAATAGCAGTTATTGAAAGAACGGATCATCTGATTAGAATGATCCAAAAAACATTTTGCTTGTGTTGATAGTGAGAAGCAATGATTAATTTTTGGGAAAGGCAAACAAAAACCCCTTTTAATATCGAACGACTTAGAAATCTCGTCTACCAAATTAATTGTCTAGATTGTAATTTAATTTACATAGGAAAAACAAGCCAGAACTTAATGAAACGTTTACAACAACATAAAAATAATTGAAAAAATCCGAAGCAATTTAAAACTATGATAGCAGAGCATATTTATACTTTAAAACACAATATGGACTTTTCTAACCCGACTGTACTACAATTCAAACAAAATTTATTCAAACAAAGAATTATAGAAGGATCTTTTTTAACTATTTTCAGCAATAAAACAATAAATAAACGGAATGAACTTAACACGTTGTGCGACACAAATCTTTTTTATTTAGATAGTGTTTCCAAATTTCTCACAAAACAATAAAAAAATTCGCAATTCGTTCCACACATGAGTAGAATCTTGGTAAAAAATATTTTTTAAAAAAGTCCTTTCTCCATTATACCTTCAACCAGTCTACGAACAACACATTATCTAATTGTGATTTTTTAAATTAGTATTTTGTGAAAATATTGTGTAATGCATTACCATATCCTGATACCATGGATTATTAAAATTTTCCACTAAGATTAACTAATTGTAAGCACTTTTACTATTTTATTTTTTCTTTTCACTCCAATTCAGTTGTTTTAGTTTTTAATTTTATTTTTAGTTTCTACTGAATGAAGGCTAGGATCATAGCCGAAACGTATAGATTTAAAATAAATTTTTGAAAGAAATTCATTTTTTTATTGATGTTATGTCCGATTACTGGACTTATATTATATATTATATTACTGGACTTATATAATAATTTATATTATAATAATATATTAATTATATATATATATATATTATAATTATTTATATTATAATAATATATTAATTATATATATATATATATATATATATATATTATTTATATTATAATAATATATATATATATATATATATATATATATATATAATACTTCATTAAACATATTCACAATATGAACATAAATAAATAATAATAATTTAAAAGATATTGTAATAAATTTTATCAAATAAGGTGTTCATGCAATATGTTAATAAATAAAATACCACATACACGTAACTTTGCCTTGTAATTTAACTAAATTGTAAATATTAAATAAGAAATGCATACAAATAAAATGTAAGCATATAATAATATAAAACTAACTAACCTTATATCTTTTCTTAAACTGCTCCAATCGATCGAAACTTTGGGCACCCATGGGTTTGGAGAAATCACGAAATGTATTTGGATTTGTTAAATCCAATTCCTCAGAATCATAATCGGCCAAAATCCATGGAAATACAGGATATTGCATAAGATCATTATAGGAACGTCCAGCTAATGTATTTAAATGCATTAAATATTGGAAATTTGATATCTCTCCTCTCTGAAAAAAAACCATATATTTAAATTTCAAATAAGAATAGATTAAATTGTTTTATTGGAATCTAAAAGCTAATGTATTTAAATGTCCGATTACTGGCCTAAAAATATGAAGGCCTAAAAATAGTTTGTCAATAAATATTCAAGTAAAGCAAATTATTTCAATTAATTCAATTATTCAGATTTGGCACAAAATGTCATATATCTATACAGTTTTAAATTTATTTGTTGCAGCTAAACAAATTAATGACAACAATTAATTGATAATTGATGGTATTCATCAAATGTGTCCATAGTAGTTTGAAATTTAATTATATTTTTGTTAGAAATAAAGCAAATAAATAAAAAATAATCACTACAACAAGAATAGTTTAAAATTGTATATAGCCATATATTTAAAGAGTTGTAAAAAAAACAACTTAAAAAAAATATGATTGCGTTATAAAAATTTTTTTGGACAATTATCAACTTAGATGATATATAATAATTGACTGGTCCAACTTATCTTGTATTAGTTATTTAGTTTCCATGAATTTACAGGTTTTAACACAAAATCATTACAAACTCGACAATATTATTTGAAAATTCATTTAAAAATGAGGAAATGCGGTTAAGCTGTTTAGCACTCAGTATTAAAAAAACTTGATTAAATCGGTTCATTAGAGCCGATAAATTTTAATTATTCTTATTAATTACCACCCATCGTTGCGTGACCGAGGTCTCCCCAATCAGATTACTAAGCAACCCCGCCGCTTGTTCTACATTGGCCGTTCTTTTTTGACCAGCCACAGATTGTTGGGCACAATCAGATATCTCCGTAGCAGTTACCATGAATCTCTGATACACTTTGTTCCTGACTTTTCGTGGAAATGCCAACAAATAGTTCCTACCGTCACCAGAAAATACTTCTAATGCCATAGGTTGAAGCAAATAACGTCTTTTATGAACCTCTCTATAAATAATGTTTGAAAATATTCAATTACCAATATAGATCAGCTCTGTAACACTATAATGATTTTTATTTGATTTTGTAAATAAAAGCAATACTTGATTTAATCAAATAATGCAATATTGAAAATTAATGTCAAAAATATTTTCATTTAACTAAAAATTGATAAATATAAACATAATAATAAATTTAATTTATGTATTACTTCTTGTTGAAAGTTAAGATCTTCTGTTCTTGCTTATTGCTACCATAAAATTGATTAATAAGAGTTGTGACAAAACTACAGATATCAAATATCAGAAATCAAACAAATATATATATTTTCTATGATTATTACTAGGCTTGCAATAAATAGTATATTCGCCAAAATACCGAATACCAAATATTCGGCATACTCCAGAGACCGAATTCCGAATATTCGGCAACTAGGTTTATACCATTTATACAATTCGACCGAATGCCGAATACTTTAACAACATATGTGACTGGGAAACAAATGAAAAAAAAATAGGGTCAAGAAAAAAGTTCGAAGATTTTTTCCCGATAGACTTTTCTACTTTCTTTTACTATTAGGTATTGAACCGAAAAGTAAGTTGCTATTCGGTATCCAAATATTCGGTGCAAAGCCTAATTATTACCCTTTACAATCAAACAACAGTGTCATGTTGGAAATTCATACGTTTTTTAATTTATCTTAAATGTATTTTTATGATAAAACATGAAAAACAAGATATATTCCAAATATGTGTATAACATTATTTTTAGATCAATATCATCTGTAAAATAATAACTTTAAAACCTACAACCAGCTCGAGAGTTATGTAAGGTTCCAGTAAAAATTATTAATATTCAAGGCATCACTATATCACATAAAATATTAGACAAAATAAACTACATAATGTTGGAAATATAGTTCTCACCTTATGTCGTCATATGAAAATTTGGAGCATTGCCGTATTGTTGAGGTAGATGTTTTAGAAGTATTTGGATTTGGAAGTATCGGTTCATATACATCAGCAGATAAACCATCGATATCTCTTATTTCTCTATTTTTAAGTAAGGTAAATCCATCAATAACATAACAGTGCTCTTTGCCAAATAAAAGTAAGCCTTCGACGGTATCCAAACCTTGAATACGCGCGCATCGGAACATATAACTGACCTGCATAAAATATAAAATTGTATATATTAATAAGTAAATAAATGATAGTAGTATTATATATCCTTCCAAAAGAAGCAAATTGTCAATTTTAGTAAATCTACAACATAAAACTAAAATAAATATTTATAACAGATTATAAAAATTAATAACATAGTGTTTACAATTTTTCTTAGGTTTTAACTAAAGGTGGTATTCTAGAGGTATGAAGTTTTGAAAGGCGTACTATATTTTTTTCCAAGGTATTAATGAATTTTCAGAGAATATAAAAAAATAAAAGGTAATAATATGTATATATATATATATATATATATATATATGTATATATATATGTATATATATATATATATATATATATATATATATCTAAATAAAATGTAGCACAAGCCCTTGTTTAATAATATTAAGATTTCAAAATATTTATAACCCATTTAAAAATGTAGCATTTCTATTTATACCTTTTCATCATATTCCAATAACCTTAATAAAGTTTGATTATCAGGAATGGGAACTTGTTCTTCTTCTTCTGTATCTTCAGCATCTTCATTGGGTTCTGATTGATGCCTAGTCAAGGCCATTGGATTCATATGTTGATTATCATTCGAGTTATTGTTTTCATGACATAGGGCAATAGCATTGCCAGTAGAATTTGAATTTAATATACCACTGTCAGCATTTAATTCAATACTGGTTGATTTCTCTGGCTCAAAAAGACTATGATGATATTTTTGATATTGCAGAAAGTATTTCTTGCTGTCTAAGCTGGTAGCAACTTTGTATTTTAATTGTCGCTGTAAATTGTAAGCAATATGGCATCTGACAATTGAAAAAAATATTTAATATGCGATGAAATGCATGTAATTTTCTAATCAATTTCAATAACATACTTTTAGTGCAGTATATGTAAAATACTTACAATAAATATAATGATTGCAATATAATTCATTGCTAGTTCTGCAATGATCACTCAATTATGGATAAATAAATCAATTTTAAACAAAAAAATATTTTTATTTAAAATATGTATTATTGGCAAACTAGTAAAATTAATTCAAATTCACTTACATTATCAGGCAATTCCAATTCGGGGCGATAAGGATAATGGATATAAAACATATCATTTCTCATCATTTTTTTTCGCATTCTACAAGGTCCTTCAGTCATGTCCAACATCCATTTACTAAAGGGAGGCGGTAAAGTGGGACCCCAAAGACCGCGTTCTCTAGTTAATTCAATTTCAGTCTGCTGCCATTCCTGATGCACGTAACGTTGAGTATGCGAATTTGTGTGCACATGTTGAGCACGACGCATTTCAATCAGATCCCTTAAAAGTATATAAAAATATTACGCTCATGCATATAATTCTGAAAATATTAAATATACTAATATCTGTGCCTCGTGCACAGTACAAGACGAATGAAACGTGCATTTGACTGCAAATTGGGCAGTCCCTGGTTCAAAACCGGGTATCACTCATCAAGACTACATGAAAAATATGTGCAAAAAAGAATGAATTTATTACCAAATTTCAAACCCCCGGTGTTCTCTATTAAAACTATTAGAATAATAAGTGAAAATATAAATTTATTTAAAAAGTTTAACATATGGTGCTGCCATTTGCTATTTATTTAAAGGCAGATCACATGAAGATATAGCTCGGTGATAGAGCATTCGACTGCAGATCGAGAGGTCACATGTGCTCTGATATTGCTGCTTAAATAATATGTGGAAGTATAAATTTGTTTAAAATTTCTAACATTTTGCTGAGAAACATGATATGGTTTCGCTATTTGCTTGAGTAATGGTCTCATGGGGATATAGCTCAGGGGTACGGCATTAAACTCTAGATCGCAGATCCCCGGTTCAAACCCAGGTGCTTAACATTCCTTGAATAATATATAGAAAAAAATGTATAAAATATTTACAAATTTTTTAATTTTGAACAGAAATAATGTTATATATTATTGCTATTCAGTATTTAGTAAAAATTATTATTGTTACTTCTAAAGTTTATTTTCAAAAAATTAACTGTAAAAGATATGTCGAATATGTGACCGTCACTTGACATACATGAATTAAACATAATAGTTATCATTACCTAACTAGTCCTATATGACTTAGTGTCCATGCCATCACTTGGCTCTGTGAAATTTTTACACGAACTTTTGTTGTTTCTTCTTTTTTCACTTTAGTTCTGCTAGCAAGTCTTGTCAGCCCTCCAGTTACTTTTTGTATTTTAGATTGTAAGTGATTATGTAATTCCCAAGGAACTCTGAATAATTTAAAAACATTCTAATAGTCAGAGTTAGATCAAAAAAATGTTTGATATACTACCTGTATGTAGCTTTGCGTTCAGCATCTATATAGTTCAACCATAATTTAACTGCAGATTCAAAAACCTGGTCTCGTACAGCTACTAAATCTGGTGCTCTTGAATTGCCAACTGGTTGAGGTAAAGACGCCTTAAAAAATGCATTTATCAAAGCATATGAAATAATAATTGAAACAAATATCTAAATATAATTCTAATACACACTCTTGTAAAAATTTTATTACTTTTAGCTGTTTATTTATAAACAATTTGCAAATAAACCAAACAAAATTCTTGATTAAAAGGTGTACATAGACAATCACCTTGAACACTTCTTCTATAGCAGGTTTTTTGCATACATATAATTCTTCCCAAACCCTCAAAGCTGCACCAGCCATTAAATTTCTACCCTGATGCTGATTCAAACGATCATCTCTACACTCCAGTTCACTAGTAGGATTCACATGCCATGTCGTACGCATGGCAGTATCTAGCATTATTCTCATATCTGCTGTCAGCTGAAGTAAACAATAAGTCAAACATCCTATAAAATCTAATTCATGATTGCCTGCTCCAAAAATCAAAAGCCTATGAGTTGTTAGTTTATGCAATGCCTCCAATACTGACATTTGATCAGCCACTGAATCAGTAGCTCTGGACAATAAATATAGAATTATTCGGTTTAAACAATGATACAATCCTTCAATATTAAATGTATTAGATCTCTTTTTGCTTTGCATAATTAATTTTACTACAAAGTCAAATACTTCATGAGGGTCCTTCGTTAAGTTTCCTTGCCACATTTTATCTACTATTCTTGCTGTGAGATAAAACACATTAGGAGCTACATTTTGAGAACTGGATTGAGCCAAAGGAATTATTGGCAATGTAGACTGTTCGCCCACAAACATTTCGGCGGTCAGTAGATGTTCCATGACTGTTGATAAAACTTCACTTTGATAAGTAGTTTGTTGCGATGAGGATGAATGATCAGGTGATGCGTCTAACACTAAGTCGATAACCTAACAAATAATTAAATTCAGTTAAGAAATTTATTACAATGTAAAACAAAGAATAAAGTATAAACTACTAGAATTTCAATCATATATCGGTCTATGCATTTTTCAAAAATTACATCTAATTTGTCTTATTGTCTGAAATAAAGTACTCTGCTAATATATGTTAAATCTGAATAACTTTGTAGAAGAATAATATAAAAAATTACAATATTTACATCTCTCCCAAAAATTTGAAAAATAACACATTGAGTTCAATACTTATACATTAATATCAAGCAATAAATCAGTTATCAACTCACAGGTGCTGATTTTCCTGTAACTGTCAATGTCAAAGAATCAACAATAATCACTCTAAAAAAATCCATTACAAATTTTCTGACAGGATGTTCAGTTAATGGTTGCGATTTTTCTGTTATCTGCACATGAATCGGCCCATCTGAATTTGCAGACTCCTCATGAGGGGTTGAAGCACCAGAACTCCTTTCACTATTTGAATTTGACAATGGCATGGGAAATAAAATCGAAGCCATCACATTTATTACCTCAACAGACATTATGATCAACATAAAATCTGGGAGATTGTGGTATAAAGAAAATAAAACCTGTGGAATAATAAATAATTAATATATATATACATATATATGTGTGAGGTGGGGGTATGTGTGTAAAACCCTGAATTTGATGGTGAGCGGTAGAACTTATGTTGTTTTATGTCATATCCTCATAACATGGGTTATTGGTAATTGTACAGTTATTATCAGAATCAAAAAATTTTGATTAAAGGCTCATGCTATTGCCGAAACTTATGTTTTTATATTAAATTTTTAAGAGAAATTCATGGTTTTTATTGTTGTGTGTTCTATTACTACACTTTGTTATTTTATGTTCATAAAAATATATGTAGATAAACACAGATTGATAATATTATAAATGTTTACATACTATATTTACACTAAATGATATTGTTTTCTGGATGGCAAAATGCAAGTGAATATATACTGGTTTTATACCTGGTCCTTAGCATTGCGGACATATTCTATTGGTTGTGATACCATTGATTGCCATTATATATATACTGGGTGTCCCAGACCTTGACGTCAAGCCAAAACAGGGTAATAGTATTGGCCTTAACAGTCCTGAAAATAATTAGAAAAAAAATAACTCAAGTTATTTGGAAATTATAAGCTTTTAAGTGCAACCTGTAGCTTTGGTGAAATTATGATCATTTTTCAGTTATTGTGGTTAATTTTTACTAATTTTGTTTGTTTAAACTTTGGAACTGTAACAGTGATCAACATTTCTAGTACCACAATCAAAAACGCGCATTTAATCGGAATTGTAAAATGTCAAAATACTCAATATTTTATTATATAGAGTAAAAAAATAAAAATTATTAAATGACATAATTTTTACTAGTACATTTTACTGCAGCTCATAATTTCCAAACCACATGAGATATTTTTTGTTTTTTGAATTTTTTTTCAGGGCTATCAGCCCATTTCGGCTTGACGTTCAGGTTGGGGCACCAATGCACCTACTATGATTTGCTTTTTTACCTGAATAATTGCAACTGGATAATCAAGAAGCCATTCAGGAATAGAATTTGGTTCACTATGTACAACACTTTTAACCATTACCAGAAGGCAAACCGTTGCTTCAAGTGATATGTTCACCTTTGAGGCTACTGAACTCACAGGTTGTGTAGACAATGATAAGCCCCATAAAAATTCCCACAGGGTACTCAAAGTAAACTTTGTATCAGCTGGTAAATGTTTAATTGGTTGTCCAAGCATTAATGCAGTAAGTAAGAAATATAAACTAGACACTTCTAAATGATGGGGCAAGAGCCTGAAAAATAAATTTATTATAAATATAGTCACACAAACAATAACAGTGTATAAAATCTTTACCAACAAAGATGTTGAAAGCCTGGCACATGAAATGCATCAAACTTGACATCTCGATGATCAGTTATCATTTGATTTACTTTGCTCCCTAATACCACAGAAGTTTTGCTTTGTGCAACTAATTCAGTGTACCGCAACCACCCACCATTGCTGACTCCATCCCTAAATCTATGAACACAATAAAAATGATATATTAATTTATAATATAAATATAATAATATATAGTCATCTATGTAAAACCTTAATTAAATAAAATCAAACCTGTGAACTAATGATGCATTTGAACATAACACCAATAAGATTCTTAGACCACAAACAACAGTTGAGGAATGCAAGTTTGGTTGAAGCATTAGTAATATCCAATCAAAACCCAAAACCCGGGCAATTTCTTCGCATAAAAGATGATTTACAGTATTTCTAATAGTAAATAATAAAGAATGTAGAATCTAAAATTAGAATTCAAATCTTGAGTTCAAATGCTCGTGTACACAAAGCCTTAAACGAATAAAACAAACCTGTAAACATTTATTTCTTAATACAATATTTTCTTCTTCAATTTCGTTTTCATTATCTCTCTTTTCAGTTACTTGTAATTGACAAGGTAGCATGGAAGCAATAAACTGTCCAAAAATTAATAAATCACTTGCTTTAGGCTGACCACTAAGTAAAACTGATAATAACGAAAACAATACTTGTCGAGTTGATGCAACTTGCACATCGCCCATTATGTGAAGTAATTTTGTCACAAGCTAATGTAAACAAAAAAATAATATTATTCTTATAGGATTATTTTATTATCATTAATATGGCTTATATGTACTTGCAAATCCCGCATGATTTTCAAATTTGTTCTTTTTTCACTAGATTCAGCAGCTAATTCATAAAGGTGTTCTAATAGAGACCTTAGTAAATCACCGGGAGGGCCTTCATTCCACACATCAAGATCACACAACAAATCCTATAAAACATAAATTAACTTTTTTCATATGTTACCTGGAACTAAATTCTTTTCAAATAACTTATTAGTATAAAAATTTGAAACTTAGTTTCCGAAACATTAAAATGATAATATTATATAAAAAAATATTGAGTTACTACTATGTTGATCCAAGTAAAATAATATAACTTAATAGGTACAAAGTTTTGTTAAACATTTTTTTTTTAATGATAACCATTACAAACACTAAACAAGACTATAAACACGCTTTCACTTTACCTGAAAGGCGATAATATTTGGAATAGCAGAAGTTTCTCTTCCACTATCTACAGTACCAACTAGACTAAATGTGAGATGAAGAATGTGTGAATTAAGCAGATGTTTCTTCCTTCTTAAGAGCATTGCTAGAGTCTGATAGCCTCTACCTCTATCCATTTCCATTTGAGCTGTTTTGTTAGATCTTACAACACACACTGTAGCCTTCACACCCGCATAAAGACTTTCAATATCTTGTGCCATAGCAATTACTCCCAACAGAACAGAACAACCTCCAACTGTGTCAACCTGAAAAATAAAAATTATCTCAACATATAATTATCCACTCTTATCAACATTTATGTTAAAAACTTCTCTATTCAAACCAAAATTATAAAAAAAAAAGATTTGATCCCAGCTCATTTTGATAGATTACATATTCAAAATAGTAATACTACCATGGTTGCTACAGGTCTAGGGCAGAAAACACGGACACCCAAATAGCCAACTACAACACCACCCAAGCTTCTGGCTGATCCCACCAAATGGCCTGCAGAATTGTGCAGAATTTTAATTGGTGTATAATTTTCATGTGACGACATACCCAATTGCTTCGCAATAGCTTTATTATCTGCTCTGCTGTAAATCTAAATAAAAACACATTTTATTATTTAGGTTTTGTGTAATAAATAAATATCATAATTTTTATTTTCTCTACTTTTCTTATCTTGGCTAAAGTGAGTTGTGTCATTGCTCGAGCATTTAATCCAAAAACTACTTTCTCCTCAGCAACAAGCGGAGCTGCTCCTTCTGACAAATTACTAAGTTCAGGGGCCTGCAATGATCCCATGTAATGCGGCCCCAAGCGATACAAAGTCATAACAATTTGGGCACTCAAAACCTAAAATGTGTGAATATAAAATAAAGCTGATCAAATATAAAATGTTATAGTAATAAGAATAATAATTCATTTATGTTTACAATTAATTTGCTTATTATAAATTATTGCATATAGTAAGCTTCACTGGGATGACTAATATATATATAACATATTAATTAATATTTACATCTTCCACAAGATGACAAGAACCCTGTTTCCAGCACAGTTTTGAATATCTGCGCCAAGCAGGTGGTGTACCAATATATGCAAAAACAGAACATGGCGAATTTAAATTGGAAGGTCCACCTCCAGGATTTTGAGCAATGTAATGCAACTTTTGTGTGTGCATATGCTGCCCATCCAAATACAAGGAAAATGAAGAATTTTTTAAAACTGCTCGATTTAATACTATTACTAAATGATGCCACTGGCCCTCATGTAAAAGATCGGGGCACCAAACTCGAACACCAAATTCTCCTGTACCTTCTGGTTCCCATTCTCCTACATCTGTATAGAAAAACAAAAATGCATTTTAAGTCAATTTACAATAAAAGTTCTAATTCAGTTCTAAACTTACTATGTGGTACAATAGTTTCATGTGTAGAAACTATTATTGCCTTATCCCTGGCAGACAAAACAACGGCTAAACAAACAAGATTATCATCACGAGCATTGTTAAGACCTCTGACAATAGTTAATAAACGGACACAGTGTGGATCAGTTCTAGGATCTGAAAATTTATCCACACAAATCCATGCTGAGTATGATAAACCAGTTTGGGGTGGAAATATTCTATCCCCTAGAAGAAAAAAACAGTATATTAGTAGAAGCTGCTTTCAAAATTAATAAAAGCAATTAATAATTAGTAAAAATAAGAAATGCAAAAAATTAAGTTCATAAATGATTCTAAATATGTCAGGTTAGCTTTTTCTTAAAAATCATATGAACTTACTAACTAAACAAAACAATGTTTAATGAAATTAAATTGGCTACATTTCTTGTGGATGGTTATTGTTTTAATGAAATGATGTTCTCGTCCTTTACAGAATTTTTCACTTATTATATTTATAGTGTAAATTTTTTTGATATAAATAATTTTCAAACTACCTCCACCAATGCCGCCAATTATTGTTGCATCGCCTGTTTGTACTACACTTGGTATAACAGCATTTTGTGGAGCAATACTTGGCAGGTAAAGACAACCAAATCCTTCAGCCGACATATCCATTTCAACAAAAGGTGGCATTGTGCAAGATCCATGAGCACGAAAATCTTTTGGAGTTGTCATAGAAACCAAAGTTTTAATTCTCGTTAAAGGAACAGGACCTCCAAAATCTAAAGCTGTACGCTGCGTTGGAAGAACACACTGCAATGGACTCCCCAATCTCAAAAACTCTCTGTTGATAAAAAAAATATAGAAATGATATATTATTAAAGCGTATTATATCATACAAATATAAAATTTGCGTTATTTAATATATTGGTGTAACAAAATTCTGTATATGTTCACTGAATATAATCCAATCAATTGATCTTAGTTTGCTAACCGCAAATCTTTTGGCTCCAAAGATTGTGCTGCTAATCTTTCAAGCATATACTGCAATGGTACATGTAATGGATGATCTTCATCTTCTAATGCTAATCTGCATACACTCAATAATTTACAGGCCAAGCCTGCTTCACACATCACTTGCTGATTTCTTTCACTAAAATCAATAGAAGTTAAAAATGAGAAATACAATTCAATAAAATCGAAACAAACTTGAAATACAAGGTAAAATTAGTTGTTGCATTTGGATACAATTTTGCATACCTCCTCACAAGAGATTTAATAACTTCTGCAATGTAGCATTGAAGAACTAAAGCCAGTTGTGGATTATCTTCATTTTTCAAAGAGGGCAAAAGTTGTATCATGACTATGACAACTCCAGGATGTATGATAACCGGTTCCGGAGCAGGAGGAGTTAAATCCAGAGAACTTACATTTGACCGTGACAAATTTCCAGGTAAATCCACTGACTAAATAGTAAAAAAAATATTTAAAAAAAAGCATTGATTAACACCATTCCATATATCTAAATAAATTTATAAAGTTATACCTCTTGCGATATATTAGGCCTCACAAAATTTGGGGACTTGATAGCAGAAAAATTTGGTTTATCAAATGAATCCAGAGCTACATCATATAGAAATCTCATAATTATACAACAATTATTTAAGGGCATTGGAATACTTGGTTGCAATCTAGAATGAATATATTTCTATGTTATATATCAGCAAAAACTTCACACATAAACTAATAAACATACACTGGCTCCAATAAATTTCCAGTAAATAACTGATGAAAAGTCCCACTAAGATTATGAGATATTGATTCTTTACTTTCATTTATAAATTGATCGCTGCTAAAACAGCCCAATAAACGTAAGGTATCAGAAAGACTAGACATGCAAATCTGAAAAACAAACAATTATTAACTTCATAATAAAATATTCGTAATTGAACATAACTTGTAAGAAAATTACCTCATTATGAAATATTTTAGCATTGGCAGGTTCAAATCTCATAGCTGTACTGATTGTGTAAAATACAGTATAAAGTAATTTTATTAGTTCTGAGTTATATTTATCCTCGGCTAACTTTCCATCCAAAGATACTAAAATACTTGTTACATATAAAAATCCACCAACCTATGTAATGATAAATAAACATATATATATATATTAGGCTGGTCCTTAAGAAGGACATTTACAACTTTTCTTGCTCCCAGGGGCTCAAATAGTTCCAAATTGATAATAAACAATTCTCTGAAAGTTTTAGCTCTTAATATTAACTTTTAGATGGAGTGCAATTCAATCAAGCTTCGTAGAGAAATAGTATGGAAAAAATTTTGAAAATTAAATAAAAATTTTTTAAGGTATAACTTAGCGACAAATTTTGAATATAACTCATTCATTTGTTTGCTAAATTATATCTAAAAACATTTTTAAAATTTGTGAAAAATTTTTCATGCTATTTCTATACAAAACTTTGATTAAATTGCGCACTATCTAAAAAATAATATTAAGAGCTAAAACTTTGAGAGAATTGTTTTTTATCAATTTGGAGCCCTTGGGAGCAAGGAAATTCGAAAATGTCTATATTAAGGACCACCCTAATATATATATATATATATATATATATATATATATATATAAAATGGTAGAGTCTTGGATTTGTGTATATTTTGTAGAGTTTCAAACAAGAATCCAAAAAGTAATAAAAAACAAGAAAAGTTTTTTAATAAACAACTTCTTAATTTATTTATTTATTTACTGTCGACGTTTCGGAACTAGGTACGTTCCATCTTCAGGACATCTGCCAAGAAACATGATCTTGATGAAATTTAAGCAAACAATATGTTTAAGAAAAGAAAATGGATTTTTTTTAAATAATAAATTAGTTGAAAAAATAATAATGTACAGAAATATGATAATATGATCAAAATGAAAATGATAAAAATAAATGAGTGGATTATCTAACAGGATATTAAAAATGATAAATTTTTTTTTGAAAGTTATGGAAATTTTTTTTAGAAAAGGTTAATGACAAAAATTGAATTAACTACCTGTATGTTTGAATATATGTTAGCACTCTTTCACTAAACAAGATATAAACAAGATATTAACAAGAAATGAATTTATGAGTTAACTCATAAATTCATTTCTTGTAAATATCTTGTTTAGTGAAAAAGTGCTGACATATATTCAAACTTGACATAACTTCAAAATTTTTGTCATTAACCTTTTCTAAAAAAAAATTCCATAACTTTCAAAAATTTTTTTATCATTTTTAATATCCTGTTAGATAATCCACTCATTTATTTTTATGATTTTCATTTTGATCATATTATCATATTTCTGTACATTATTATTTTTTCAACTAATTTATTATTTAAGAAAAATCTATTTTCTTTTCTTAAACATATTGTTTGCTTAAATCTCATCAAGATCATGTTTCTTGAACAGATGTCCTGAAGATGGAACGTACCTAGTTCTGAAACGTCGACAGTAAATAAATAAATAAATAAAGAAATTGTTTATTAAAAAACTTTTCTTGTTTTTTATTACTTTTTGGATTCTTGTTCAAAACTCTACAATATATATATATATATATATATATACATATACATTACAATACATTATATATATATATATATATATATATATATATATAAATATATATACATATACATTACAATACATTTATATATATATATATATATATATATATATACAAGGTCTGTTCAAAAAGTACCCGGAATTTTCGTTTTTTCAAAAAAATATTTATTTATTCGTCTACATTAATGTGGTCCCCTTCAAAGTAGTCCCCCCCAGATATAATACACTTATGCCAGCGTTTTTTCCAATTTTCGAAGCACCCTTGATATTCACTTTTTGATATGTCCTTGAGCACTCTCAGCGATTTTCTTCAATCGAGGAAAACCGCCGTCCTTTCATGGGTCTCTTCAACTTTGGGAATAGGAAAAAGTCACACGGAGCCATATCTGGTGAATTTTTGCACTTTGCAACACTTTATTTCATTTTTTACGCAAAATTTAATACAAATTCTTTGACTTTTCAATTCTTCCATTGTAAAAATCGCCGAGCTCAGAAAAACACGTCGAACCTTAGCGACTACCACAGACAAAGTAAACAGTGAATATAGCTGAAAATTTCATCATACTTTAGGGGCATGTATACCAACACAATAAAAAAAAAATTTTGACAATCAGACACTCCAGACCCGCCAAATTTAATTATTAGTAATTCCGGGTACTTTTTGAACACACCTCGTATATATAAATATAAATATATAGTACGCAAAACAATAAAAACCTACATTATTTAAAAGCATTAAACATTTTAAAACAATCAGATAAAATAATACAAACCTTTCTAAAAACTGTGCGAGTTCTATGAGAATCTCTGAGACAACTTAACAATGCTTTTAAAATATGTCCTTTAAGTACTAAAGCATCAGCTGGAGATGAATGTAGTGTTCCTAACAGAGTTGCCATATCATCATCACCTCCAATATTTAACATTAATTCTCTAATAATGCCTAAAACAATCACAGAAAAAATATTACTAATTTATTATGAAAGAGCTGCATTTAACATATTGATAGTAAATATCACAATAAGATTTATAATGTTGCTAACCTAAAACCTGACTTCTGCACCCAGAATGCATCACCATAGCATGAACACATTTTGCTCCACCACATTCTCTGAATACATTTGCATTATTTGTATTTCCATTTAATAATATGGTAAGAGCTTCCATGGTTAACACTCCTAATTGTTCATGTTCCTCAATATTTCCAACAATTGATGATCTTTTCTCACTCAAAAAACTGGAATATCTAGTTAAACATGTTGCAAATACTTCTAACATACCCACTTCTCTATATACATCTTTAAATATAGAATTATGCCTAAAAAGTCATATAATAACATTGAGAAATGAATGTGTAGAGCAAACAAAATACTTCAATTAATTTAATTTAACTTACTTTAGAATATTGAGCAAGGTTTTTATACATCTAATACTGCAACTGCTTGAATTGTTACTTTTAAGTAGTAATGACATAGATATTAACTCTTTACATGGCACGAAATTTAATTGAAATACTATAAACTCTATGATATCAAAAAACTTTTCCTAGAATTTATATTAAATATTGTAGGTCAGAAAATCTTATTAAATGAATGATTTAATAATATTTAATGATTATTAATAATTAAATGATTAATAAGTAAAATTAAATAATTTAATGATTAATAAGTACCTGAATCTGTGGAGTCTTATAGTGTATTTTTTCTGTAAATTGACTTAATGTATTTTGACTTTCCAGAATAAAATAATTTGCATTATCAGAATGATACACACTAGAAATTGCATCAAGTATGGTACAGCATAATGCTGTACTTGTTGATTTGATAAATACTGTTTGAAGAACCTGTAAACGTAAGAAGAAATATTTTAAATGAAGTTGATGAATCCATAATAAAGATAAAATGTATCATGGAAAAAATCTTTTTCTTCATTTTGTAACATCTGAATCGAAATTCAGTGAAAAACCAGTTACCTATCAGGCTAAAAATCATTAATGAAATTGGGAAGTGTGGTAGAAAAGTGAAAATTAAGAGTTGCATGCATGTATTTTGCAAACTTGCATTAAAAAAAAAAAAATAAGAAAATTGATCCAATACAATAACTAGTTGAAAGTGGCATTTTGCCTTAATGTAAGTTACATGAACTTCCCGACATGTGTAAATAATTGACTTAACCAATAAGTATATTAACTTATGAGTGATTCATAAGTATGCCGAGTTGCTGTGGAGGGGGCCATAAACACATTTGCTACTGAAATGTTAACAGACTTGCAATCTTCATAAAAATGAGTGGATGGCAATAATTCCCTACCCCCTCCATGAAGTAATACCTAAGATAAACAGGCTTACATCCATTTTTATATATATCGTATATATCACATTTACCACGAATATGATTATATATTATAATTACTAACCTGAAATGCTTGAATGTTCCTGACGCTGACTCCTGAGCCAGTAGGTTGAGGAAGCGTAAACCTAAAAAATCAATTAAAAAATTAACAATCAAAATTAATTCAAAAATTAATAAAAAATACAATACAATAAAAAACAACTAGAAAGATTTAATTAATGTAACTACCCAGAAAGTTGAAATAAAGAACCAACAGCTGTTTGACTAGGTTTGAGTTCATTAAAACCACACATACATAAAGAAGCAACCATAAGCACTAGATTGCGTATTGCTGCATTTGCCTCTGCACATTTTTCTCTCTCTTGTTCTAACCTATCAATTAATAAAAATAAATAAATATGCTACATATATTTGCTATTCAAATTTCAATAAAATATTAAATAAATTCAAATAAACAAAATGAAAAATTATAGTAAAGTAAAACAAAGAATATATAAAATAATTATATGTATTTATGTACATTTTAACAAACCTTACCCATCCTTTGATGGATCTACATCTACATTTTTGCTGTGTCTGCAAATAAAATCATAACAAAAAAAAAAATGAAAAAAAAAATACATACAGCATGTAGATTATTATTATATTATACATACTTTAGTAAAAATTCTGATAAAAACAAGTATCCGTGACATGCTCTAAAATCCTCCAATAACATTTGAGAAACATCACTTGAATCCTTCAGAAAGCAGAAAACCGAAACAAACATTTCAACTAATTCCAAAGGGGAGAGCTCTGGAACTCTTTGCATGTTATCAATGCATAGCGCTACACAGCCTTTATCTGCAATATGATAGATTAGAATATTATACACCATTAAATTCTATTCTTTATATCGATTGAAATTATTTATTTATAATTGGATTGGATTTGTTGGAAATGGTAGGGTATGATAACAAGCCATACTAATGAAAGTATATAATGAATTATCTACATAAAAATATAAACTGTGATTCCGCCAGATTCTTTTATAATTATATTCATTTTATTAAAATTCAAATCTATAGACAGAATGTAAATAAAGATAAGTAAGTTAAACACTTAAATTGAGGTGAGATTCAGCAAACAAAAGATTTCAAGAATAATATATTGCTATATTTGATTATAAATTATTTTATAAATATAAAAGCTGAATATTCTTACTATGAATGTAGTTCACAACAGATTGTGTTAACCCATGACGAGATAATGTTGTTAACACTTCAGCAGCAGATTTTCTCCACATAACATTATGAGGTGGACAAACTGATGTTATGGCAGAAAATAACAAAGTTAAATCATCCATTCTGGCTAGTTCTTCTGCTGGAAAAGAATGACTGCACAAACGAACTAAAACCTAACCAAAGAAATGTGAAAAATTATAAATATATTGACTGTGATTGAACTTGTATAAATATATATATATATATATATATATATATATATATATATATACTAGCAAACCCGACGAACTCCGTTTCGCCACCAGATGGTTTCGTGAGAAAGATGAAGAAATTTTTTGTTTGTTTTATATTTGAAAAGGAAAAATTTGATTTTTTTATACAACAGTAATGAATTTATTCCGATTACAAAAATGAAGTGTTTTTTAGTTGAACTTCTCTAAGTAAATGAAAGTGAATCCGCAAATTATCCATTTCATTGAAGTGCTCCTTGGTAAACCACATTTTTTGTTTTATGGTCTGACGTTAACACAAACAAAGCGGATGGTTTTCCAACTCGTAAACAGGCAACATATAACTGCCCATGTGAAAAACAATGATTTTCTAAGTAATCTATTTGAAATTTATCCCGCAAACACTAAGCGATTGGCCTTGAGACTTCTTATTGCAAACGCAAGGCGAACTGGAAATTGCAATCATTTGAAGTCAAACGGAAGACCAGTTAGAATCATTGGTATGTCACCAAATCGCCAGCAATTTTTGATTGAATGGTGAAATTCAGTGCGTGTACATCATTATTCTTTGCGGCAAGAATTGCTCGTTGACTTAACCAAGCATAATTCTGATAATTCTCACTAATGTCATTACTCGAATTTTTAATTACGGTGCGTGAAGTTCCAGCAGCTTGCATTAAGGCACGATGCCATGCACAACTCATTTTCTTAGCTATAAATCTTGCGGAGCCCGAGACCTTTCCAAGGAATGCAAAATTGTCGAAATCGGTTCATGCATTCTGAAGTTATTTTGTCAGGCAGGAAAACCCAACTTATTTTTATATATATAGAAGATAATCTATTTGAAACTATTTAAAACAATTATTTATTGTTTTTATTACTCGAATTTTTAATTACGGTGCCTGAATTTCCAGCAATTTGCATTAGGATACGATGTCATGCACCACTAATTTTCTTAGCTATAAACCTTGCGGAGCCCGATACTTTTCCAACAAATGCAAAATTGTCGAAATCGGTTTGTGCGTTCTGGAGTTATTTCGTCAGGAAGTAAACTTGACTTATTTTTATCTATATAGAAGATATATATATATATATATATATATATATATATAATATGCATAACTATGTGTATAAATATATATATATATATATATATATATATATATATATATATATATATATATATATATATAGATATGTATATACAGTGATACCCCGCTCAACGTGCTTAGTTCATTCCAAGAGAAAGTTTGCTTTTGCTACATTATTTACAAATTTACTTTTATTGATATCTATTCAAATGTACCTGTGCAAATATTTTTTGTAGCATAGATCTTCTTTCATGTAATGGAATATTTCCATCAGTTGATTTTACATCAGAAACCGATACTACAATTTCTGGTAGATCAAAGAAAAGATACAAACATTTCACTAAAGTAGATGGTACTGAAGAATTTGTCATGACCTGTAAAAAAAAATAATTTAATTACTTTAAATTTAGAAATAAGTTACATGTCAAATAAAATATATTCAGAAATCATTGTCAAAATTATAATTCTGACCACCAAAGCACATGCAATTTGAACGCACTGATGCAATGTTATTTCTAGGTTTTTCAAAAAATATTGTTTGCATAATTGTTTATTTGCAATTAAGTTAGAACTAATACTAAATTCATAGTGTTTGCTTTAATCATTATGTAACAATGTGTCAAATAAGTAAAGTGTTTTATGCATTTAGAGAACTGCATATGTCTTATCACACATCTAGAAATAAAACTTTAAAAATTTATTGTTTAGTGAAATTTTTATCTGAATGATAATATATGTAGAATTCCGGAAACATATACAAAACAAATATTTATCAATGCTTGTTTAAATTATTAATTCAATGAATTATTGCCTGAATTAATTCAAATATGATTTATTGTCAAAATGATAATCAAAATAAATATATAAATATACTTGTATCAAAGTATGATCTCCAGCAGCCAATATATTTAAAGCACTGAGAAGCATCCATCCATTACTACATTCTTCATAATTTTCGGCTTCTAAGAATCTGGCAATAGCGCAACTAGCAGTCTCAGTACTTTGGTTAGAGGCTCTTTTTCGTATTTCTGACACAATTAATCGGGATACTTGTTGCGTAAATGATAGTACATCCCAAAATTTTTCACTCATATCATATGCTGGACTAGACTCAAAAACCTAAAAATTATAATATATTATTCTTATTCTTACAAATATGGAGTTTTTCATTAAGGATTCAAAATCTATAAACATAAAATCAATTTTGTTCCATTACATAGCCTCATCAATATAAAACAACTGCACATAACATATGTTAATACTATATGTACTAATCACACATTCACAGCAATTATGCATATATAAACAGTGAAATTAAAACTTTTTTTCTTACAAATTCCACTTATTTCAATGTAGTCACTTATGTTACAAATAAATACTTCTGCATAACAAATTACCAAATGTACATGTATCCCCCAAATAAATCTGTTAAACCAGCTGATAGATTAAATAATAAGTGCACATTAATTTAGGTTTGAAAGTAAATAATATTTTGGAATTTAAATTTTATATTAGAATAATTAGGGTGAATCTATTTACTTTGCAAAATAGAGGTAGCATATTATAAAGTTTATCATCTCGTTCTGATTCAGTGAGGGGATGACTCGGATGACTATATTCTGTATATAACTTCTTAAGATGCATTAATCCTAGTTGTGTATGTCCTGAAGATCCATTGTCAGCAATTTCTTGATGCGCTCCGCTCCCACCACGTAATTTTCGCATAATATTCATTTTGAGATCCAAGATCAATACAATTAAAATGTTTAATTGTTTATATAGAAAAATTTCTGGGCTTCAACATAATTACGCAAATATAGATATTTAACTGAAATTTAACTCATATCAGCGAGATAAACTAATCGTGTACATTAAAAAAAATGAAAATGACAAATTTTCAATTATAATATACATCTGAAAATGGCCTTCATTATTTGATAAAAGGATTTGAATTATAAAATTTACTTGTGAAAAAATATAAACTCTCGCATAATAGTAAATTTGCATTCATGTTTCCACATTATCAATTTAAGTTAACATCAAATATATTATTTGCGCAATACACAATTGCAATGTAATTTTTTGTTATTTATTCTTATGCTACGCTATTTGACAGATGACATATGTTGCGGTTGCGTCCAGAGACATTTCATGTTTGTTTATTGTTAACATGACCTTATACCAACATTAAAATTCATAGACTCTGTGGCAACGATCTATATACACTTCTTTTATCTATGGTACACTCCAAACCATAGATAAATAAACTGTCACATTCATCAAAACTGTCATTCATAAGTGAAACGTCAAAATAACACTTAACCTCTATGAAAGAGTTGCTTTCACAGCGAAATGTTCCTTCTTAGCGGATATTATTACGAAGAAGTTATGTTTAATTAGTACATTAAAGAGTGTTTTAGATTAGTTATTGTAGTTACTTAGGCTATCTACTTTGTTTTAACTTTATTGTCGGGTTTATTTTCATTTCTCATCGAATTAAGACCAGAACGTTTGGATTTTAACATCATGTTTGATTTTTAACATCGTGTAAGCTTTGATCATTCGAACTCAACTTATTTATGTTTCATGTATATATTGATAATAAAATGTCATGTGCCGTGAGAATACAGTCGTGATAGCATGCTTTTTGATAAACATATGATGTGTATTAAGTTTTGATATTTTCAGTAATAGTTTTTAGCCTAGACAATATTAGAATACCGTGGGTTCTATCTTATCTTTTGTCAAATGTATATATTAATTTAGATTATTATATCAATGTATATATTAATTTAGATCAATGTGACTTCTTGTTGAAGTAGTGAATTGCTCCACTTGAACTTTAAAAAAAGAAAGTCCTAGAAGCCACAAATAAAAAAACAAAATTTTACGAATTATTATATTACGCTTTAAAAAACGATTAAGCCTAGTTTGGTTGCGAGTCAGAGAGTATTTTCTACTTCGGAAAATTTTGTGTGTAAACAATTGTTCAAAGGACACTTCTAAATAACAAATCGATAGAAGTCCTCAACTTTTTCGGAAAATTTTCATACAATCTATCATAAAAATATTTATAATCTCATATGTGAAAATGATGCATGAATAATGAATAATCATTTTCAAAGTTATTTAATTCAGATCAATTCTATTATTTCTTTGTTCTACTAATTAAAATTAAAATAAATTTGTTTACTATTCATAAAGTTGAACATTAAATAAATTCAGCCAAAAACTGCTTTAAATCACACTAAATTTGCCACTATTTTTTTTTTTGTTATTACAGAATATTTGAGCAAAAATTAATTTTTTATATAAAATTCGAAAACCGGCTAAAACCGGAAATTTACAGTTTGAATACCAGTTTTCTGAAAAGTCGGTTTTTGTATAAACCCAATGACTACCATGACTACATGCATTTTTGTTGGGTCTGTTTATATGGTACTTAACTTTATACACAAAAGAAATAAAAAAAAATGCAGTAATTATCAATATTTGTATATTTAATATTTTTTATTATTTTTTGTATTACTCAACAATTGTTGGTTTTGAATTGTTTTCAATGTTTTCTAATTTTATTATAAAATTTATTAGTTTCTATGTTATCTCTTTTTAGCTGTTTTGTCATATTTTCTTTGGGTCCATGAAAACATTTTTCCTTTCACCATTCTCAAACCATGTAATAGCTAGTTTCTAATGATCAAGGAATACATCAATAAAAGTATTACTCTCGTTTTTAATGTTCTATAAATATAATATTATAAACGAAACAATTGTAAACTAGAAATATGTTTAATGAGATTCAACTGATTATGGTTTACATAAGCAACAATAAAAAAAACTTAATTTAAATATGAAGATTTTTAACTGTCACAAAAAAAAAATAGTTTTATCTAATATTTTGTATTTTGTTAGTGCCTTTTGGATTTTAAATATTTTTTATTTATTCATCACTTAAATTATTTGTTTTAAATTGTATAAAATGTTTTCTATCCTCTAGTAAGTATAAGTCAAAAACGCATATATAATATGTCTTAGTAAAACAGTATTCAAATTTCCATTTATAAAACTTAATAGTTAACAGTTAAGACTTAAGCAAAATATAACTCATTAATAATTCACAAAAAGGTTGTATTTTTGCCAGTCGCTTTTAAATACAATGTCGACTCTGAATATATGTACACACAAATGCCACATAGGTAATAAAAAGTTCGAACATAAAACAGTGTTTAAAGAATACTTGATGCATTTTATGAATCAAATTTGTTTCACTGACTAATGTAGGTCAAAACATATGTATATATAACTAAATCAAAATAGGAAGGATTTATGAATAAATTGATTGGAATTAATTCTATAATTTTTTTTTTAATTATCTTTTATGACATCTATTGGATATTATTACAGAATCACTGAACAAAATAATTTAATATTTAACCTTTTATTATGGCAAACAGTGCTATGTACCTGAAATGTTGAACATATATTCGGGCTACAAGACAACAAAAACAATAATCGAAGCAGGTTGCCTGCAAAATTTGAAAACCTCACCTTAATTTTTTGAACACACACACACACATACACGCATATATATATATATATATATATATGTATATATATATAATTTTGTGATATGAGTGGAACGAATATTAGACATTGAATATGAACAACACAATACTCAGATTTTTACACACACTTTATTTAATAATTACAGACGTTTCAAGACTATGGTATGCCTCATCTTCAGTGTAATTTCTAAACAGTAAAAATTATATACTAATACATTATTTAATATTTTATTTAAATTATATTTAATTTTTGGAAAAAAAACACCAACATCTCTTTCGTTTTTCAAAAGTAAAATAAAATTTAAATAAAATATTAAGTAATGTATTAGTATATAATTTTTACTGTTTTGAAATTACACTGAAGATGAGGAATACCATGGTCTCAAAACGTCTGTAATTATTAAATAAAGTGTGTGTAGAAATGAGTGTTGTGTTGTTTATATTTAACATTTAAGAACTATATTTTAGTAGCATTGAGCTTTGAATGAGCAATCCAAAATAGTAATATAAAAGTCAAAAAAGTAATAATTTACTATCGGCATTTCGTTTAAACCACCTCCCTTGATATATATATATATATATATATATATATATATATATATATATATGTATATATATATATATTTATATGTATACAGATTATAATTTAATATAATATTAATACTAACATTTTTGTATAAATTTCATAATTATAAAACTTATATCATAATCTTAAAAAATTATAAAACTTTAGCATATTTACAACATAAAACTCTAGAAAATTGAGTAAATATATATTCCCACTTCTTAGTCTTTGAGAAAAAAATTAGATTTTGAAGAAGAAATTTAAAATTTATGAAACTAAAAACTTTAATTAAGATCACAGAATGAAAAATTATCATGATTGTTGTAAGGTAATTAATTGGCTATTTATATCTGGTGTTGAATCCTCTTCATCACTAGAACACAAATTTATAATTTCAGAAACGATATTTGAAGCTTTATTAGAAAATTCTTCACAAGTACATTTAACTTTAACAGAGGCAGGTCTGCACTTAACATATTTTAATTGGCTACTTAAATTTAACAAAAATTTTCCCACTTTTTTTGGATTTTTGTAAGTATGTTTCCACTCAGCACTAGATTTACGAAAAGTTACAGGGTATGTCCTAGAGGAAGAGAAGTTTCGATCCTGCATTGAACCAACAGAGGTACCAGGTAGAGGAAAAGCTTCACAATATCTTTCAGTCCGCTCTCTGCGCTCTGTGTGTGTTTGATCAGAGACAGTATGTCTGCATCGTTTAGCCAGAAAAATTCCTGCAGGTGAAGAGAATGGCATAGCAGGACATTTCAGTAATGCATGAGGAATACTTGTCCTTGCTTCGCGTTTTCTTCCTTCATTAGGAGGTTTAACTCCAATTTTTGTTACATTTTGATTATTTTCAGTATTTTGGCTAGTCAGCTTAAAATAATTAAGAAAGTTTTCTTGGTCCAAATTCACAATATCTTGGCAATCTGCTGAAGCAACAAAATCACCCTCACACTTGATTTCATGGTTTTTCATTTCTTCAAAAGAATGCAAAATTATATCACACTTATCACAAAGATAAATATCCACAGGGTCTTCTTCCACCATGGATGGTAATATACCCAAAAGGCCATCAGGATTGAAAGGTATAGGACCATCGGGTTTGAGCCATTTTCTTTTTCTCGCTGGAATAATCTTATCATACATAATATTCTCATTTCTAAAAGTCACAAGTAATTTTCCGGTATTTTTATTATATAGAGATGTTGTGTTATCCCAATTGTTAACAAATTTCAGAATTGCTTTTGGATGTTTTGATAAATCAGTGCAAAAACGCAGAAGGTAAGCACAATCATGATGGGTATAACAGGATATGATCAAATTTTGGAGCTTTGTTTTCCACATTTCATCCTCCTTATTAAATTTTGCAAAAGCTTTTGGGTAAGGAATATCTTTAGGCCACCACTTTGGCATGATGGGTTCCTTGATCTGATCACCTGACAAAGAACACTGAACCATAAAAGGTATAAATCTTTCAAGCTCACATATTGACATCTTATTAAGAGAGGTAGGATACCCATTTACAAAGAGTAATGGAAGTATTGCCCTCATCATTGACAATTTTTAAAAAATCTGATCATTTGATTAAGTAATTGATACTATGACACATAAACTTTGTAAGCAGTTTTTAACAATAATATGCAAAGAATACAATTGAATTGCAATTTGGAAAAGTTGATTAACCAATAAAATTTCTTTATTTTTAATCGTTTCATATTTGAAACTATTTAGTCATCTTTTGTTGTTAAAAATCTGGTGGACACATTAACACAAATGAATTTTTTTGCAGTTGCAGAACTTGCACACATATCAATAAAAAGTCGACACATGTTTATTCAAACTTTCTATTATGAAAAGTTTATCGTTTGTACGTTTTCTTTTGTTTTTGAATCCATAATAACAAAATGAGTAAACGAAGTATAAGCATCTCTGTATAGACGTCAAAATATTACATTATTATAATAACTTTGTCTAAGTTAAAGTCCTTGAATATGTATCTACATGGAGCGATTTAATATAAATATTTTTATATTATATCAATATATAATATTATAAAAGTCAAGTAGTCACTTAATATTTGCTTTAACGCGGTTTTGAGATATTACTCAACTGACATTATTTGCTTTGACTGCGGTGAACTTTTGACAACGCGTCCGAATTTGGTATATTCTACAGTCAATTTTTGATTCGTTGATTTGACATTGCCACGATGACTATGACTTCAGAAGTTGAGACAGGGTTTAATTTCACAAATGACATGGAAATGGGGGATATAAATAGTGATAAAAGCAAAGAACTTGTATGTTACTTTATATTTATAATATAAATTGAAATATTATTATTGCTTTCATTAAAAGTTTGTCTATTATTAGGAGCGTCAAACATTGGTTGAAGTGGAATTTCAGGCCTCTAAAGTTATAGAAAGGCTCGAGGCAGGTGTTAGTGGCGGTGATAAAAGTATTAGTCAAACAAATTCTCAGCCTATCGGATTTCTGGGTAATGATAAAAAAAATGCGAATGATATTTTGCGGCTTATTGAAGATGTCATTTGCACCAGTGATCCTGAGGAAGAAGGAGCCCCATGGCCTCTTCCATATTTGGATGAAGTAGGAAAATTAGCTATAGTTTCGCATAGTATTCTGGCCTATCTTTCTACTCTAGAAAGAACTCATTTACAACATCTGAATGCTCGGATCAGTACAGACACAACCAGGTGGCTAAGCCACATATTCAGGTTAGCTTCATATGCATAAAATTTATATTTTTTAACCTTCTTTTTCTTTGATGTTTGATTTACTGAAATATTAACTCTAGAACATGGTCTAAATTTATTAATACATTGTAAATTTTGCTGTTTGTATTCTTAAATATTCTACATATACAAATTTTTAAATTACAAGATTACTTTTATTTCTCAAATTCCATTTTTAAGGAATTTTTTTTTAATGGATGGAGTCGCAAAACGTACTTAATTTGTTATGCGAAAATTTCGCTTTGCAAAATTCATTTTACATGAAAATAAAATAATATGTTTTGTGGTTTTCAAATAAGGCAAGAGAAAATAAAATGTATTATATCTGTAGTTAAGACATTTAAAATAAAAATTAATATAATTATTTATGAAATAAGTTAATATCGGTTATATTCACAAGAGTTTTACTGCTCATTTTTTTGCCCTTTTAGTTTCTGAATTTAGAACCTGTTAGTTGTTTTTTCTTTTTTTTGGATCTATAAGACATACCAGAAATCATGAGCTCAAAAAATTTTCTCTAAAATTTTAGTATAAAAAGGTGCATTATCCAATAATAAATGTGCTTTAAGGGTGAGTTTTTTTTCCAACACCATTTTTGTTTGCGTTGTGTCGAGTGTTTGTGCTCGAAAAATAACATTTATTATGCAATGCAAAAGTTGTACCAGATACCGCTGTACTTACTATAGTATAATTCAAAGGTTTTTGGATTGCTCCTCATATATTCATGAAGATTCTGCTGATGGCCTTGTTCACGCAATAAGATTAGCATTGTCTATACGGTGTCCTGGTTATCTAGAAAATGGTGCTGGTACCAAAGGAGCTCCATGTTTATATTCATCAGAAACAAGTCCGATTGGGACACTACAATATGCATGCAGGTTGATAGGTTTACCACTGGGTTGTGTTAGACCCGTTCCAGTAAACACTGTTTTTGGTAAGTTACAAAAAAAATTTTGTTACATAAAAAATTGAAGAAAGGCCTAATGTAAATGCTATCAGTGCTTCATTTGATGATGAAGCATGATATATGTAAGCTGGTTTGCTTGCCATTTTGGAACCTTTGATCAATAATAATATACCTTGAATCAATAATACTTCAACATTGATTTAATTTATCTTGAGCATCAATACAGAAAAATGTATTTTATTGAAATATATTACTTATTGTAAAAAGTCAAAATATAAATGAGCTTTTGTTCACATAAACAATTCTAGCCTTTCTTAAATATCTATCAGCAAATCTTATTTACTACAGTCTGTAAAGTCAATCATAAATGTCGTTTACTTTTTAAAATATGTAAATAATAAAATTAAATTACCTACTAATAGTTAAATCTGAAATAGTTGTAATGACACCTTTTGTTTATAGGGTATAAAAGGAGTATCAACCATTCATGTTAATTTTTTATTTTAAGATCTGTAATTTGTAAGATTGCTTTTCTATTCTTGCTATTTTCTAACTTTCAAACACTACAGGTAACCCCCGCATAACACAGTAGTTATGTTCCAATAAAGTAGCGTGTTATGCGAATCCGTGTTGTACGGAACAAAGAACTAGTACAAACAGATGTCCAGGTTACTTTCCAAGAATTCAAAAAAGCATGCTACATATCATGATTTTATAATAAATATTGTTCTGTTTATTATTTTTTTTAAGAAGTAGTATACATTACATCAATTATATGAATTTTTTCGTCATTATTAAATGGTAAGTGCTATCCAACATGATCCTTTTTTTGCAAAATATCCTCATCCTCTGACCAGCTTTTTGTACTACCTCCAGATTCATGCATTATTTTTTTCAAATACAATTATATTTGCAATTACTTGCTTTTAGCAAAAAGATATTCATATATTTACCACATGCAAAGTTATTTTATTTATTAAAATTTTGTGCTCATTTCATTCAAAGGATCTTTGCTTAATACTGATTGACTAATTGTTTGGATAAGCCTAGAATTTTTTTTCTCTATAGAACGTATGCGCTCGAATAATAAGTATCAAATTAGTTATCTTTTGCATTAGTTTTATCACATTTATTGAGTTATTGTACTGCGATTTTACTAATTTTAGATTAAATAAAGTTTGATTTTCATAGATTTTACTATTTTTTTATTTATTAGGGTTTTGCTCAATTCTCAAACCGTGTTAGAGCGAACTCGTGCTATAGAAGTACCGTGTTATGCGGGGGCTACCTGTATTTGTTTTTAAGTAACTTTTTGTTGGTTTGCTCATGATCATGTACATAGTTTATGACCATTTTATTAAAATTTTTGGTTTACAAAACCTTTAGAATACATGTATTCATAATTTTATATATTATGGACAATTTATTTAATATATTAGGTTCTGCTCAAACAATGGATTTGTCAGCTTTGGGAAGAATGTTTGTAGACGATACTGCCGCTGGCATGGTACCGTTATTGGTTGTGGGAGAAGTAGGTACTTCAATATGTGGGCATAATGATAATGTAAGCAGGCTGCAAGATTTATGTCGTACTCATAATGTATGGTTACACTTAAGGGGTCATGGGCTTGCTGCTATAGCTGTTACACAAGCAACTGGTGTGGTTAGTAATCTTCACATAATATCTAATTTTTATTCAATATTTTCAGAAACAAATATGTTTCTTAATTATTCAATAATATATAATTTAAACATGTAGTAATAATTATTGTATACTATTTACCTATTTATTTATTTAAGTGTTGATTTATATACAACAAACAACAAATACTCATGTAATTTTTGTTTTGGTTTAGCAAAAAAAATCATTTAGCCTTTTCTATGCTCTTATAGTATTTCATATATTTGAAATCTTTTTTTATCTAAACTTTCATATTAAGACATATATTTAATATAATGAATTATCTAGTTGACACATCAAATTGCTTATCTAATTTCATTCATAATGTTTTTTATAATAATTTCTTTAAGATAGGTGTTCTTTTTAATTTTACATAGCCAACTCGAATAGCAGACAGCATAACTTTGCCACTAGGAACTTGGTTAGGAATACCTGGACTTCCTGTTGTTGTATCCTTTCTAATATAAATTATTTTTTAAAAAAATCATATGTTTAAACACATATTTTTTATTATATTTTTGTATAAAACAGGAGTGAATCATGTGGTTTGCTTAAATCAATAACTATATTTATTTATAGCTTTCATTCAAATTATTTCCAAAATTTGATTATTTCTTCAAATGTATATTAGATTTCTTAAGTAATATAATTCAGTCACTTTATCGACTTCCTGAGACTGTAAATGCCACAACAGGTCTTTTAGCTTCTAGGAGATTAAATTCTTTGCCTTTATGGATGACACTTCAGGCATTAGGACGAGAAATGATTACCACACGATTATTACAATCATTTCATTCATGCCGGATTCTATGGGCGCATCTTAATAAGCACTGTAGCATTAGAATATTGGTACATATTATGCGTTTGCTTGTGATTGATATGTTTTGACCATTTAATTCTATGTTTAGTGAGAATGATTTAATTTTAATGAGTTTCAATCTCACTTACATCATTTTTATATGATTCATGTTTATTAGGTAAGAAGTGAAATATGAATTTTTAGATATCAAAATAAATTCGTTTTTTGCTTTTAATTTTAATTTACATTAATCATTATCTTCCGAACTAAAATATTACATAAGAGAAATGGAATGGAATTTTTTGCAATGTGGAAAAGTTATAATAATTTTTAAATATTAATTAATGCAAGCATGTTTTATAATAATTTTAGTTTATGTAAACATTGACACGAGATGTTACGTAGTTTCATATGTTTATAAAAAATATTTCAGAGCAAGGAGCCTGGGGGCGAAGGTGGTGTCTATACAATGGCTGATATAATTACTAAGGCTGTGAATCCAACAGTAATATATATATATATATATTTTTAATTTTTGTTAAGGATTAAGGCTTCAATTGGGGTTATTACATTTTTTATTCAACTATCACCTATTAATCTATATCAATATATTGTTGCAATGATAGGGTTGGGGTGAAATAATTTTCCATTTAAAATATTGACCACTGCGATTAAAGAATGTAAATTTGTTTAACTTTTATTTATTCTATATTCTTAAAGAAATTGCTAAATTGTTTGTAAAAGTAAACGATAAGTATGTCATTGACTTAAATTAAAATTATTTCTATCATTGAATTGAAATATGAATTACTTGCTTTTAATATTATCTACCATAAGTCTTTAATTTCTTATTCATAAAAAAATAAGAAAAAGAAAGCAAAATTGTAGTTAAAGTGAATTCTCTTTTACAACAACATAGATATTATTTGAAGCAGCTGTTTCATGTGTGGTGTTTCAATTCATTGGTGCTTCTAATCCATCACTGGAACAAACTGAAACCCATCCAAACTCAAATTCTGTAGAAGCTGATGCACTCATAACTCCAAAAAAATGTAGTAATCAAAAAAGGCAATTTAGCAGAGTTCCTTCTTATTATGATAAATTAAATTCCTGGCTTGGTCAGATTTTGCAGAGAGATGCTCCGCAGGTATTAAATTTGTATTTTTAATATTTTAACTTTCTAATAATAATTTAAATAGTAATTTTGTTTTTATGCATGCATCTATGCAAGCATAGTCTATGTGTTTATTAAACGCGTAAACTTATACACATTAACAATTGTTGTTGATGTGTGGGTGAACTATAATATAATGTGTTAAATAAATGATAGCAATCATTCTGTAATTTCTAGAACAATATGAAACGTAGTGTAAATTTTATTTCCATACCAATCTGTGAATACGATTTATTATTATTATGTGCCATGACACTTACAAACTTCTTTATTTTGTTGTATATTGTGATAAACTGCATGTTATTATTATTTTTATGAAATTAAGCGAGAATGTCATTTAAACAATTTTTGTACTTATAAATAATATGTCAACATATCTCATTTAAAATTTAATTGAAAATTCAAAGATTAGAACATTTTGATGCATGGGTACTAAATGTATATGATTATTAGCAAGGTTATCAAGTTGTTATTATCCAAACTTTTAGGTACCCCTGGAAATATGTGATTTAGATAGCGCTGGTATTGTGTTAAGATACTGCCCATTAGAAGCTGCTCCAGGAGGTCCTCCTGAGGCAAGAGATCTAGAAGAGTTTGCCGTTTGTGTTGAACAGCAATTAGAAATTTTAGAGGCTACCATAAAACATAAAGAAACATTTGTAAGACTTGTTGAGCAGAGTCCAGTTTTGAAACTAGTTGAACTGCCAGGATGGGCTGGTAATTTAGTTAAAATTATTACATTTTTAAAAAATAGTTTTAGAAATAGGTTATCCTAGTTAACTATTCTGGATCGGGATCATATTTATGTTTAATACAAACCAAACTCGTTTGATGACATAAAAATAACTTTATTAAGCACTGATTATGACAAAATATGACTTAGCATATTAGATAGAATAGGCGCTGTGTGTAGAAACAACTAAACTTGAAAATATATTTCTATATTTTTCAGTTCAATTTTGTGTGCACATTTGTTTTTTTTATAGTATTTATTTTTCTAATACTTGCACTCGTAATCATGTTTGTAACATATATGACATGATTCTGAATATGACTTAACATCGCAAATATGTAGTCTTTTTATTCTAAGGATAAATATATATTACGTAAATTGTAGTATAATTTTTGGATTTTTTTTTTTTCAATTGTATGATTGTTGCATACAGGTCTGGGTGGGGTTCGCTATGCACCAGAAGGTTGGGAAGCATTATTAACAGATCAAGCTAAATCAGAATTAAATAAGTTAAACTGCGCGTTAGTTGAATCTTTGAGAGCTACAGATGGTGCATTTTCACAAGGTGAAGGAATTGATGGTCTGATTTGTGTAAGGTATAGCTATAATTGATTCTCTTTTATTTTTATAAAAGTATCAGTCTCTCAATAATTTAAAGTTAGTACAATTTTCTTTTGTTCGAAATGAAATTAAATTAATTTGAAATTATATATCATAAAATCATGTTGTGCATAAACCAATTTTAAGGCATTAAAATGAGCGTGTTTTAAAAAATATACTAGGTATATTGAGTTAACATGAACCTTTTATTAGATTTGGGATGGTCACTGCTGAAACAGATGTAGAAGAGCTGTTGGGACTTGTTATGTCAGTTGGTCGTTCAGTTCAAGAGTCTTCCAGAGTCATGGATTCAATGACGGAAATTGTTAAAAAAGTAATTTGTTGACTAAGATAATTATGATTTATTTAAATTTATTTATTTATGATTTATTATAATTAGGGCATAGAAGCAGCAACACTGGATTTGCAAAGAGAAACAGAGGAAAAATTGTGGCAAGAAGGAATTTTAAGACATGTTCCAGTGGTAGGAAGAGTAGTAAATTGGTGGTCCCCTCCAAATAAAGAAGGAGGAATTAAAGGGAGGAGTCTGAATTTAACACAAGGTGTTGTTGAGAGTACCGAAAATATTTACAGGTTTGTTTAGTTTTTTATTCTAACTTGTTTCTATCTAAAAATGTATATGTGCTAAAATTATTGATTTAAACAAAACTTCTAAACCAGTTTTCATGGCAAACAAAGTTGTTGCATTTTTAATCATGTAATTAATAACCGTAGATAATTTAAATATGGTATATGTATATTGGATTTGTTTTATATGAGCAAAAATTAGAGGCTTTAACTGTTGGAAGTAGTATGCACCCATCTGCGCATGCATAAAACTATTTTAACCATTCCATGTAATATTGTTCTGAGTGTCATTTTTATATAATATATATCAATATTATATATTAATAAAATAGTAATATAGAAAAATATATAATATATATTAAGGTTAAATAATGTTAGTTCTGAATGCATGTTGTTAAACCAACGTCAATAAAAAAAAGTAGTGGCAAGGCTTTCAGGTAAATTATTGGAGCGCTTCATTTTAAAAACGAATTTGCTATTTTTAAGTGTATAACTCATAACTTGTATATTAGCTAAATATTTTAAATTTGCTTAAAAGAAAAAAGAAATACTATTACACTATAAAATTATCATTTTGGCTTTAAAACTATTTAAACCATTATATTAACATATACCATCTGCACATTGTTAATATTTCATATGTTCTTTAAGTTATCAAGTAATTTGATCTCTGAAGAGGAGGCAGTTTCATATGTGGACACATATATATGCCAAATATACAGTACATATTTATCAATATTGCTAACAAATGACAAAATGATCAAGAAGCTCTTATAGAATTTTTTTTCATTTTTGGGTAACGAAAAATTAAAACAATGGGAATAGTATATAAATTGTTTCTTTTTGTCTTTTTCTCATTACATATGGAAATAATAAAATGGGAGACATAGAAGTTCAATTGATATTAATATTTAAATATTTAGATATCATATGCAAATTGCTGGTGGCACACAATCAATATCTGGTAGTAAAACACCACCAACCCCATTGGTTCAAACTCCTGTTGGGCCAACTTCTCCTGGAAACACAGATATTCCTGGTCATTCTCGGACATCCAGTCACAGTTCACAAACAAGCAAAACTCCCATTTAATGTTCTGTTAGTTACATGGTTAGTATATTTAAAATTGAAGTATTAAACTTATTAATTTTGTATTGAGTGTAAAAACTTTTGGGTAGTCTCAAACTGTGGGCTTGTCAGAAAATGAAACTTAGGTACAAATAGATAAACTTATGAATTTCAAATATGTTTTACATTTTTTATTGAAAGTTTCAAATTCACAAATTTTAATCAGCTTCCAACAAACTAAAACATTCCCAATTTATATAAAACATGAATATGAGATACTTTCAGATATTCAGTTACTTTTTATATTCAATTTGTAATTGTGTATGTTTGTGTATATATATACACACACATACATACATACAATTAACCAATAGAAGTTTTTCTTAACTGAATTCACAAAGGACGCTCATAAAATTGTTGAACTTTACTTATGATAAGACTTGTGAAAAGTTTTCACATAATCTTTAATATGGCCATTTCAGTTTTCACAGTTCAATGCTTCTTGAAGCCAGTTAAGAAATACATAGATAGAATATAGGATAGACAATAAATAAGCTGTGAAGCAAAGCTTTCAGTTATATCATGTATTATACAAACAAAATGCACTGACTTATTTAATTATTTATAGTGATAATTAATTATCAAGTATTTATGAAATATTTCAAAATTATGTTTAATTTACCAAAGAATAAAGGTTATTGATATGAACTTAATTATATTGTTACTATAATGTTATATGAAGGAATAATTTGTAATCCTAAAGAATTATGAAACAATTAACAATTTTATTTGCAAAATCCAGATAAACAATGGTGCTCTGGTGCAATGCATTACTTATAGAAATAATAATAAAATTAAATTTATTTAGGAAATAATCATGTTATTTGAGGAATATCTTTAATTTCTATATTATTTTCACTCTCTGTGCTTTCCTCCGTTTCTTTAGGGGTATTATCTTCTTTGGTGGATGTTCCTTCACCTTGAAAAATAAAACTTACATTACATCAAATGTGCATGATTTCCTTGGAAAATAATTCAATATTCCTGAAATAGCAATGGGGTCATTAAATCTACATTTTAAAGTTTTTTTTTTTTTATTTATACATAGTATAACTAATTAGTAATTGAATATGATTGAAATAAAGAAATTTTTAAATAACATTCTCTTTCAGTCAATTTACAATAAACAGATTTATTTCATTTTCAAGCAAGTATAATTTAAGAAGAACCAATGAATATTCTATATATACATATACATATTTGCTTATTTCAGCAGTGCGTAAGTTTTCAATTTGTAAATACAAGAAATATATTAAAAAAAGTATATATATATATATATATATATATATATATATATATATTAACAAAGTCTAATAATCGGGCATAACATCAATAAAAAACATGAATTTCTTTCAAAAATTTATTTTAAATCCATACGTTTCGGCTATAATCCTAGCCTTCATTCAGTGGAAACTAAAATTAAAATTAAAAACTAAAACAATTGAATTGGAGTGAAAAGAAAAAATAAAATAGTAATTAGTACTTACAATTAGTTGATCTTAGTGTTAATTCGGAAAACTTTAGTAATCCATGGTATTAGGATATGGTAATGCACTACACTATGTATTATAAACATTAACTTGAAATTACACAATATTTTCACAAAATACTGATTTGAAAAAATCACAAATGGATAGTGTGTTATTCATAGACTGGTTGAAGATGTAATGGAGAAAGACAGGTCTGCAAGAACTGTTTTGAATTGTTTGGGGTTTTTTGAATTGTTTTTATGTTGTTGTAACCGTTTATTGAGGTTCTGGCTAGTTTCTCCTATGTAAATTAAATTACAGTCTAAACAATTTATTTGATAGACGAGATTTCTGAGTCGTTCAATATTAAATGGGGTTTTTGTCTTGGTAAAAATAGTGCTAGTAGTTGTACTAAAATGGGTTACAAGTCGAAGTCCAGATTTATAAAAAAGTTTTTTCCAAGGAACATACAATTCTTTAATGTATGGCAAACATATTACACCAGAATGAGTTTCTGAGTCAGGTAAATCGTTATGTACTGTGCAATTGTCCATTTTATTCAAAAGGTACGTTCGTCTGTTACTAGTTACGGAATTTATAAGTTTTAGGGGATAAGAGTTATCTGTTAAAATTTTTGTAATTAATTTGATGTTGTTGTCCCAAAATGTTTTGTCCGATAGAAGTATTGCGTGGTCCGTTAGATTTATTATAGTACCTATTTTCATTTTGAGTGGATGATAAGAAAAGTAATTAAGGTATCGTCCGGAGTTAGTTGGTTTTTGGTACCAGTTTGTTATTAGTTTGTTATCTGTAGTACGTATAAGTTTTATGTCTAAGAAACTGATCGAGTTCATTGTCTCCAATTCCACTGTAAATTTTAATTTTTTATTGACGTTATTAAATTGATCAATTATCATAGTGACATCATCACTAGGGATACAAGTGATAATGTCATCTACATAACGGTAATAAAAAATATGTTTATTGTAATTTTTGAAAATTGTATTTTCAAGGAGTTGTAAGGATATTTCTGCTAGAGATGGACTTGCTGGGGACCCCATTGGCGCCCCAAAAATTTGATAATAGAAAGAGCCATTGAATTCAAAAATAAGTGTTAGAGACAATGAACTTGACGGTTTCCCTGAACCAGCGTAAAGATAAAGAAGTCAACGGGGAAATTTCATTCCATCGGATTGTTATTGCGTCTAAAATAAGGTCTAGGGGTACATTAGTAAAAAGTGAGACTACGTCTAAGCTAATTAGTTTGTAGTTGTCTGGTATATAATTTATCTTGTGTTTTAAGTCAGTAACGAGTTCATAAGAATTTTTTATGTAGTGTGGTGATTGTTTTGTTATTGTAGTTAAAATGTTACTTATGTATTTTGAGAGTTTATATAGGGGAGTATTAATGTCGGAAACTATTGGTCTAAGAGGTAAATTATTTTTGTGGACTTTGGGAAGGCCATAAAGTCTGGGAAAATATGGGTGTAAATTTTTCAGGTCAGAAGTTATCTCTTTTGTTAGTTGTTTGTTTGTTGTAAGTTTGTCTAAAAATTGGTAATTTTGTAAGTATTAGTGTCAAGTAATAATTCAGATATTTTATTTATATAGTCTTGCTTGTCTATGATAACAGTGATGTTGCCTTTATCCGCTTTAGTGACCACTATATCCGGATGATTTTTGAGAAATATTTTGCATGCTTTAAGGTCTCTAAGAATATTATCGTAAGTTGTATTTTTAGTATTGAAGGAATTAATATGTTGGATGAATTTTTTACAAAAAAGATTTCTAGTGTGAATTTTAGTTTTCGGATCTAATTAAATTATTAAACATTAGATTATTATTATTGTATTGAAATTATTATTATTGTATTGAGAATTATTAGACATTAAAAAATTCCAATTCATTAGTAATAATTCCCAATACAATAGTTTACAAAAAGTTAGTTTAAAATACATTACACTCACAATTAACAGGTGTATCAAAAATATTTGTAATTTTAGAAACACGATTGAAAAAATCACAAATTGGTTGTGTCGCACAGTAGAAATCGATATTTTTGAGAACTTTTTATATTTAGAAACAATTAGAAACAACAAACAGTTCAATAGTTTGAAACTTTCGTATACTAACAAATTTAATAAACTATTACAAAACAAATTAGAAAATAACAAAATAATTTTAGATAAAAATATTATTGATAAATGGTTAAAAAATTATTCTTCTATCGACATACCAGACAGACTATTGTACATATTCGCTTTAGGACCCAATTTTTCAGTTCCTGCTACTTGTCGTAATTTTAACTTTATTAAATTGCTTAGTAATTTAGAATATGGTTTACAGCAAATTAAAGATCCGAAAACTAAAATTCACACTAGAAATCTTTTTTGTAAAAAATTCATCCAACATATTAATTCCTTCAATACTAAAAATACAACTTACGATAATATTCTTAGAGACCTTAAAGCATGCAAAATATTTCTCAAAAATCATCCGGATATAGTGGTCACTAAAGCGGATAAAGGCAACATCACTGTTATCATAGACAAGCAAGACTATATAAATAAAATATCTGAATTATTACTTGACACTAATACTTACAAAATTACCAATTTTTAGACAAACTTACAACAAACAAACAACTAACAAAAGAGATAACTTCTGACCTGAAAAATTTACACCCATATTTTCCCAGACTTTATGGCCTTCCCAAAGTCCACAAAAATAATTTACCTCTTAGACCAATAGTTTCCGACATTAATACTCCCCTATATAAACTCTCAAAATACATAAGTAACATTTTAACTACAATAACAAAACAATCACCACACTACATAAAAAATTCTTATGAACTCGTTACTGACTTAAAACACAAGATAAATTATATACCAGACAACTACAAACTAATTAGCTTAGACGTAGTCTCACTTTTTACTAATGTACCCCTAGACCTTATTTTAGACGCAATAAAACAATCCGATGGAATGAAATTCCCCGTTGACTTCTTTATCTTTACGCTGGTTCAGGGAAACCGTCAAGTTCATTGTCTCTAACACTTATTTTGAATTCAATGGCTCTTTCTATTATCAAATTTTTGGGGCGCCAATGGGGTCCCCAGCAAGTCCATCTCTAGCAGAAATATCCTTACAACTCCTTGAAAATACAATTTTCAAAAATTACAATAAACATATTTTTTATTACCGTTATGTAGATGACATTATCACTTGTATCCCTAGTGATGATGTCACTATGATAATTGATCAATTTAATAACGTCAATAAAAATTAAAATTTACAGTGGAATTGGAGACAATGAACTCGATCAGTTTCTTAGACATAAAACTTATACGTACTACAGATAACAAACTAATAACAAACTGGTACCAAAAACCAACTAACTCCGGACGATACCTTAATTACTTTTCTTATCATCCACTCAAAATGAAAATAGGTACTATAATAAATCTAACGGACCACGCAATACTTCTATCGGACAAAACATTTTGGGACAACAACATCAAATTAATTACAAAATTTAAACAGATAACTCTTATCCGACGAACGTACCTTTTGAATAAAATGGACAATTGCACAGTACATAACGATGGTGTAATATGTTTGCCATACATTAAAGAATTGTATGTTCCTTGGAAAAAACTTTTTATAAATCTGGACTTCGACTTGTAACCAATTTTAGTACAACTACTAGCACTATTTTTACCAAGACAAAAACCCCATTTAATATTGAACGACTCAGAAATCTCGTCTATCAAATAAATTGTTTAGACTGTAATTTAATTTACATAGGAGAAACTAGCCAGAACCTCAATAAACGGTTACAACAACATAAAAACAATTCAAAAAACCCCAAACAATTCAAAACAGTTCTTGCAGACCTGTCTTTCTCCATTACATCTTCAACCAGTCTACGAATAACACACTATCCATTTGTGATTTTTTCAAATCAGTATTTTGTGAAAATATTGTGTAATTTCAAGTTAATGTTTATAATACATAGTGTAGTGCATTACCATATCCTAATACCATGGATTACTAAAGTTTTCCGAATTAACACTAAGATCAACTAATTGTAAGTACTAATTACTATTTTATTTTTTCTTTTCACTCCAATTCAATTGTTTTAGTTTTTAATTTTAATTTTAGTTTCCACTGAATGAAGGCTAGGATTATAGCCGAAACGTATGGATTTAAAATAAATTTTTGAAAGAAATTCATGTTTTTTATTGATGTTATGCCCGATTATTAGACTTTGTTAATACATATGTCAACATCAAATTCAGAATCATACAAATATATATATATATATATATATAAATTTGTTATATTTCATTTCAATCATTTTTCTTAATAAGCAAAGCCACAATTATTTCTATTGAATATTCAAGCACATCAACAAACCTAATAACTACAAATTTTTTCTTCAATCTTTACCCGCGTCTTCAACAGCATTATCCTCATGCACATGTTTCCGTTTCTCAACGTGACCATGGCAGTTCTCACATTCATCCTCATCCTCATCCTCATTTTCGCCTTCATCATCGTTCATAACATCCTCAAAAGTTCTGGGCTTAACATATATACAGCAACCTTAAAAGGATGACATATATATATATATATATATATATATATAATATATATATATATATATATATATATATATATATATGTGTGCGTGTGTGTATAACACATATTTTCATACATTTGGATTTTTTCTTATTCATATTCTCATTATCAATGGTGGTTTCAGTCCACTGAACACTTTTCCTGTGTTTGGGTTTAGTTAAACGTAATCGTAGAGTGGGTACATCCTGAAATAAAAAAGATTACAATGTTTATATATATATATATATATATATATATATATATATATATAGCCCTCCCAGAAATTAATCATGCATTTCAACATCAAATTTAAACACTCAACATATATATGCTTATTTTTATGTTATCATATGCAAATTTTTTATAATGCTATCTCTTCCACTATTTTATTCATTTTATAAAAATCCGCCACTTTCTACATTTCTTCAATATATTGTTTGTTAAATATCTTATCAAGATTGTGTTTCTTGACATATGTCAAGAAGATGGAACGTATCTGGTTCCAAAATGTCGACATTAAAAAAAAAAAAAAAAATGTTTATTTAAAAAACTTTTGTTTTTTATTACTTTTTGTATTGTTTGTTCGAAGCTCTACAAAATATTTACAAATCTAAGACTGTCATATATATATATATTATATATATATATATATATATATATAATAATAATAAATGGTAGTCTGCCCGAAGGCAGGTCCATGGTGTGAAAATGAACCACAGAAATTATTGTTGAAAAAAAAAAAATTTGAAAATTGTAACATATTTACAAAAGTTAGACATTATTTTCTCTTACTCTACTTTCAGAGGGTAATTATTCTCGGCACTTTTTGATATATTGTGAAATGGCATCAAAACGGTCAACTATCTGTATATTGTCTATATATACTATATACTATACTATATAATTGTTAACTACCTGTATCTGCATATATATATATATATATATATATATATATATATATATATATCATATAATTAAAGGTACATAAAATTGCTTATGATTCATTAAAATATATGAACATTTGAATTTTACAATGACAGAATTTTTTTTATCAATAATATAGTAAAGTTATATCCATTATAAAACTATACCTAAAATTTTTCCTAAAACTATGTTATTGAAGAACCTATTATTCATATACATATCAATATAAAGCCAACATGCGAATTATTAATATAGTAGTAACACTCAATATCTAGTCGAAGTGATGAAAAAAAAAAAATATTTTTATGACAACAAATTTAAATATAAATTGTATATTTACGCTTCTCAAATGCTTATATCCAGATATCTAAATTTTTAATAATGTTAATAATTTTTCAATATGCAAATGTTTCAAGATAAATGATTTAATTGTTTCAGTGAGTTCTATAAACAAAGTGCCAGATGCGCTGTAGTGACACATGTGTCAGTGTGTTTGAATTTGATTCTGTCAAAATTGTTCGACTATTTACAGAAATTATGATTTCTGGCCTATATTTTCATAAAATGAACCATAGAAATTATCATTGAAAAAAAATTTGAAAATTGTAACATATTTACAAAAGTTAGACATTATTTCCTCTTACTCCAATTTCAGAGAGTAATTATTCTTGGCACTTTTTGATATATTGTGAAATGGCACCAAAACGGTTAACTATCTGTTGTTACATCTATTTCCGCAACAGCTTTCTATATTTTACTGTATGATTCGTTGTGATCTTAAAGTAGCTATCTTAGCTAGATCATATTCTAACAGTTCCATCAAAACTTCTTCTGTGTGCTCCCCTAGCATCGGGGGTGGCCTAAGAACTTTGCTTTCCATATTACTATACTCAACAGGAGGTCCAACCATTTTAACAGATCCATATATGTTATGTGATATATCCTTCAAATAATTAGCAATTACTACATATGTTCAATATATTTTGTCAATTCTGTATATTATTTACCTTGACAATACCTATAGCTTTAATATGTTCATCATCAAAAACTTCTTTAAGATTATTTATTGGTGCATAATATATTTATATATTTCATACATCTTTAATATGCATCATCACTTCTTAAGATTATTTATTGGTGCATAAGGAAATGGAGCTCCTTCCAATATGTTTAGCCACTCTTCAGTGCTTTTGCGTGCAAATATTTCTCTTAATGACGTTATCAATCCTTCTCTATTCTTCACACGAACAGCATTTGTTGAATATTTTTCATCAGACATTAAATCATATGCAGATAACCTTTTACAAAGAAATTTAAATTGATCATCTGATCCAGCTCCAACAGTTATATAACCTTTCAGAAATAAATTGAATATACTTGTGTCAAGAATTTTAGTTTATTTTTTTCATGACATACCTGTTCTGGTTGGAAATGATTCATAAGGTACAATACTTTCATGTGCTGTTCCCCATTTCTGTGCTTCTGAACCAGCATTAAGGTAATTACTTCCTATATTGATAAGTGTTGAAACTTGTGTTGAGAGTAGATTACATTCAATTTTTTGCCCAGTGGCAGTTCTAGATCGTTGCAACAGAGCTGCTAATATTGCTCCATGTGCATAAAGGCCTATACATTTTATTAATTTCAAGATAAATTAAAATAAAATTGACATTATAAATATGAAAAACCTGTTGCAATATCAGTCATTGCTACACCAACTTTACAGGGTTCACCATTTTTAGGACCAGTGATATGTAATAACCCACCTAAGGAAGCAGCAATTACATCGTACCTGATTAAAATTTATTAATAACTGAAGTTAATAAGATGAAAAAGAGATCAATTTCTATAAGTTAACATGATTTTTTTAAACTAAATTTAGTTAAAAAGTAATATATATTTAATTACAGTTTATTTTCCAACACTGCATGCGTATGATTTTTATAATGTGAACAAATAATTGATTGTTTAGCCCTGTTACATGTTTCCTCACATACTAATATAGTACAAACAGCCATAAATATTACTATATATGGCTGTGATGGGTACGTGTACATAAATCAAGAATGTTATACATCAGAGGCCTATACCACAAATATTTTCTTTAATTAAATATTGGTTACACAATATTGTGTGTAACATATCATGTAATATATTTCATACCCTGGTCTTTTAGCATACGGTCCCTTGGAGCCATAACCGGTTATTGAACAATATATTAACTGAGGATTCACTTTCTTTAGGTCTTCATAACCAAGATTCATAGCATCTAATTTACCAGGCACATAATTCTCTACAAGCACATCACTTTGTTCTGCAAGCTTATAAATAATCTCTTTCCCAATTGTGGACTTTATATCAATACATATACTACGTTTATTGCGATTATTTGCCATGAAATAGCAACTATCGGTGGAATTTTTCATAAATGGTGGGCCCCACTTTCGGGATTCATCACCAGTTTTTAATCGTTCAACCTTAATAACATCTGCACCCAAGTCGCCTAAAATCATCGTACAATAGGGACCAGCAACAATTCTAGTTAAGTCCAAGACACGAAAGCCCGAAAGCGGCCCATGACTTCTAACTACGTTCGTACAATAACATCTAACAATTTGTCGAAAAACCTTTTTAGTGTTATTGCACATATTGAACATTTTTAAACGAATATGATAACTTTAATAGTTAATAAGCTAAAGAGTAAATCTTCTCTAAGAGCATACAGTACGGTTATCATTAGTTAAACATTTGCATAAGGTTTAAATACGAACATATAACGACGTAAATATAAGTGTCACTCATCTAATCAAACATAAATGTCAAATCGTTTGAGAGATATCCGGTTATTTATAAAAGCATAAATTAATTAACTTACAGGATCTTCAGTAATTTCTTGCCCTTCAACTGTAATCGTCTCGCTGGATGCTTTAGGAAGTCTTGTGTTTTCATTACTCATTTTATTACAAATTGATGAATACCATGACAGAACTATATAATCGCACGTCTATAACCATAAAATTTTAATAAACACTGAGTTTGACATCGAGCAACAAAAAAGCTACCAACAACGTAGTTTATCTGTCATTGTCAGTGCTTAACAACCATTAGAGAACTGTAGCCTGTCAGTTCGGAAATAAGTAATTTGAAAACATTCAACATTTGACACCAAGTTTCATGCCAAATTTTATTTATCAAAGAAAGTTGGGCGATTGATTTTTTGTTTTATCTCTTACATTCTTTATGTTGAAAACTTTTTTTGATATGTCTATAAAAGTTTAAGATTTTATATAGTTTTTATGTTTCGCTGTTCTATAAACATATATATAGTTTTTTATACCAATACAATATACTTTCAAGATTTTTTTTCTCACTTTTATTTTTATTAAAAAAAATTTTTTTAGAACACTTGACTTTTCACATTTTACTCTTTATTTGAAATTAATATTTTTTTCACTTATTTTTTTTTCAATCTCTTCTTTTTTCTTCATTTGCTGGAGCTATTTTTTTAATTTTCCTGTCCTAGATAATATAATATGTTTTCCGTTGAGACAATATAATCAATGAATGACAATATAATTTTCTGTTGAGACAATATACTCTTCTTTTATCTATGAATAATAATGATTCCTGTTGTCTAGTATTGTGCTCGTGTATTTCCTTATTCCCTAGACAATATTAGAATACTCCGTGTCCTTATTCATAGTTATCTATGTGCATGTTTTGATTTTGTTACGTTCAATCTTATGTATTAATTTGCACTTTACTATTTTTATAATTTTATTTAATGGTAGGTAATTTGTTACATATTGAACTTCTTTAGCAGGTGTGAAATAGGAGAGATTATAGGTTGCTTGTTAAGTTAATTTTTGATTGAATATGAGTCCTAGATATTTTATTAGGGTTAAATCATTACATGAGTCAATTGAGAATGGAAGTACTAGCCTCTACTTTCTATTAATTTTTATTGACATTTATACTAATTCACTATTATATCGACATGTTTTTGTTTTTGTATCGCGCGCGTTCCTTCGTTCGTCGCATTTGGTCAGTTCGACAACCTGTTTAAATGTTCACAATCCCTCCCTCTAGTTGACTTTGACATTGTCACGATGCAGCCCTGTGCCTAATCTGCCTGACTTAACCAAACATCGCACAATTCGTAGTAGCCAGTACTTTTGTCGTCAACTGAAATTTTGTTTAAGACATTGTTCTGTTTTAGCGATTGATTCTACTTAATTGTACTGTTTGATAGTTTTATTCGATTTGACCCATAACCTGGTTTCGAGTGTTTTAAAAATTTTAGTTACATATTTGTGGCTCAATAATGTCAGTCAATGGGAAGATTTCTTATTTAAAAACGCTATTAGAAGATTTAGAGAAAGAAACCAATGAAATTGTTTCCTATTATGTAAAGGAGTTCAATGAGGTAAACTTTCAGCCCTTGATTTTCAGGTTGCGTTTTTTGAATATTTAATAAATACTGTTTATTTTATGTGTCCTAGCATATTGTATAATATAATTAGTTTTAATCAGAGTTGAAAGCATGGTATGTTGCTGTCTTTGATGCTCGTTTAATATATTTCTATTTTCAGATTGTAATCTGATTTATTAAAATTTGATTCACATTTGTATATACAATATCTGAGCACAATCTTTTTTTTACACATCTGTGAAATTGAAAACTTTCTTATGCTAAATATTTCTTAAATAAAATTAGCTACTTCAACTGAGAGACATTTATAGCTGTTCTTCGGGGTAAAAAACGGGTTTTTGATCTAAAAGTGATCAGTATTCACATTTGATTTATCAAATGTGATTTATTTTTAAAACTAATCAAGGCAATTCATTTGAATGGAGTAATTTGTTTTATATTGAATAAATAAGCTTTCAAATCTGCCTTTTATAATGCACACCATAAATTTTTAAATATTCATTATTTTTTGAGTGGGATTGATTTTGTTAGTTGTGTCTTGATTGTGAACATTGAATTTTTTTGTAGTGATAAAAATATAATGTAGTAAACGATTTCTCAAACTTTAGTTTTAGAGACACATTCTAAAGATTTTCCGATCGTAACAGTTTGAAAATTTGAATTGTTCTAAATACTGACAAATATGTGTGTAAATTTTTTTCTTTGCAGTTATAAGCATAAACATTTTATTTCAAATAAAGACTATTTATTTTGATTTGATTTGATTTGATTTTTATTGTATATGTAATTTTTTTTTTATAAACCATACATTAATAATGATATTTTTTATTTAAGTTTTGTGTTTCTTTATAATACTTTATGAATTGCAGATTGCAGGTGCTGTGCAGCACCTTTCTGAAGCAGGAGCTTCACTAAACAATGACACTTATTATAAAGTTGCTGGCATGATAAATGAACAAATTTCATTTTTGAGACAGATAAATATAGATAGACTTAAATTTGATGATAAAGGTACCATAAATATCTTGATTTTATTGCTGAATGTTTATAATTATTTGATTTTTGTTTCAAAGAACGACCTTGCATGACACTCTTGTCTTCAAGTTCCAGTCAAAATAAAAATAATCTAGACCCCATTATAAAGATGAGACCACCTGGTATCCATAATAAAAGTAAGTGAATATATTATAAAGCATTTGAATTGTTGTTTTTTTTTCTATGTTTTGTATTACAGGTTTTATTGAAACCAAATATAAGAATGAAGATGTATCTTCAATTGGTACTTTGGCATTTATTGAGGAGGATTCACCTAACATTTCCCATGTAATCAATGCAGAGCAATTATTAGCTGAAACTGCATCTGTTCAACAATTTTTAAATTTGGATTCATTTCAGACTCTCACAAAGCAATTGCCTACTTCAGATGAAATTATACAGTCTGTTGAGAACTCACCTCTAATTGATTTTTCATCTGATTCTTTCCAAAGTGGGACTGATGCGATTGATGTTCAGATGAAGTCTCACCCAAGTATAGAAAAAAATGAAAAAAATTTAACGAGAGGTGATTATATACACTTTTTATGATACTTTGTTACATGCTTAATATATATTAAGCATTTTATTTATTTTTATGAAAAAAATCTGACTCAAAACAATTTGACTTATATATTTAGGAAAGCACTATGAGTCTCAGACTCTCTTAAACCAATTGCCTACTTCAGATGAAATTATGCAGCCAACTGAGAAGTTGTCCGTAAATAACTCTCCACCTGATTCTTGCAAAAGTGTGACTAACATTCAGATGAAGTCCCACCCGAGTATAGAAAAAAATGAAAAAAATTCAAGTAGAGGTGATTATACACTCTTTCCATGATTTAGATATAATAAAAAAAAAACTGATTCAAAACAATTAGGCTTATATAGGAAAGTTCTTATATGTTTGTGTATATATATATATATATATATATATAATACACACACACACACACACATATATATATATATATATATATATATATATATATATATATATTAGTGATGTGCCGACTCGGAAAATTCCCGATTCGAATGATTCGAATCAGAAAAAAACCTTATTCGAATCATGGATGTATTTATTTAGTAAAAGTGATTCAAATTTATAATCAAAATTGCTAGTTTGACCAGTATAACAGACAAAGTAGAAATTGTAAACATAAATTACTATCAAAAAGTATTCTCTGAAAATTATTAAAAATGATTTAATTTTAAAGGAGGTTGATACATATCTACAAATTGATTTACAATAGTAGATTACCAAACAATTGTGCATCACTAAAGCATATAAAATAATATTTGGAATCATGGGTCAATTGTTTATTTTACTATATAATCAGTAAAGGATCGCATCTAAACTGAGGGCTGAAAGTTAATTTCATTAGTATGAATTTGCCATTACTTACATAATCAGAAGTTGAAAGTAGTTTACTGGCTTTCTGGTGTTTAGTAATTGTTTCAAAAGAGTATTATATTGAAAGATTCCCGAAACTCGTTTCATAATTTAGAGTGATTTATTCTGATAACATTTAAAATCTAAAACACTTAATTATTATCAAAATTGGGTAGTGATACTTTATGAATAAAATCGCTTTAGCGCTCTGTAAAACTAGTTGGTTTGGTATTTAGCCTTGAGGCAAGTTACATGAACTTCCCGATATGTGTGAATAATCGACTTAATCAATAAAAAATAAATTAATTTATGAGTGATTAAAAGTATTCTGAGTGGATTTATTACACATAATTAAACGCAAACAAACACTTTGACTCGGAGTATTTTCTAAAAGCAAATTTTCAAAAATCAACAATTATTATAATTGAACCAGTTTCCATAGGACTTTAATGGCTCAGTATGTTCATTAAAACCAAGAGCTCTATCGTTATACCAAGTAAGTCGTCTATTTTTAATTTTAACAAACGTCAAAAAACTACAAATTTTCTTAAAATTTGGTGAATTTTTAAAATTAAATTACTTGTCGTAAGGGCGTAATATTTCAATAAGTTGTATAAGACATTGATATATATATCGCCAAAAGAAGTTCCATAAAAATTGGCTTCAATTTTTGTTTCAACAGTTAATTACAAGAAAACGGCTCGGTAGGTTTTCACCTAAAACTAATCAGTATTATTCCCAACTAATATCTTTCAAACAGTTTTTGATCTTTTAAAATCGATTTGGTAGAATGAGCTTAAATGTGGACGAAAAGTTTAACACTTTTTTTCAAATTACAAAGAAACGGCTCGGCCGATCGTCGCACAAAACTGAGAAACGATAATCCTCATCGAGATGCATCAAATGGTTTTTAAATTTTTGAAATCGGTTCAGGCGTTTTTGAGCAAACGTCGATGAAAGTTCTAATTTTGACAAATGCCAAAAAGACCATACTAATTTTTGCAAACTTTGACGAATTTTTAAAGCTAAACGAGTTGTCGTAGGGCCGATTCAGAATGGCTTGAAACGTCGAGAAAACATAAAATTAGCGAATCGGATTTTTTGATGAAAACAAACTTCTCCTTCGGGAAGTTAATAAATAAACACGCAAGAACGACGACGCATTGTATCTGTTTCGAAGCCACTTGAAGTAATATCGATCGAACCACATGAAGTCGAAATGATTCGGTTTGAGTCATATGAAGTCGGATGATATAGTTAGTAGATGAATGCGGTTAAAGTCATATAAAGTCGATTGGAGTCGCGTGATACATTTAAGCGTATTAAAGTCGGTTGGCTCGCATGATTTAATTCATGATTATTTTTTATATTTATGTTATTTATTATTATTTTTTATATCATTATAATATTGAATTAAATTAAAACATTTTTTTATATTTATGAGAAAATTGTGTTCATACATATTTTATCACTGTAAATATTTCGCGGCTTGATACGAGTTGATTCGAATCAAGTAAAATCTGATTCGAATCAAGTCATTAAAGGCTTGATTCGACTTGGCACATCACTAATATATATATGTATATATATATATATATATATATATATATATATATATATGTGATTAATTTCTTGGAGGGCGTAACATCAAGTATAAAATATAAATAAAATAAAGATTTTTAAAACATTTTTATTTTTTCATACGTGGTTGTGAAATTCTTAGATTATCACTTACACATCTTAACATTAACTTGTTAATAATTGATATTTGGAAACAAGCACCAAATGTCAGTAATTTCTTTTTTATAAAAATTAAAAAATAATTAATAAATAAAATATTATATGTAAGCACCCGCTCATTCGAGGCTCATCCAAGGATATGATATTCTAAGATATTTTTGGATGAGCCTCGGATGAGCGGGTGCTTACGTATATTTTTTTTATTAATTATTTTATTTATTTAAATGTTTTTTAGGTATAACTTAGCATATATATATATATATATATATATATATATATATATATATATGAGTAAGTTCTTGTGGGGCGGTAAATCAAAGAATAAAAAGCAAAGATTTATAAGTTAATCTTTAATTCCGAACGTTTCGACATTCAATTTAATGTCATCATCAGTGGATCTAAAAACAGTATGAAAAATTAGTATATCTAGGTAATTATAATATCTGTGGATTGGTATAATAACTATAAAAATATAAGAGGAAAGTTAACAAAACAGCAACACTTAACAACAAACAAAATATAAAAGATAGAAAAGGTAATAGAGACTTTCATATATATATATCTCTGTGTGTGTGTGTAAATATATATTTTAATACACATAAAATCATATTTATTTTATTGTAAACTATAAATTTTATCAGATAATTTCTTTCAACTTTTAGGTAGACCAGAAATTGAAGCATCAATAACACAAGGTATATATACTTTATATATCATATATTGTTTCGTAGAAATGCAGTTTGTTAAAAATTAATTCTTGTAGCATTAGAGAGCATTGATATATATATATATATATATATATATATATATTAAAACGAGAGAATTTGGAAATATGAACAAACAACACTCCTTTTTGCACTAATGTATTAAATAATAATTTTCACAACGTTTGTGAACCGTTTGTTAAAATTATTATTTAATAAATTAGTGCAAAAAAGAGTGTTGTTTGTTCATATTTCCAAATTAATATATTAGGGTGGTCCTTAAAATGGTCATTTTCGAATTTCCTTGCTCCCAGGGGCTCAAATGGTTCTAAATTGATAAAAAACAATTCTCTGAAAGTTCTAACTCTTAATATTAACGTTTAGATAGAGCGCAATTCAATCAAACTTCGTATGGAAAGAGCATGGAAAAATTTTGAAAATTAAAAAAAAATGTTTTAGGTATAACTTAGCGACAAATGAATGAGTTTTATTCATTCAGTTGTTCGCTAAATTACATCTAAAAACATTTTTAAAATTTTTGAAAATTTTTTCATGCTATTTCCATAGAAAACTTTGATTGAATTGCGCTCTATCTAAACGTTAATATTAAGAGCTAAAACTTTCAGAGAATTGTTTTTTATCTATTTGGAACCATTTGAGCCCCTGGGAGCAAGGAAATTCAGAAATGACCATTTTATGACCAATGATATATATATATATATATATATATATATATATATATCTGTGTGTGTGTGTGTGTAAATATATATTTTTACACATAAAATCATATTTATTTTATTGTAAACTATAAATTTTATCAGATAATTACTTTCAACTTTTAGGTAGACCAGAAACTGAAGCATCAATAACACAAGGTATATATACTTTATATATTATATATTGTTTCGTAGAAATGCAGTTTGTTAAAAATTAATTTTTGTAGCATTAGAGAGCATTGATATAGCTCAAGTAGAAAATGAAAGTACCACAAATGCTTGCATGGCTGTGATGGGTTATGAACCTACTGATGAAGCATCTATTTGCCGATTTTATGATCAATCAATGGGTGGTTGTTTTAAAGGAATGCATTGCACAAAGAAGCATCAGATTATCAACCCAAGTAAATTAAATTCGAAATTCTTACTTTCCACAAACTCGCAATTCGCAAGAATGGGAATTATTTCGTAAGAATGGGAATTATGAAGTTATTAAACTTTTTTGCTCTCGAAATCGTTGACGACAATTTGCATTCGCACGTACGCACACACATAAACACACACTCATACACACATACATCCATTTTTCAAAAGTATGCCAAAATTTTCATGTTCGATTTTTTGCGATTATGTACTATAACTTACCTTACAGGAAGTTAAAAATGTTTTGCTGCGAGCTATTATTAAATTAGTGTATTATAAATTATGGATTTATTTATGTTTGCTAGATGGCTGGACGAATGATAAAAAGGGTGATGGATATTTTTATTTGCCTTCAATGTATATCCCAAAACCAGGAATGCTCATCAACATCAAGGTTACACATGTTACATACCCTACCATATTTCATGGTCTGTTTCACCATGATAGACCTACGTATTTAGGTATGTGTTGTATTTTACAAATTACAATAGTGAAGTTTCAGAATTATTAATGTTTTTTTTGCTCAAAATATATTTTTAGTCTTTTGTATGAACCAAATGCGTTACTAGATCAATTTTATACCTAATATTTAACTAACGAGTTATAGAAAAAGTTTGTAACAATGCAAAATAGCTTGCACTAAAAGTTTTTGATGTAGTTACTTCAACAAATATTGTAAAAAAATAAATAGTACAAAAACTTTACTTTCACTTGGGTCTTAAATTTTGCTTAAGTTTTAGCAATACTAAAACTATAAAATAATATATTTAATATTGTACTTATAATTCAGAAAATTAAAACCTACACTGTTTCAAGAATAATTTAAGTATAAATTTGATTTGAACATAGAATACAATTAACCTGTTTCATGACAAGTCAATAATTTTGCTTATAATATTTGAAAACATTAGATGTAAGTAGGTTTAAAATGATAATGGGCTTTTGAATAATAATTATAACAAAGTAATATGGGAAAATGACACTTATGATAGCTGCTATTAATCAAGAATACTTCAATATCTCAGTAGCAGCATGTTTGTGCTCTTTGTGCTTACTTAATATAATCTATTTCAAGTACAATGCCAGAAGTCCAATATGAGTATATAATATTTTTGAACTTGCCGAGTTGAAAATTTCAATCTTAATATTAAAAATCATTTGATATATGTACTATGTTTATATTCTTCATATCAAATTTTTTTTTTAGATCATTTTCAAGATATAAGTGAAATGGCTAATTATTTGAATGAACCAGAAATTATGTCAACATTCAAAAAACTTACACGAGACCCAGGTATTTTATTTATTTTTAATAGTTCACTTTACTTCAATATAATAAAAATTATTGTATGTATTAAATTACCTATTTTTTGTGTTGTATAGTTATTGGAGAATTGGTTATTGCTCCTTTCTCTCGTGATGGATTTTATTATAGAGCGAAAGTTATACAGCCAGGGGAATATGGATATGTCAAGGTATCATTGTAATCTATAAATTAGTATGCTCATTTACATTTAAAATAAGTTCTACGGTGCTTATAGTTTTAACTCTTTTTAAGGTGTTATTCATTGATTACGGAAATTCAGAAGAAGTTTTAATATCTGAATTATATCAATTTTTATCTGAATTAGCTGATATTCCACCACAGGTAAAACATTCAAAATATATTCATGATGATAATATTAGTTTTAATATCAGATGCTTTTATTATACTTTTAGGCTGTAACATGTACTCTTGCTAATGTTGTAACTCGTTGTGCCAGGTCTGGTAAATCTAATTTACTGTCACAATTGATGGAAGAATTGACATCAACTCTTTTATACAAAGTGTTGAATTGTAGAGTTGTGTAAGAAACTATTTTTGATGTTCTTTATTGTTTTTGAATGGTTGGAATGTATATTCTATTTATTTTGATTCTGTATCTTTCAGAAGTCACCAGGGGGAGGAACTTCAGGTGGTTGCATACTTAGAGGGTTTAGATATATCAATTTATTTGGAGCAAGAGGGATTTTTGAAAAGATTGGATAATTCGGATTCTAATATGTGTATAAAAAAATATCTGGGCCAGCCACATCACATTCCAGGATAATAATGAATAAATATTAATTTACAATATAAGTCAACTTATGCATGTTTTATGAAATTCTACTTACGTTATGTATGTTTTATGAAAATCTACTTATGTTAAAACATAATATATTTTTTACAAATTACAATTTTCTTTAAATGGTTTGAAGATTATTTTATTTTGTTGCATTCTGCTACTTATTCAGCAGCGATCATTAATTAAATAAAAACTTTAGTCTTTTCACAGTTACATGCTTATCCTTGATCACTATAGTGTTTTTTTTTTGTTTTTGATTCCACTATTTCTGATTTCATTGATTTCTCCAAATCATTCAATTCATTCCTTGCATTACCTGTCTCTTCGTGGCAGGAGTTAAAGACTCATTTATGATAAATATATTGTCAACAAATTCAGTTTTGTTTCAGGAGAAAATTTATATCTAAGTTTTATTTGTGTCAACTAATGCACGGTGTTCAAAATACTTCATTGTATTTTAGGGGCGTTACCCAAATATAAATGCATAAAATTATAAGAATATTTATCATCATCGAAATATATTTTCAATCTAATTGCTTTTATTAAGTCTTTCTTTAGTTTTTCTAAAGTGTCCTAAACTCTATAGTTTTAATTTAAAAAAATATTCTTTCGGCAGTTGCGATTGTACTGGAATGGACAAGAAAGAAATGTATGTTTAAAAAATGCATTATTACGTCGATAAAAAAAGCATTGAATTTTATTAACAATAATTCGACGAGTTCCTTGATAATTTAATGGCTTGGATTTCTGATTTTAAACGTTTTTACAATCATCACTTGGTCATTAAGATTAGCTAAGATATCTTTACAGTATTTAGTTGACAGTTTACCGGAAACGTTTGTTATCTCTTGATTTGAAAAAGACAAGTTTATCCGGTTGTAATATGTTGAACATATTACTTACGTCTCAAAGGTTCTGAAATCTTTATTTGGTTGTGCTAGGGTATGGTAGTGATCACTATCGACAGTCGTCATAACATCTAAAACTATACTGATTTTCACATAGGGTTCAAAGTGAGAAAGATGTAGTATGTTTGTTTGAATATGATCAAGACCGCATTGCATTTAAAGAATTAAAAAAAGTTTCTTCGTTTGATTTCTTTTAATAATAACTGTTCATTGTATGTATACAGATAGATTACTTACCTAGACAATATAATAATATTGACAATATACTTAATGATTAGTTTTTTTGTTATTTTGCTGTAAGTTGAACATTAGTATAGTTATTTACCAACGATTTGCTTACAATTAGATAATTTAGCTGAATCATGATAATTTTGATTTTAAAAGTGTGCGTTGGATAGGCTGGGTTGTCCTTTTCGGATAAAGATTAAACAGATAAAAAAATCAAACTTAACTAAAACAAAATACGAAAGAGAAATAGCCCGGTCAATTAACGCATTCAAGGTTACTATAATTTATAATGAACTGTAACTTGACAAAATTGTTTAAAATACAATTTTAAAAGAAATCTCAAAAGTCCTCATTGATCCGATGCGAGCTACAAAAAATTGCACAAGGTCAAGGGTAAAAAATGACCCTTTTGCAATTTTTAGCTAAATGGTCTGTTTTATCGCAAAATTACTTGAGACAATATTGTAGAGCATACAATTATCTACAAAAAATGCATCAATACTTTTTTTTGCTCAGAGCCGCACCGTTTTAAAGATATATCACTTTGAAAAGTACGTTTAAACGCCACCTACGAGGTATAGTGTGCTTAGCTCGTTTCTTTACGTGGTTTTCCCAGTAGGCCTATTTCAGGGAACTGTTGTGATTTTGTTTGTTTTTGTAACGCTTGCAAAATTTGTGAATTTGGGTTGGTAAAAATAAAGGCGGTATAATTATAAAAAAGCAACTAAATTTATTCCTGGGAGTCATAATTTTCTAATGTTTCTACATCTTTTTCGTATTGTTTTTCTTGATTTTCTCCTTCTTCTTCTTCTTTTTTTTTTCTTCTTCTTCACTTTGAGTATAAGCTTTTCCTGGGTTAAAAAAACAAAAAAATGGTTCAGTTCGAGTTCAAGCAGTTCCTTGTTTGTATTGTATACAAGTTCAGTTTATATTGTATACAATATTGCATCAGGTAATTTTGCGATAAAACTGACCATTTAGCTAAAAATCGCAAAAGGGTCATTTTTTGACCTTTGACCTTGTTTCATTTTTTTTGCTCGCATCGGATCGATGAGGATTTTTGAGATTTCTTTTATAATTTTATTTTAAACAATTTTGCCAAGTTACAGCCCATTATGAATTATAGTAACCTTCACCCTGATTTTAGGTTTAAATTGACCGGGCTAAAATCAGGGTGAAGGTTACTATAATTGATTGAATGGATTGCAATCCATTGTATATATAGTAAATTAAATTGTAATTTGAACATTTGTTTACTATTATATATAAAGACAGTAATATAGTAGACAAATGTTCAAATTACAATTTAATTTACTTTTCTCCCAGTTAACTGATGGTAAATTAACAAAATTATGGCTGATCAAAAAAAGTGCCCCTATTTATATTGTATATGAAGAAACTTGTAATTCTTAAGGAGGCGTCCATTAATCACGTGAGCGAGTTTTTAAGGATTTTTAGACCCTCCCTCCCCCTTGGTGATACTTCGTGATATTCAAATTTACCCCCCCTCTTCCAGCAAACATCACGTGTATTTTTAGTAACGTGAAAAATTTGTAAAATTTAATTTTTTTTTGAAAATGTATGAACTTTTTATAAAAAATAGTAAATAACATAAATACACGTGATATATTGCTAGACCCCTTCTCCCCCACGTGATATTTCGTGATTTTTTGGCAAACCCCCCCTCCCCCTAAAAACCTCACGTGATTAATGGACGCCCCCTAAAAGTATATAACTATTACTAATATCGTGTATCGTTATTGAAATAATAAAGATCGAGATAACATTTCAATTTAAAATGTGATTAATTGTGGAGTTATTTCAAATGTTAAGTATTTCATAAAATAGATATTATATCATGCATTATAAAGCACTCGTTTACGAATTTTCAATTTTCTCGGAAATAAATACAATGGTATTATGTACATGCTCGTTCGATGACGCTCAAGCTCGGCTTCGCTCGTTTCCATTTATGTTCTTACGACTGCCGTTGAAACAAATCAAAAGTTCCCGAATTGTCAAACGAAAAGCACGTTATTTTTGTGAAACTTTAGTGAATTAATTTTGGTGCAATGGCAATGGAAAAGCAGCTTATTTTTAAAATAGCGGAGCTGGTAAATTTTATTTTTATAATAATTATCTAAACATTTCTGGTTGCACGATGTTTATGGATGAACAAAATAATTTAATATTTGAGATGCCGTTTCAAATTTATTTTCATTGTAAGAACAAATAAATGCATTTCATTTTCATGAAACATTTTGATTCAGTTTGTCATACTGACAAGAGGGAATGAAAATCGAATAAAGTTTTATTTTGGAACTCGAATACTCTTGGTGTAAATATTGTGAGTGAGTCTATATGCGAAGATGATGAAATGTTTCTCAAAATATTACATGTTGATTATAAACGGCTAGTACATAACTATATTTTTGCTACTATATTTTGTATTTGAAGTTAAATTATGACAATTAAGAATATTTCACCCTCGGTGATATTATATACTTATCCATTCTTCATTATTTAGATTAAATAATTATTTAGCAATAAAAATATTGAAAATAATCTCGCATTTTAAAATATGCTTTCACATCTAGTATTCGATGATTGCATTAGTAAATGCATTAGGTAATGCTAGATTAATGACGCCAGAATTGAATTAACATAAATCGTAGTATAGGCTGTGTTCATTTGTTTACAGTGGGTGTGTGAGGTCATTCGTATGATGTCATAAATTCTTACTCAATTTCGTGGTCCCACATGTTTAGAAATCTTAATCTTAGTCTGTGTTTTTTTCTTCAAAACAAATATTGTTATGTTGTATTTTTCATATATGTGTAATATGGAATTAATAGATAATCCAGTGAATTTATGTATTAATATCTTCAATGTTGATGCTGCATTATATTGTTTCATTTGAATTTTGAAAATTAAAAGTGGTATTCTGGTCTTGATTTTTTTGCATTATTTAACTATTCAAGAATTTGTGTACAAGAGGATGTCCCAAAACTAAAATTATTTTCAGAGATATAACTGATGTTTCATCATGAAAATTCTCTTCTCTTTCCTTCCTCAGAAAACTTTAAACGCGTTTTTCTCGAAACTTTTTGGATACGATACCCACGATTTCTCAACTTTATTTATTTAAAAATTTTATACAGTCTGCTTATAGACTTTTTTTAATATGAACTACGCTTAACCCCAAATTCTGATGTTTACTATTTTCAAAAAATTCTAGAATATCAAAAAAATGCGATTTATGACGGAAAAATTTTAGTTTTGCGTGCACGAATCAAAAATATATATAATAGTATATAATGAAATTATATACCCACTATTATGAAATGAATTTGTGATAATACATTCTATCTCTATCACATTACTTAAGATCAAAATGGCAGCATGTTATCGTTTTTCTAATTGAATTAAAATAGGTTTTGACCAGCTCTTCATTTTCTGCTTAAATTTGTACTACTATTGATTTTTTTCATCTTTGTTTCAAAATCTTCTGAATATTTTGGCATACCCTTGTAGAAGATGGATGAATGTGTGTGTGTATGCTTGTGTGGGGATACAATTTTTTGTCGATGATTTCGAGAACACGGATTGAATTATTCAAACAAAAATTGATTCCTATTCACGATAAGCCGTTTACTTATTAGTTTGTGGCCGAGGCGGGTTTGAAGATAAACAAAAAAAATAGACAAAAAGTGCCAAAAATGGTAATTCAGTTTTTGAAAAACGGAGCGTCCGATTTGAATGATTGAAAACACATTTTACTTGTATCGAACGAAATGAACAACTGTAATTCAATGAAAAAAAAGTTAAAAAAGTAGACTACTACGCGGCGCTCACGTGCTCCGATATTTCGTCTCTAAAAGGGGTATGCAGCGCGATTGCTTTAAAAAAAGTCAAAATTAAAAAAAAAAATGAAAAACAAAAAAAAAATTCAAAAAAGTCATTTTTTTTTAACAAAATCTCAAATATTAATTTTTTTCAAAGTTTTAAAAAAATCTCAAAGTTTTCCGTAATTTCCGTAATTTGGCCATGCACTACTAGTTTTCCACTGAATTCTCCCACTGTTATGTTTTAAAGAGAGCAGTGAAATTTAAGCTCAAGTATACTGAATATAGAAATGACATAAGCGTTTGCCTCATTCAATTTAAAACGTTGTATACGAAGCACGTTTTATATGATTTCACAAGGCCAGTCGTCGCCGGAAAATTAAGTGTTTATAGCTAGCGCTGCGTCTGAAATATTCGATGATAGGTAGCACCGGGTATCATAATAACCTAGTTAACACGATATAGCACATCTATGAATGGCAACATTATTGTTTTTTGTGGATATTTTTACTCAAACTAGTGATGTTTGGCATCGAATCTGAAGTCAAATTGCTGCAACTTTACTTTCTTATAGGCAAATGTTAAAACAAAAATTGAAAAAAAAAAATATTTTGTAAATTTAGATTTTTCTTGAAAAAGATTTTTTTTCTTGATTTTAATTATATACATGTATTCATATTTACATATGCTAATAAATATAAACATGCGTAGTAATTTTTCGTGACGGTTCCACAGGTGTTGTAGCATGTAAGATGTGTTTTTAGTGGGTAGTTATTGCTTAAGAAGTCGGTATTATTCAACAGATTGACCTTTATATAATAATAAATAATTGTTTTCAATTTCTGAAAATGATCTTAAGTTGTTAACCGTCAGAACATAAAATATAACAGTTTCGAAGCTTCCCAAATTTATACCCTCACCTAATTTTTATATTAAACCGTATAAAATAATACACAAAAAATTCCGTATTATTTCAATATTGAATTTCTATTTAATTAAGAAATTACATTTACTATGAACAAAATTATAATATTATCATAGAGCTAACCATAAATTTGATGTTAAAGAATTTTCATAACTAACCATTTAACGTTATTATTAAGGTCATGGATTTTGTGTTATTTTTATTTAATCCGTTATAAAATTAAATCTCTAACTCATCGCTTTAATATAAATATCTAATTTGATATGAATTTATATGATCGTGTTACAATTATTTTATTAGTGCAGACTCTATTTTTCATAAGAATCATATTTAATTTAATACTTAATTAATATTTAATTTAATACTGTCTTTTAGATAGAGCGCAATTCAATCAAAAATTTGTATGGAAATAGCATAAAAAAATTTTCAAAAATTTTCAAAAATTTTGCAGAGCGTCGAATTTTCAATAAAAAAAATACACGAATTTTCACTTTTAATTTGTCGCTAAGTTAACTTAAAATTATTTTTTTTTAATTTTCAAAATTTTGTCCATGGTATTTCCATACAAAGTTTGATTGAATTGCGCACTATCTAAAAGTTAATATTAAGAGCTGAAACTTTCAGAGATTTGTTTTTTATCAATTTGGAACCATTTGAGCCCTTGGGAGCAAGGAAATTCGATAATGTCCATATTAAGGACCACCCGGAAAGTCGGTGTGGCGTCGGAAGCAAATTTTTGATGGAAGGGCTCGTTTTTTTAGACAGTCAGTGTTAGCTCTTTTTTATTTTTTGGCATTGTAGACCATATAATATTTTGAGAGGCTCAAGCCCACCTAGCCCACACGGTTCCGACGCCACTGTATATATATACATATATATCAATGGTATATGATATGTGATATCAATCATATAGTACCATACACATATATCATTCACAATTACTATTAATATGTAATCATTTGATAACAAAATGTCCAACATTCTCAAATATTTACGTTTTTATATGTGACCTCAGTTAATTTTTTGTTAATAAACGCGTGCGAATTTTTATTTTAGAAAGTGCCCTTCGTACCCATTAAAGTTATGCACATCTTATGTATGGCAAAGAAACCGGTCTGAATTTGTAAACAACGGATTTCGTGTGTTGAAATCGTTGAGAAATTAGTAATCGTTTGAATTTGTTTGCATTATTAAAACAAAGTGTGACGGTTAAATTTAAACTCGGTCGTGAGTCATTAACATATTTTTTATTTCATTTTGTGTTACAAATAAAAAATCTTATATTATATTAAAATGTACATAATAAATTAAAACGCTTTTTATTTATTTAAAACCAAAGAAAAATGGAAGAAGAAAAAATAATAAAAATGAGAAAGTATATTCAGCAATAATAATAAGAATGACATCGCCTTCAGGTAAATTGCTATAAGTTCTCTCATTGAAAATTAAAATTTTTTGAAAACTTTGAAAGAAGTATATTTTTGAGAATTTTGAAATAATTTGAAAGATCTTCTAAGCAATCGCACTGCGTATCTGGTTTAAAGACGAAGCGCGTAAGCGCTGCGTGGCAGTCTAACGGAACGGAACCGATATAAATGCGAATAAAATTTGTCCTTGTCATAATCTCTATAAAATATATGATAATTTGATGTGCATATGTCTAATGATCATTTCCCAGAATTTAACTTCATAGTAATCAGCACGTCTCTCCACTAATACGAATCGAATGGTTTTTTAATTAATAAACATAAAGATATATACAAATTTTTATTTTTATTTTTTTCGATTACTATAACTTACCCTACGGGAAAGTAATAAAAATGATTATAATAATAACAACAATAATAATAGTAATTTATAATGATTTCAAGAAAATAATGAGAAAGAATTGCCATTGAGGCGGCTTGGGTAGACTTTGTAGAGTACTCAATGGGCTTTGTCTAAGCTTACTCAATAAGGGTGTTTATCTTTATAGTTTTCTGATTAAGTTTATTTTCTCATTTATAGTCTTCACTATTCCTATTTGATACGTTGTTGGGTGTATCTACTCTCTAATAAATATTATATTTTTAATGTATCTTGTTAGCGGTTTCTGCTTATTATTTCATTATAAACAGATCGCAGAATAAAGTAGATAACAAAAAAATAGTGTACACGTTATACTGTTTTGTTGCATGAACCATGATAGGTTCATAAACCTAAGACATTTTCAATGTTTTCTGTTGAGATTTTATTATGTTTATTAGGTATTTTATATTATTGTTATTGGTGTCTTTATAGGGTGTTGTTAGAGTTCTGTGCATGTACTGTGTTTTCGCGCGTAATATATGAATTTTTATAATAAATATATTAGTTTTAAATATTTCTGTGCTTTTTTTCTCTTCAATAATATAGAGGCTATTTGTTATTGATATTTTCTATTGATTATACAATTTAGCCAGTAGCAGTTTCTTTCTTGATTATTGGCCTGAACATGTTTAGTTTTTTTTACTGGTGATGAGTCTACTACCACAGTCACATTTGTTCTAACTAAAATATATTGCTAATAAAGTTTTTTTCCAGCGATTTACGGAATTAAGGAAAGCTCTAAATAATTTTAGTAGATATTATTTTATAATTTTTGGATGCATATGTAATTTTTTCATTTACAACAAATATAATTTTATAAAATATGTTTCAAAGCCATTTGTGTTAAATTTATGGTGTTTGCAATTCTGACTAATTTTACATGTAGTAATGGAGTTAATTAAAAATAATTATCAGTTCATTTTTATGACATCATTATTCGAACGTGCGAAGGCAGAATTATATTTTAATTTATGATTCATACTTTACAAATGCTTGAAATGAATTCTGTATAGAATAATATCAGTTTCAACTAAAAAAATATGGGTCGATTTTTAAATATAAGAATTATTTTTTTATTATTTTATAACAAGCAAAATTGCTTAAAAATGTCACAACAACTGTGATGTTCTTTTTATTTAATATTAAGTTAATTTTCATAATAATGTAAGTTTGCTTATAATAGTGTAGTTTCACATTGCAATGTATTATTTCCAATTGTAATGTATTATTCCATTAAAATACAATAAATGACAAATTTTCATTAATAGAGAAGTTATTCGTAAAGTTAAGTTAGTTATTTATAAAGGTCTGGTCGATGTTCATCAAAAACTAAACTGATTCCAACTGATATATTTGGAACAGTTTTGAATTTCCAAAATCAGAACTAAAATTTAAGCAACTTTCTGCTGATTATGAAGAAATGGTTTGGCTAGTCTTGGAAAACTGATCTACTAGATTTTTTTCGAGTTTCATCAAATGGCAAATGGCATTTAAATTTTTGAAATCGGTGCAGTCGTTTTTGGAGTTAAAAACTAAAGGGCAAATTTTAGCTTACATATCCATTCAATCACTCATATATAAACTGTTTCTAATTTTTTGTCAAACGAACCAGATTAACTTAAATCCTCGAGAAAAATTAGCAAATCGGATTTTCCGGTGAAAACATAAAACTTAGTAAAAGTTTTTAATCATTATACAAGAATAGAAAATTACAATAAATAAAATAATATATATTTTCAGTAATATTATATTATTGATTGTACAACATTCATTGCGAGTATTGACCTACTACGTTTCCACTATTTTATTGTAAAATTGTAATCTTATCTTATCTACGTTGGTATATTACGTTGTGTGTGAATGGCATTCATATAGTTTTCATACAGAAGAAATTCACCTATATTCGTTTTAAAAAAAATAAAATCATGTAAATTGGGTTTTAAAAATAAAATTAATTTAATTTTTATATAATTCTTTTTTAGAATTGCATAATTTTTTAGCCTTTGTTGACCCATCTTCAGTGCATACAAATAATTCAAACAAAACATGAAAATGAAGCACAAATTAATGTGAAGCACTAGTCATAAAATAAAAAAAATTACGATCAATGATTGTATTCAATGATTTCAAAATGGTATGATCACAAAACTGTACTCTTACAAGTCTTTTTGATTTATTTTAATTTGATATTAAATTTTTGTTTAGTTTTATAATTATTGTATATATTAAATAGCGCTTCCCATTATTTTAATTGTTTGTATGCACTGAAGATGGTTCAAACCAAGATTTGAAATATATGCTGATAGAGACTATTAAGATATGTAATGTATTCTAATAGAGACTATTTTCTTAATTTTTTTCAAATCTTTGGATAATTTAAAAACACTTCATCGTATATCTTTCACTATCTGAAAAAAAACCTTACACTTTATATACGAGGTGTGTTCAAAAAGTACCCGGAATTACTAATAATTAAATTTCGCGGGTCTGGAGTGTCTGATTGTCAAAATTTTTTTTTTATTGTGTTGGTATACATGCCCCTAAAGTATGATGAAATTTTCAGCTATATTCACTGTTTACTTTGTCTGTGGTAGTCGCTAAGGTTCGACGTGTTTTTCTGAGCTCGGCGATTTTTACAATGGAAGAATTGAAAAGTCAAAGAATTTGTATTAAATTTTGCGTAAAAAATGAAATAAAGTGTTGCAAAGTGCAAAAATTCACCAGATATGGCTCCGTGTGACTTTTTCCTATTCCCAAAGTTGAAGAGACCCATGAAAGGACGGCGGTTTTCCTCGATTGAAGAAAATCGCTGAGAGTGCTCAAGGACATATCAAAAAATGAATATCAAGGGTGCTTCGAAAATTGGAAAAAACGCTGGCATAAGTGTATTATATCTGGGGGGGACTACTTTGAAGGGGACCACATTAATGTAGACGAATAAATAAATATTTTTTTGAAAAAACGAAAATTCCGGGTACTTTTTGAACAGACCTCGTATATGCTTGTGTTTATGTATGAGCATATGCACAAAGGTTTTAATATACATTTGAAGGCTTATTGTATTGGGTTATTTCTTTTAATAACCGATTATTCTATTCCTTATAAAGGTGTTGGCTTCCATTTGCCTTGGCCTTCACTGCTACAGCGGACTTAGCGACTTGCATGCCAATCGTTTGGCCACTGGCACTTTTATTGGCTACATAATTATTCTCATCGGCTTAGCTGGCGGTGAGTATTTCTTATTAAAATTCATAATTTATGTTTGGAATGTGTCAAAGTCAGAATTTGATATTTTGGTATACTGATTCTGATTTTTTCTCAGATGATGATATATAAATTATATATTATTATTATTATTATATATATTATATATATTATTATTCTCATCGGCTTAGCTGGCGGTGAGTATTTCTTATTAAAATTAATAATTTATGTTTGGAATGTGTCAAAGTCAGAATTTGATATTTTGGTATACTGATTCTGATTTTTTCTCAGATGATGATATATAAATTATATATTATTATTATTATTATATATATTATATATATTATTATTCTCATCGGCTTAGCTGGCGGTGAGTATTTCTTATTAAAATTAATAATTTATGTTTGGAATGTGTCAAAGTCAGAATTTGATATTTTGGTATACTGATTCTGATTTTTTCTCAGATGATGATATATAAATTATATATCAAAACGTATGGTAAAAATTCTTTAAAATCTTTGCCATTAAGTATTTGTCGTTTGTCTTTTATCAAGATTTTATTCATTTATTTAAATATTAAAATTGACTATATTTAACACACTCATATATGTGTGTGTATGTATGTAGTACATATATTTATGTTCATATATGTATATATGTTATACAGATTTATGTAATACTTATGTGCATGCAAGAAATTGAATGAAGTGCGTATGAGCATGCAAATAAAAATTTATTTCGCGTTTTATTCAGGTCGTTATCAGAGGTATCAGATGGACCGCCACCTCGAGTGGTACTTTATAGGTCTCGCCGTCGTTTTGTATGTTGCCTGTGGAGGCCTGTACATTGACCAATACGATAATTATATTAAGGGAGATTATAGGGACAAGGGTCTTGCTTGCGGTTCTTTCGCCATCATTACGGCAGCCGTCCTTATTGCTGACATCGGCAACAGTCTTCGAGGTTAATTACTGAAAAGAAAAAGGCGATAAGTTATTTTTTTCTTTATTGCGCTTTAGTTAGAGAATTATTTCTGAAAAATAAGTTTTGTGATGAATCTAAATCTTTTTTGCAGAAAAAATCATGCAATCAATTTCTAAATGTTTTTATTTTGTGTAATGATTTTAAATTTATATTGTCAGTTTCATATCAATATATCTGCACCTTTGGACAACCAATGGAAGATTTAATATCAAATTTACTCATTTCAATTGTAACTCTAGGAGCAGTTTATAAGAATTTTCAATTTTTATTAGCTCTTTCAAACAAATAAAGCCAAATTTTTCTATTTATGTTATTATCTTTAACTCCCTATCTAAGATAATAACAGGAGAATATGTATAAATAGGAGAAAAGAGAAAATGTATAGTCGTATTCTTGATATAATTACCTACATTCTAGAATTCTTTGGGAATACATATGAATTTGATCCTAAATTTTATTTATTTATTTTGATAATTTGGCAACTTGTGTTTAATTACATTTTAAGTCTTCTACATTTTTATATTTAATTTTATCAATGACAGCTTCGTCTATGTATTAGAATGATTATTTTATAAAATAGTTTATATAATTTTCTTTGTTATATTATTTATATACTTTTACAAGTAATTACTTAAGATTTTTTGTTATAGATTCAGATATGTATAAATTCAGTCTTTTTGGATACAGCTTTTATGTTTTATAATAGATTTCGATATGATTTCTGAAATGAAAAATAATATTATGTGATGATTTTGGATTCGGAATTTCTACTGCCGCAATAACTTATTGCCGAGTTTGATATACTATAAATGAAAATACCTCTGTATATTCAGTTTTAGTGTACACAATTCTCATTTTGTATTAAGAAATTTAATTTATATCATGTACCTAATAAATAAGAGTAAGATTTTAAAGTAAGATAATATAAAATATATTTTTATAGTTTTTCAGAGACAATAACGCAAATATTTATACACGTTAATACTCCATTTTCAGTTTTATCATATGAGAATTTAATTGACTGCCGGTAGTTTCATTTTTATTTTTTCTCTAAGACTTTTTTTTAAACATAAATTACTTATTTTGTCATGTGTCAAAATTGTTGTGTATGGAAAGAAAATTTATTGTACCTTATTGTTTTATATTAGCTTTCTTATTACTAATCAATAAAACTATAAAATATGTAATACTGCCATTTACTTTACAAGAACCTAGCAGGTTAGTTAAAAATTTTCTTTACTATAAGATGTTGGTGTACAATTCTAGTCTTAAGCGAAAAAATATATTAAAAAAACAAATTTGTAAGTGCTGTGTATTTTTCGATGCACGTTTAACGTTCCGAAGCTTTACTGTATTTATGTACCTTTAAATTCTAGCTTTAACATAATTAGCTTATGTTTTCTAATTTTATAAATGTTTATTAATAAAGTATATAAGTTGTATTTGAGTTTTTTTGTCAGCATTTAGCCAATAAAACATACATTTTATATATTTACATTGTAGATATTTACCACATGTTTTATAGTTTAAATTTGGACACTTATACTGTTCTATTTTCATACTTTGGTTTTCAAAACGTTTGTTATATATCATCTTGTGTGTCGTTAATTAAATTGGTTTAAAAAATTGATTTTCATTGATGGCATTTAAAGAATGCAAATGGTATAATTACATTGTTGATATAATAAAAGATAAAATGATAAAATTAATGAAACAATAATACATGCATGAAATACTACATTGTACAGACTTCTAATCTATTTTATACATTTATATCATCAGTCTTATTGTTGAAATGAAATCTAATAATAAAATAATATGTAATTCTTTGATAAGAGCTTCGTAATGGAGTGCTTGTCAGCTGAAGCAAGCGCTCTAATTATCACAATTGACACAAATTTACATCAAATTATAAAATATAAAAAACTTAATGTTATAGAATGTTATTCAAATATTAGATTTAAGACTATATTAATCGTGCTTCATATTATATATATATTCTTCTCATGCATAAATTTAATAATTAATATTTTTATGTATTTAGAAACACATTATAATTATTTGAAATATTTTATCTTTGCGATTATCGTTGTGGAATCTTTTAATGCGCGAGTCATTCTTCGGTATCAGTACAAAGTTTCCTAGGAACGTGTATGCGCACTGAATTTAAAAGATGATGTTTACATTTAATGACTCATAAATATTTCTGCTAATGTAATTGAAGTGCAGATCGATTTACATAATGCTAATCAACACAAAAACATATTACGTTTGCTTTTTTATTGCTGAATATTTGATATAAATTTCAATATTTTGCGGAAGGCCGCACGCGGAAATTAAGCAATTCGTTAAAAATAAATTGTTGAATTTTTACATTTTTATGGAAATGATTTTTGCATACAGGAAGATTTTTCTATTAATGCAAATTACTTATAACAATAACATTCATGCTTTTAAGTTCACCCACAGAAACGTTATACATATTAATGGGCCAGTTCTGCCGTCAAATAGACCAATTACGTGCGGATGAGGCGTATATTTTTGATCGACTATTAAACTTGTACTTGTTTTGTGCTTTTTGTTTGTACTTCAAAAATATTAATAATCAATATATATTTTATAGTTTTTCATTTATTTGGTATGAATAAAATATGAAATTATAGAGACAACACACGCCCGGTTAATAGGTTAATCTAGAATAACGTTGCAACTGTATGAACTACAAGCAAGTGATTTTTTTACAAAAAATAGCGACTGTCTGAAAACTTTTTTCGATATTCTCGAATTGTTTAAAAATAGTAAAAATCGGAATTTGGAGATGAGTGTAGTTCATGTAGATGAGAATCCTGTGAAGAAGACTCTGCAAAAATATCAAGTAAATCATTCTAGTGGAAATTGAGAAATTGTGGGTATCGCATCGAAAAGGACAGTTTTGAAAAATGTGTTTAATGTTTCGCGGAAAAAGAAAACAGAAGAGGATTATCAGGATCAAATAGCTAGATCACTGAAAATAATATAAATTTTAAAAAATCTTCTTATATACATATGCTGGAGTAGTTAACTTAATATAAAAAAATCGTTTTATTTAAAATTCTCGACCCTTTAAATATAGTTACTACAATAAACAGAATTTCAATAATTTAATGTTGCAGTTTTTACGAGCAGTATTCTAAGAGAAATAAAAATAATAACAAATATAGAGAAAAATGTGTCTTAAAAATAAACCTAGTGATATATTAGAATTGGTGATATGAAAATTTAATATAATAGTTTTTAAAAACAGACGTACTTTTTGTCTAATGGAACTCTAGTAATATTTCGAGTTTTTAGCCCCTTTATTGGAGTCGATTTCTCCAAACGGCGCCCGTCGTCATGACAACCGGGCAGACGCCGACGCCAGTCTGCAAACGCACATCATCGGGCAGAAATTCTCATAGTGTGGTTTGCTTCTGAAATTTTTATTTCACACTTTTCTTAAATATTGTTATTGTATAATTTTATTATATTTTCTTATTGAAAATATAACATCTTCCACGTTTTTACTATAACAGACATGAAGTACTCTTAAGTAACGAATATCAATAAATTTCTTCAAAATGCAAATAAAGATTTATTTAATTACCTCATCATTTGAGTATAGGTAATTAGAATTAAATAATATTTTCAAGTAGTGTAGTCAGCGCTGGGTGAAAAATAATTTTTTTATATTATTGAATAGGATTATGTATATAGTAAATTAACTATGATATGACATTGAAATTAAAGTATATCTATGAAATGCTAATTTATTAGTATATCTATTGATTATTACATTTATTATACTAAAATAATATGATCTCATTAATGACACGATTTTTACAAGACTTTGAGCAAAATCAGATATCATGCCCTTTTAATTTTTTGTCTAATTATTTGCAATAAAGATGATCTTAGAATTAATGTAATTTAAATGTCAATAGGTTTATTGAGTGCAGTTTCCGTTTGATAGGAAACAAAATATAAATTTGCACAACAAATCAAACAATTTTTATAATTTTGTTGGCACGTATATAAGCATAAATTTTTGTATACTTTTATGTATACCCTTAATGAAGTAGTAACTATACCAAGTTCTCTTTGCAATACACGTGTAAAAACATTTTGACATTGTTTTATACAATTTCTAGACATCCAATAATAAGATCAGTGCACCCATGTAAATATACTACATTCCGTATCAAGGAGCTCAACGCACTTGATCAATTTGCTAAAACAAAACATAGTAATAAATATAATAAAATAAAGTGTAGTGTAGTGTTTTTGTACAAATATAAATATTTTTAGTCTTTTAATGAGTTAAAAACACTTTTAATAATATTTAATTTCATTTATTTTTTTAATATTATCCAGATTTTTGTTTAAACAAACATGGCATTTAGATAATTTATCATTTATATTTATTTATTGTTATATACGTGCCATAAATTTTAATTACGATTATCAATATTTTTACTGATAAATTTGCACTCAATTTGAGCTCAATTGTACAAATCACACATTGTTCTTCTTTCTTTTAACGATTTCAATTAATAATGCTAATAAATACTTCTTTTGGTTACAGAACGTTATAATAAAAAATATCAATATTATTTTTTCAAAGTATTTCTATATATGTATATAAATAAATTGACTTTATCTTCCTATTGATCCTTATTACGTGTACATATAGATATAATGGATTATCAGTCTATTGATTTCAAAGCTATATATATACTACTATCTTTAATTCCAAACGATTCGACATACAATTTGATGTCATCATCAGTGGATGTTGAACTTGGTATTTTACATCTAAAAATGTGTACACATCACAGAATTTTGCACTAACATTGATGCAACTAACCAATCAATAATAATGAATTTTTTGTAAATAGGAAAAATAATGAAAGTTTTGTTTTACAAAAATGTGAAAAAAATATAGTATTTTGGCACAGAAACATGTAATTGCTGTTGGTACCGAAGCCAATATCATATTAAACTTTATTAATTTTTAATGAACTTTCGTTTAATGCTATATAGCACTTATGTAATAACAATTGGTGTAAAATATGTGTCTGCAATAAATGCAAAAATATATCAAAGATAATAGCGAAATTACAAATAAATCCAATAGAGTTCTCGGTATGGAAAGGAGTATAGGACTCACGTCCTAGTGTACAGTATGGGTAACAATTGGGGTTCTGTGTTTTGTGCATTTAAACACAGTATAAGCCGCGCTTCCAAACCAACTGGTTTCGTAGTAGATTTTGTGTGTCGCTCAAAAACACGTGAATTTTTGGTAAAAAAGGAAAATGATCCTGAAAACAAGTAAGTTTGTTTAATTTACTATAAATATTATGCTTTTATGTTTTGCAGATCTCACTTCATTTATATCTCATAGCTCATTTTTAATTATTATTATTGTTTATATACTGATTTCTAGTTAGTTGAAATAAAAAAAAATTAAAACGTTTTGCTAAATTTTGAGAAAAATCTATTTGTATATAGATCTACAGTTTAAATATTGTTAAAGTAATCATTTCGACAAGGCTTTTAAACAAATTATTTATGGTACTTTCTTATTTTCCTCACATATACATGATTTTTTGAGAACCATTTGAATTTTAAAATTAGTTCCAAAAATAATACATTTATTAAATTTTGTTAACAATTTGTTAAATATTTTATAGAATTTTTTCCTCGTTTAAATAAATCAGTAAATTTAGTTCCAACAATAATACTAAGGGTTCTACGAAATAATTAATTATTTTAATAATGTGTCATACTAGATAAACGTGTCAACCGACATTAAGTCTCAGTTATTTTCATTATCAATTATCATAGATATTGCAATGTGATATTTACCGTATTAATTTGACTCGACTATTAAAATATATCATAAACTCCAGCTTGTAGATAGCAGATAAATATTATTAACAATTATAATTAAAAATATTGATGCAGAACCTTGAGTAAAATTAACCGAAAATAATTTAAAATAGCTATTTTTTATTAGTATAGTGAATCTTAAACGTGATATGTATATAATATACTATATAAATCAACTTTTTTCAACTTTGCATTGATTAAGTCTTGTGAAGCGACCTCATATTTTACACATAATTCAAAACATATAAGTTTTTAATTGTTTTTTTCTTGATTCTGTTTTTTGAATAACAATCAAAATTTAGCATCCTATAAACCGTTATGATGATTATTTTTATTGATGACTATTAGAAGCCATCCCCTTATTATTCATCTTTTACTAGATTTCTCATATTTTTATAAGAATGCCCAATTGTTATGCTGATTTTTAACTTTTTGCAATGGTATTTTTCACTTGAAACATTTATTTATCTATGTTTACAATTGAGAATAGATATTTCTATTCTGATTGATGAGAATAGATATTTCTATTCTGCTTGTGGTTGCAAGGCCGATGCATTACTACAGCGCCACGTACTTCCCAAATTATGTAGTCGAATCATTTTTTAAATGTAAATAAACAGAGTCTATAAGCAGGAGTTGTTTATCCGCCAAAGGTTTTAATTTATACAAACCGTTCAGAAGCCCTGAGTACCTGATGAAGTATACACAATATAGCACGTGGGCAACTTTAATGCATATATTAAGCTATATTTAAAACTTGGTGTGATCCTGATAAGGGCAATATGAATTTGCAATATATAAAAATTAGCTATTGGTGCATGGCAGGACGCCTTAAGGATAATTGCTGGAACTTTTCGCACCGTAATTTAAAATTTTCAAATGCGTTAAAATATTTTGAAAACTTTGAAAAAATTATATTTCTGAAATTTTTGAATTTTTAAGAAAATGGAAAGTTAAAAATATATTTTGATCTTCTTTGATATAAATGGTTATCTTTTAAGAGAATCTTTAAGTTATCTTAAGTTTTACTTTTAAGATTAAAATAAGCTTTTTTTTATCAATGCTGTTGCAATGTATGCTGTTTTTGCAATAGTTTCATATGCACGTAAAAACATTGTATATATGCACTACCCTCTCAATTGTATAAAAAGTATTACGGATTTATATCACTATATAAAAATCAATAGTCTTACAATTAGTATTACATCTAAATTGTATTTTTGTTCAAAAAATTATTTTGAACAACCGCGTAAGATCGAAAAGGTGTAAAACAAGAACCTATAAAACGGGGGATAGGTGTACTTATCAAACCTTTATATGTCTGTTGAGTATTAAAGAAACTAATCCAATACAGATCATATTTTGTTATCAAAACTAGTAAACAAATTTGCACAGAATTCTTACAAGTAATTAATGCAATACGAATTGATAAAGAAAAATCTATACTCTCACTTTGAACCAAGTTATAACAGCAGATGTAACAAATTATATTCTGATTTTATTAACGGTTTTATTCAATTTTATTAGCGATGAAAATGCTGGACATACTTGGTAAATAATATGTATTATAAAATCACTGGTATCAAATAGTTATGTAATCGTATAAAAATGAATGAGAAATATTCGATTAATAAAAATAGAATTATCATTGTGCAATTCGGCAAATTCGCGATCCGTTAATCTCTTTCCGCATTCGACTGTTAAGATTAAAATGTACTGGCATCTAACTAACAGCCAGGCATCTGGTTTCCTTCAAACAGATTATTTTTAGACCAGATCAAAATTTCATCTGTAAACACCACTGAAAATACCCATCAACGCGCCTGAATTTGTAGTATATTCAGGTTAAACTGTCAATTTAATACACATAATCTTATTAAAGGTATGGCTCGATTAAACTTCATTATCTAGATTGTAATTTAACAAGCTTTATAATTTATTACGCCATAGTTGATCATATCAATCATAATATAATATCTTCTACATTGCCCAATACTGTATCATTTCAAATGCAATTATATTTTTCGAGTATCAAAAATATTCAGAAGATAAAATAACATTAACAATAAGAACTGAAATTTCATAACAAAAAGAATTGAATACTTAATTCGAAGAAAATAATATAAGGTCGGAGCACATTACTGGATTAATCTTGAATAAAGCAGTATACTTACCATTATATTTTTGAACATGCAAATTTTTGCATATCTTTACGTTTCAGAGGTTTCTGAACAAGATATATTTGTGAAATTATTGAAGTTTATTTTTATCAAAGTATAGTTTATAAAATTAATTACGTTTGATTGAATTTTAATTAAACAAATATACTCGTATGTTTTATGGCCAGAGACAGAAGCAATAGTTAAAATATAAATTAGTTGGATCTGGTGTTAAACAAATTAATACACGAAATGTGTTGTACGATACTTGGACACATTTGTTAACTGATTTACATTCATGCTATTATATTAAAAAAAAGTATATTATTACTGTCAAAAATTATAGAACGCAATAAAATGCGTACTATAGGTATGTGCAAACATATACATTATAAAAAATATACTATAAATAAAAATTTAAAGCATAAATATTAAAATTTATTTAGTATTTAGTATTTAAAAAAGTTCGGTTTGTCTAAAAGCTAACTGTAGTGAGAATGATTTATTAAAAAAGTTTTAAAATAAGTTTCTAAGAGACAACAAAGCTTTGCAATGGATGATTTAATTGCATTTTGCACTTAAGCGCATCATCAACACTGGTCTTGATGACATTATGTTCAATTGGATCCAGTTATTTTATTAGTGATTTAGCATATGGGGGGCACTATAGCAATATTTTCGACGTACTCTACCCCTTTGAAATAATGGAAGCAAAAATATGGATCAGATCTGCTCTTAACTAGCTTGACTGTGATAAACTCAATAAACACCAGCACCAGAACTGGTTGGAATAGAGTTCGTACGGCTGTAATTACAAAGCCTGGACAACCTTATATTAGACAGTGGCAATATCTTATACTTAAACTTAAAAATATATCACAATATTTGTTTTCAAGTGAAAACAATTTCCAAGTAAAAATTGCCCTCATCCGGCATTGCTGCATCAATAAAATATTCGCCCTAATATAGAAATTGTAATAATAAAATTTATCAAACAGAGATGAGACAACTGCTTAAATTTTCTTTTGTTAAAATTGACTTAGTATTAAGTCAAATTAGCCCAACAGCTCATAGGACTCTTAATTTTTTATTGTTCATTACAATAAAAACAGTGTAAATAGAAAAGACAATCAATGGTTGCCTTCTAATATAACATTATTTCAAAGGATAATTAAAAATCTTACAATTAGTTTTGACTGCTTTTTAGAAAATAATAAAAAAAATAGAGAAAAAGATATTTTCATGCTAAAATAATTGTTATGCAATGGGAAACGAAAGGTAAAAAAATACAGTAGAATATCAATAGAAACACGGGATACAGATATTAGTATGAACACCGTAAATAGTAAATAAGTTGATTCATGTCAAGTGTCGATACCTGTTGCGATCTTTAGTCATTATTATTACCTACAATATAGAAGACCTCGATTGTTTCATTACAGTCAATAAAACACTTCAGAAAGTCGTATCTTTTAATTAAGCTGATTAATGATAGATTATTATTACGTTATTCACCGCAACTCGCAATTTATATAATATGACATTGTCAATTCATGCAAAATTATATTCTCTATTTCAATATGAATTAAAGAAATATAAATATATTATATGCAAGTGTATTTATTTAAGTAATAATCACTAGTATCAGGTTGATTTAAAAAGTGTCATTGATTTTTTGCATTGCCGTTTAGTTTAAAGTATTTTGCATGTTATTTATAAAATTTAGGTCATTCAAATTATATGAAAAACAGTGCCTTACTTATTTTGCTAGTTTCAAAGTGTAGAGTTCAACTAGATTTTTGCTTCTGATGTTATATGGGTGAATCTGTGCAAAAAATTATAAATAGTTTTTTTTTAAGTTACTCAGTTTATTTAATTATTCAACTATCCAATTTTAAGAAAATTGCTGATCAAAAAGTGTAATTACATATCTAATTTTGTGACAGTTTTATAATTTTATTGCAGTTTCTCAAACATAGTGAATTATCCTCAATGATTTTTTATGAACTTTTATTATAGCTAGGATTTATAGATTTTTCAATTGCAAGAGTTTTTATAGCTATAACATTGAAGATCTCGATTGAATAGCAAATACGTAATACATCAACATAAATAAATCAAACATTTATTATTGACGGTATGTGATGAATGATTTATACAAGTGAATTTTCCAAAAATAAATATTTTTTTAAATATTTGTTTGCGTCTGCTATAAATAACTTTCCTGAAATGTAATAAAATTATCGAAAAATTACATGATATATTTCATAATTACTTTAACCAAAAAAATAACGAATTACAAATAATAACACAGGTACACAAAAAAAGTTGTCTATCTTGGGTGTATGGCATATGTTCTCTAATGTAGTTTTTACCGGGGGTCAAACAGTTATAAATTGAAAAAAAAACCCGACAAAATCCTCGATCTAGTACTTCTCCATTAAAATTAAAATCTTATAATTTCTGTCGTTTCCTGGCCCTTTTTACCTTAAATGACTAATGAGTTTCAATTAAATGATCTGTTGAGTTTTTTCTATAGATAAGCAGTAATTAGCAAACAAATTTACTCCCTATTGCCTCTGGGTAATCTGCAAACATACTGGCAATTGAATATCTAAAAATATGTTTAAAAATTACTGCCCTAATCTACAAAAAATAGATCATTTAAGTGAATACTCGATAGAAATTTAAGAAACGACAGAAATTATAAGATTTTAATTATCATGTATAAGAATTACTAGATCGGAGATTTTTTTTTCACCATTTTTTGTAGTTTGATCTCAGTTTGATCAGATTTAACTTTAGATTCGTGTTCAGCGGTAACAACTTCATGGGAGAACTTATGCCACACACCCAAATCAGATAAAATTATTTCTGTGAACCTGTGTAATCTTTTCATTAAATTTGAATATTATTTTATAGTTTATTAGGATTTGACCTTGATATTGCCAAAATCATACATATAATACATTTTAAAAGCGGTATTTGGCAAAAGGTGTTTATTAATGGCTTTCTTATTGAACTCTCACTTCCATAATCTCGTGTAATTGATTCGTTAGAACGTTTAATAAAAGTTATTTGACTTCAAACAAAGGTGTATATATATTAGCACTTACATGCGCGCCAACGCATAATCATATTAGTAAGTAGTTGGTAAGTAAATATTATAAATATTTAACACCTGCACACAACAGATGTTGTCATTCACTGCAAATCTTTACAACAATCATTGCCTAATTACCTCATGAAGATGCATTCAATCTTAACCATTAGTCGATACTGCAACGTAGATGAATGATAGTTCAAAAAATATTACATGGACATGGACGTCGATGGAAACAAATGAATGCTTATATTATATTCTTATTCTTAGTAGTATACACACTTATATCTTATTCAATACGCAACTCTGTTACAGTTAGTGTGTGATATAGATTAAATCACGATTTTTGAAGAGTTATCTTCCTGCGGTAACGATTTTAAGTTCAAATGTCAGTTTGATTTCATGAGACTCGGCTGTGTTTGGTTGATGCATTATTACTCATATCGTTTCCATCTTCAGTCACAACAAATTTAAATTAGTGAGACCAATGTGCTTTTGTTTTCATCAAACGCGATTAAGGCATCATTTTTGTGAGTAATATATATATATATATATATATATATATATATATATATATATATGAGTGGAAAAATTGTGCAGCCTGTTTTGTGCGATATTTTTTGTGCACCTCCAATTTTTGTATATGTTTTTCTATATGATAAGTTTTTTTGAAAAATATTTCTGCAAAAGTGTATAGTGCCTTCGACTTTTATGTAAGGCAAAAGTGAAGGACAGTGCAATTCTACCCAAGACGTAGAAAATATGTTTAATTTTAGACCACATGAATTATTATGTACTGCCAGGGTACGGTAGTGATAGTTGCCACAACAGTTAAATTATACTGATTTTGAGATAGAATCTAAAAGGTGAGATAAAGTATGTTTGTTCGACCAAGTTTCCAATACTGCATTGAGTCAGCACCCTACATCGACATGATCTGTAAACCGCAAGGAGTCAAATGTCAAAGTTTGTTCTATTTCTTTTAATAGTAACACCCGGTGGCATATCGTAGAAAAAATTACGTCATATATAAACATAGTTTTTTTATCTATTTATATATTTATTTGTCCTCCTTTTTTACAAACTAGCCATTAACAAGTTTTACAAAATTTTAAATTCTAATTTTACATATAACTAAAAAAATGTATATTATTCTATAATATTCAACATTTGAATCTAAATGAAACAATTTAAAAGGTTTAACTAAGTTTTTTTCTCTATATTATTGATTCCATAAATGACTTCTATTTTTTGACATCTGGAACATACTAAGATTATATGCTCCAAGGTCCCCACATCATTTCCACATTCACACAGTTTTGAGACTCATACCTTAAGTAATTAATTAATCACGTGAGCGAGTTTTTAAGGATTTTTGGACCCCCCTCCCCCTTGGTGATACATGGTTATATTCAAAATTACCCCCGCTCCCCCACCAAGCATCACGTGTATCTTTAGTTATGTGAAAAAACTGTAACATTTTTGAATGAAGTATTTTTTTTTGAAAATGTATGATTTAAAAAAAACAGTTAAAAAATAAATACACGTGATATCTTACTATACCCCTCCTTCCCCCACGTGATATTTTGTGATTTTTTGTCAAACCCCCCCTTCCCCTAAAAATCTCACGTGATTAATGGATGCCCCCTTACATCTTAATCTATTCATTATTGTTATAAAATCTCTATTTTCATTCTTGAATTTATAATACCAAGGGTCTTTTTTAACAAAAATCATTAACATTTACCTTTATACATTGATGATAGTTGCCTATCCACTGCTCTGTTTTTCATCTTTTTAACTATATCCTTATTTAACACTTTGTTGTATTGAATTCCGTCGAAAGCAGCACTTTTGGCTAATTCATCTGCTGTTCTTTACTATTCCTGAGTGCCCTTTTGCCTATGCCATGCTTATATTCTTCCCATAAACATAGTTTTTAACTCCCAAATATCAACATCAAGACTAGCAGATGGCAATTCAAATGTCAAATTCCTATAAGAGCAATAATTTTCAGTTTTTATATAATATAATTTTCTAATTTAAACAACTCAAAGTGCAATATATTTAATGAATATTAATAGTATTTAATTTTTTTATTTATTGATTTATTGACCTTAATACAATATTAAGTTATATGTAAGTTGTTTATCATGCCATTTGGCCATTGAATTCTTTGACAGTTATTAAATATATCTAAATTTTGTAAAATGGTTCATATATTGAAAGACAAAAAATATGTTTGGAAAATACAGCTTTAATAGTTAATCGCCTGGCCGTCCGTGTTAATTTAACTTTGTTGACCTTACGAGAATAACAAAAGTTCTTGATTAATGCTTGATGCATTCTTGATTAAAAATATTGTTTTCCATTGTGCTGCATTGTATTTTATAAAACCTACTAAAACGCCGACTTTGCAAGTACTTCCCATTAAATAATTTGTGACAAATAAATCGGCTCTAGTCTTGTACTAAATAATTGGTAAGAGATTTGCACATAATCTTTCACTGATTAAACTTATGATTAGAACTTAAGCTTTTCACAAATAATCCAAATACATACTACATACATGTATATATTTGGTTTGCAGGTAAAGTCAAAAAACAGCAAACTACAAATGCTGCTGGTTGATATTCTAGGATTTTTTGAAAATAATATTTAGTAAAATGCAAAAGTCCAATATTCCTCTGCGTGCCGATGAACAGACTGTTGTGAATAATGATAATCACTCGCAAGGAAATAAAGTGGTGCCGATTCTGAATGAACAGGTATTTAATTGATTTTGATTTTAATTTAAAAAATCTTATATCTTAACTGATATATGATCACAGTTTGAAATTGAATTCTTCATCATATTATGCGTATTTTATTATACGAAACTGCGAAGTTCAGTCTTATATTTTTGAATCCTGCCCAAGTTCGATTTATCAAAATATCTGTCCACAAAAATATAACTGATGTGATTGTCTATTGTATTTCAAATATGATTTACTACATACAAAGAGCAGTGAAGATCATCGTCAAATGAGAACAATGCGAGCGATTATTAAAAAATTATATCATTCATTTGGCATAATTATCATTCAGCAAACGGTTGAATGAAATCTGAAATTATTTTTCCAAATTTTATAAAATACGTTTCCAGTAATATATAAGTACAATGAATTAATTTTTGGAAAGCATAGTTCTTATTAGAAGTTTTGCTCATATTTGATATTTTCATAGTGTTGACATTGGATCATATTATTTTTATTAGAAACTAAGTATATTGTTTATTATATTAGGTAAAACTTAAATATTTCGTACTGTTCTCATATTGTTAATGCAACTTTTATAGATTGATACTACTTTTTTCTAAAATGGAATAGCAAAATAAATTATGAGTGATAAATAAGTCTTTGTAAAGTATCCAACAGAAACCTGCAAATGTTTTAACACAAAATTTATGATAAAATATTAAGTTTTGATAAAATTGAACCAATTTCAAAATTATTATTAGTTAATTATGTCTAAACTATCAATTTCAATTTTTCGATGTTTTTAAATTGAAGATATAAAAGTTATTAAATCTATAACAGATTTTGTAATACAACTATTTATTAAATTAACCGAATTGGAATGAATATTGTTAGTATTTTATAGCAATGCAAAATTAATAATAAATGTTTGAAAGTGTGTTCAGTTACATATTCAAACATCTTTTCAAACATGGAGAATTCTACAATGAACGACAAACGGAAAAATATATTAAAAGACTGAAATGCCTATCTTTACAAATTGTAGATTCGAATTGAGCTCATTCGAAACTGCATTTACATACCAATACCAATTTTTAATAATTCAAAACAATTTTAGAAAAAAATATTATTCGTTTTTAAAACGGACCGGATGTTTTAACACCAATTTATTTTGAATTGAACAATTGCAGAGTTTTTATTAATTCTGAATATGTCAATATATGAAATATATTGACATAAACATTTGCTATTTTTAGATTGTTTCAGGTAATTATAATAAAATAAATTAATTTCTAGGTATTTTGTTTATAGTAAGCACTAATACCAGTAGAGAGTTTTAGATTTGAATAAATAAATAATATATTAACTATATTTATATTTTGTTTCAGTATAAACAAGAAGCTTGGACGATACACAATAAATTTCAAGATGACTGTGAGCAAGATCTCTCTAAAGTTAGTCCATACAATACGTTGTATAATCAAGTCAATACCAAAACTGCCAAATATTATAAAAATAAGTCACAATGGACTATACCTTACTTAATTATAATCCTTAGTTTAATTCAGGTAAGTTAAATGCTTCTTTTTTTGAATTTTTATTGGCCTCCGCTTTACAGCATTTTTAGCCACCTACATTATTCATATTTTTTTTTATCATGTTCTATACAATTCTTACATATATATTTCTTCTACATTCATCATATATATACTATCTCTTCTTATATCCTAATCTTCCATTCAATTTTCTTTCTTCAATTCCATTCAATTTTCATTCTTGTTCTTGTTTCTCAAGAAAAAAATGTATTAGAAGTAAGAAGGAAAAAAGAAGTTTAGTTTAGAAGATGAGAAGAACATATCTTCTAAACTAAACTTCTTTTTTCCTTCTTACTTCTAATACATTTTTTTCTTGTATTCTACAAATTAACAATTCTTAAATTAGTTTAATATTCTATATTTTAATTCTGGTATTGTTGGAGATTCGAACCGAATTCTTCCGAATTTGGCAGACAATTCATTACATTGTCTGTCTCTATATATCTCTGTCACAAAAGTATTTTACTTTAACACTATGGAATAATATTTAAAGGCCTCAAATTCTTAATTAACTAAATATGAATTAATTAGTTAACTATATTTAAATACTGATATTTCTCTATTTTCTAGATAGCGATTTATACTCTTGGTGGTGACTCAATTCGTGATCTCTTCATATTCATACCTGAACGTAGTCAAGAAGTATGGAGATATGTATCATATGCATTTTTGCACAATGGAACATTGCATCTACTACTGAATATTTTCATCCAGGTAGAAAAAAACTATTAATTATTAAATGATAAATCTAAAGTCATTATAATTTTGTTATCAGTGTTTGGTATCTATTCCACTAGAAGGTAGTCAAGGAAGAATCAGATGCATGATAGTTTACTTTGGTGGTGCAATATTAGGTAATAGAACATGAAAGTTATAACCTAACACTATTAATTATTACCTAACTCATAATTATTTTCATCTCGTCTGTATTATTACATTTGATTTTTTTTTTAAATTATTTTAGGTGCTCTAGGAACTTCACTTTTTCAACCAAATTTGAGAATTGTCGGAGCTTCAGCTGCTGCATATGCATTACTAATGTCACATCTCACGGATATAGTAGTGGTAAAGAAAATTTATTGCAATTTATTTGAAAAACTTGTTAAATTCTAATTAAAATTACTAAATTGTAAAATAACGACACACAAAAATATTTGCAAATTAAGTGCTCTTCTGCGATTTTTATGTTAAAATTCTATTGCGTATTTTTCTATTCTATTGTTGAATTAGGTATAAATCGATAATTGTTGTCAAAGATTTAGTTTTCATAATTAAATTAATTACAAATTTTAAAAATTTTCTAATTCTGTGAAGGCTATTTTCAACTGCGTTAGAATGTTAATGATAGTTTGAAACGTATTTCTGTCAAGAGAAAAACATAGTTTGTTAATGAGTTAATTAATGTATATATATAAACGTATATATATTTATATATTAATTTAGGTATCACGCAATTTATCATTTAGCTGGTTGCATGTGTGATTTGCGCAACCAAGTCGTAAAAATGCATATAAAATCATGCGTTTTTATATTAAACAAGAGTTTGTATTTGTAGTCATTTTTATTGCATTACATTATTATTATATTATTACTACGAATATGCATTAATACTTTGGATGTCCTATATAATAGTTTCACTTCTAGCGAATTGTGCGATTAACTAACTTCCCACCGAGAAAATTTTTATATGTTAGTTCAATATATAGTAAATTCAGAAAGTTTTAATTGCGACAAAATATATGGTGATATATACAGTCATATGAAAATAAGACAATTTGTCGCAACAAAGCAATTTTTTTATTATTTTATTTTAATTACAATCTGTCACACTTCGGACAGTAATTGTTTTGACTTTATTATATATGGATTTTTGAATGGATGACAACCCAGTAGTTGTCCAATCCAGTTTTGATTAATTTTAACTATACTCAAAGTATTTGCTGACATTTTTTATTATATATTGTTGCTTTAAGATCTATAACCTCAAGTCGAAATTTGACATCAAAGCAACAAAGCAATAAATTACAAGACTAACACACTCGAAATATGTTAATTCACAAGAAGATTTTAGATTTTTTGATTTACGTAGCTGAATGATACTTTGTCCATTCATCAAAACCGTTTTTCTTCAAAACTAAACGTTGTGTATAAGTCAACAATTCTCAATATTAAATTAGCATTCAAAGTTTTATCAGAATTTTTAGTGTACCTACATAGAGATTTCTATATTTAAATCTACATATACTTGATTAATAATATATATTAAATTGGCGTGTTCTAATTAGAATCCATATGGGTCCTATCGTCGAGGACGTTTCCTGGCTGTGCTTTTCTTGTCATTAGTCGATATTGTCAGCTATTTTGTGCCATTGGACGCAGTCACTTGGCTAAGCAATTCTACCACTTCTAGTAACGTCCGAATTGGCACAGAAGCACACATTTGCGGCGCTTTAAGTGGCATTGTCATATCGACTGCAATATATTCTAGTGAGTATTAGTATATTAGTTTTTTTTTTCATTTATTACATAAGCCAACGGAGAAAAAAATCTGTAAATTCTGTAGTAAATATTTTATCCACACTGAAGAAAGGGCCTTCGTGGTAGATTGGTTAGCATGTAGATTCGCAATCAGGGTTGCAGGTTCAATCCCCGTCGTGAACAATCTTGATATCGAGCTGTGCCGTTATCAATTTTTACTTTTTTATCATTTCATTGATTCAAATATATATTAATTACAATTTTATCTATAACATACTATATAAATGATAACTAAAATTTTGATTCTTTCTTCTGATTTCTTCTTCTCTTCTGTACCTTAAGTTTCTTTCAATTATTGTGCATTCTTCTATTCCTTTTAGCAGATTGTGTAGGGCATCAGATAATATCCAAATAAAGGCGTTACGTATATATGTCTTTGTGTATAATTTTAAAATCAAATTTTAATATTTTGTCGTCATCTTCTATTGGTCCATGGCTGATCTTTGCCAATTTGTTTTTTAACCAATCCCACACTTACATGGTATTAAACATCTTAATTATGTTTCTATGTGAAAATAGGTCTTCCCTGGCATTGCTGCACTAAACCGAATAACAGTTAGCCCTATTAAATAAATTCTAATAATAAAATAATCAAATATAGATCGATCAACCGTTGGGTTACCATCCAAAGTACAGTACGATTATAAATATAAATAATTACTAATTATTATAAGTTAATTATTAATGATTTTTTCTTACAGGTACCTTAAACTCTTACAGACAACTGGTGTCGTGCGCTAGAATTTTAGCTGCATTAATAGTTGTCTGCTTTGTGGTTTTGGCAGTAACTTATATTCAAATACATTCGCCATAAACTTATTGAAATTGCAATAATCTTAAACATATCAGTCTGAAATTAAGAAATACTCATCGATTTACAATAAATAAATATAACTAAAATTTAATATTATTATTAGAATAAAAAGTTGTGCATCAACTATGATCAACAATATATCAAATTTTTAAAATGTTATTCTAAATTATTGAAAACTATGTTAAATTTATTAAATAATATATACTATTAATCCATTTTGATATTACTTGTTTTCTTTAACAAATATTATTAACTTACCGTAGGGTAGTTATAGTAATGGGAAAAAATCGAATATTATTAAAAATAATTAAGATTCAAATTTTACTTCTGGCTGAAGTTTTAAAGCTCACTTATATACTTTAAATAAATAACTTTAACTTTGCAATTAAGTTTAGTGGCGGGATTAGCTCATGAGTAGCGCTCATCAAAAAATTAGAAATAGTGTTAAAAATAGTTTGAAATAATGTTAAAAACAGTTTGAAATAATATTAAAAATAATTTGAAATAATATTAAAAATAGTTTTATCGTGTATAAAAAGATTTGGGAATTAGAACTAAAATGAAGATAGTAAAGAATGATAGATAGTAAAGAAGAAAAAAGAAGAATAAAGTTACGTTGAAGAGTACATGGAATAAGGTAGAATATAAAATAGAAAGAAGAATAGGATTTATGTAAGGTAATTGAAATATTGTATTGGAATTAAAGTATGTTGTAGGTGGCTCGAGTAAGCGAGACCAATGAAAAAAAAGTTTGTATAATTCTTATAAATATTGGACAATATTACAGTTTTTATTTTTAATAATCTATTTGAAAACATTTAATATGCTTCGAATATTTCGTTACGGTAGGGAAGTTCCAGCAATTTGCCTTAAGGCACGATGCCATGCACCCCACTAGTTTCTGGATTCATTTTTTAACTTCCCGTAGGGTATGTTATAGTAATCTCAAATTAAAAATATAAAGGATTAATTGAAAAACATTTTAGGGGAAGGTGAAAAACTGATTATAACGTATGTTTTAAAAAATTACCATTTATTTATTTCACATATTACTTCAAGTTTCCATGATTTATAGTAAGTATTGTATTGTTGTTTGTAACTTTTTACATTTACATAGTCGTAGGTTTATTAAAAATGTAGACATTGATGAAATATATATAATAATTGAATTAATTAAAATTATAAAATTCATGTGATCATGCTACTGTACCAGCACATAAAATATTATTAGTGATGCCACCTATGCATTCCAGTAGATGTAAATCTCCAGAATTGTGTATCCAAACCGTACAAACTGAATACCACCTGTTGAACAACTTATAGCTTCAGTTATTCTGTTTGTGCGCACATTTTCTACTTTTTACGAACTGTTTAAATATATTTGTTTCATTCCCAACCAGAGATTTATTTCAAATGATCATTTCTTATTGATTATTTTGACTACATTTAATATTTCAAGCCCGCGAGGGAATAGAATTTAACCCTTACCGCTCCGTTGTGTTTTAAATTAATCTGCTATTGTGTAATTTAAGAAATTTGTTTGATATGATTTTGTGAGCATTGAAGAACATACAGTCACAATAATGCCGCGGTAGTGTCGTTGTAATTAATTATTGCTGTGACGGTTTTTTTATCATTCTAAAAAAGGCATAATATATCGTTTTTAGTATGTCCGTCTTTTTTGATGAAAATTTTGCTTTACGAATTGCTCGTTTGTTTTACCGTATCTGAAAAAAAATTATATAACTAGTTGCAACTGGCATTTCGCTTTAAGTCAAGTTGTACAACCTTTCCTTAATCGACTTAATTAATAATAAATTAATATATTAATATATAGTGATTTATGAGAAAGCCGAGTTGCTGTATAGGGTCAAAATGTGAGAGTCTATTGCAGATTATTCAATTCTGTAAATTTTTTTTACTACACATGATTGAAAATCGAACATATGCCTAATATAATTCGGCCTATTTTCTAAAAATGCGACTGAGTAGCTTAAATTTTAACATTTTTTTATCATTTATATCTCCTACTTTTCGTAGAAGTATATTATTACAGTATGCTTATTAAGACCAGGTACTCTATGGGTTACCAAGTATGATTAAAATTATCGATTTTTTTTAACAATCAATTACAAAGAAACGGCCAGTCCGATCTTTGTCGAAAACTAATGAATAAATTCCGAAATAATATCTTTCGAATAGCATTTGAATTTTTAAAATCGGATCAGGATTTTTAGCTGAAACGCGGTAGCAAAATTTGCACTTTTCTGCTTATTTTATAGAAACGGCTCAGCTGATTGTATAAAAGAACTAACCAACGCGGGTGATTACCAAGTCTCATTGAATGGTTTTCAAATTTTTGAAGTCGGTTTATACGTTTTTGAAAAAACGTTGATAAAAGTCTAATTCGAAAAATGATACTAAATTTGTCAAATATTGATCCATTTATAAAATTAAACGGCTTATCGTGTGGACGTAATATTTTAGTATGTTCTAAAATGCCACGATATTTATCGTCAGAAAAAGTTTCATTAAAATCGTTGAGAAAATTTTCAACAGAAAAAGGCCCACCAATATCTTTCGAACAGTTTTTGAATTTTTAAAATATATTCAGAATTGTGAGCTAAAAATATTTTGATAAATTTTCAAAGTAAATTTGTTTTTATTTTAAGATCATCTCTCGCTTCCGAAAATGTGGCTTTCTACGCAGATTAAATATTGCAGAATTTGCAACACAAATCTCATTTATGCCCGAAATTAACATAACAAAATAAATTGAAATATTGTTTGTCTTAAAATTTTTCTGCCTTTTTCCGTAGGGTAGTTGTTACAGTAATGAGCCGAAAATCAAAAATTAAATTTTTTTGCATTTCTCGACGTTTTGAAGGTTTCTGAACATTTTGGCATACTTCAGAAAAAATGGATGTGTGTGTGTGTTTTGTTGGCAAAGGCAGGTCCAGCCGTTACGGAGATACGGAGCAAAGAGTGCAGAAAATACAAATCGAGTTTTTGAGAGAACGGAGTATACGATTTGAATGATCTAAAAAACATTCAATTTGTAATGATTGGGAGTAGAGGTGATTAGTTTTTGGTAAAGGCAGGTCGAGCCATTTTGAAGATACAGAGCTAAATGTGCAACTAATAGCAGTTTTTGGAGAACTAAGCGTCCGATTTGAATAATTCAAAGAACTTTCTGCTTGTTTATCAAAATAATTGCTTTTGGAAAAAAAATTGTTTATTTTTTTTTTCTAATATTTAGTTTTTTTATTTTTTTTGTATATCTAAAATAATTCAGGTTTTAATTTTAATTCTGACTAGTTCTAATATACTTTAAACAAATAATTTTAACTTTGTAATTTTGTTTATATAATTCTTATAAATATTAGACAGTGTTACAATATTTATAATAATCTGTTTGAAAACATTAAATATTCCTCGATCATTTCGTTACGGTACGGGAAGTTTCAGCAATTTGCCTTAAGGCACGATGCCATACACCAGTATCTTTTGAAAACACTGCTAAGTATGCGATTTTAGGAAACTGTTAACAGTTTTTCTTTTTGTGGCATGTATATTGTCTCAAATAAGTTATTTTAAATGTAATGCAATATTCATAAGTAAGTATATATTGTATCAGACTATAATGAAATGAAAGTTGCCAAACTGTCAAAACTGCAATATGCAGTACTTTTCTTTCATCTACTTTATGATGCATTGATAATTACTCTGTATTTGCCTGCAAGTATATTATTATTATAATTTCTAGATTTCAATTACAATAATAACTGAACTACAAGTATTATTCTATTAATATTTAATATTTAGTTCGTGTATTATTATTAATATTGTAAGTACTTTTTGATCTTCTAATATCCTGTAGAAGTAGATGGATGATGACTCATGCGATCCAGTTATTGCTTGCAATACCCTTAACATGAAAAAATTCGGCAGTTGTGCAATAACTGTTGACGAGTGCGGGTCGGTAAACATTGCAATTATGCACGAATCGTAATGGCGAAGTAACATTGTCGCTCTGACTATACTATGGACGAGACCACGCCGGCCGGCTATTGAAAGGTAGGATTTATTCATTTCTCTCATTTAGTAATTGACACACTATTATTCACATGTGTATATGTATGTGCATATGAACATATATGTTTACATTCGTATGCATATACCTTGTCGATATATAAGATGCCTCATAATTGGCATACCACGCTGTGGCCAATGAAGAAAATATTAATATACAACCAGATTTTATTACACTAATAATTATACCGATAACAACTGGTGTTTTGAAACTACTACTAACTAAACCTAACACTAATATCATGTAATGGAAATCACAACAACTTAAAGAAAAATGGTTAAATAATGTGACCTTGATATTATAGTTTGGAGTAACGAAATGATATTTTTGTTAGTGATTTGATTGTATGCAAAATAACCTGATATAATAACGTTTAGTGCATGTCAGTCTTCTCGTTACTAATATAATATATGTCTGCATATATCTTGTCGATATATAAGATGCCTCATAATTGGCATATCACGCTGCGACCAACGAAGAAAATATTTATATACTATACAATCAGATTTTATTACACTAATAATTATACCGATAACAGCTGGTGTTTTGAAACTAGCATTGCATAGACGACAAATTCTATAATAATTGTTCCTCAGTGTACGAGAATTTTGTATATAGGGGAGGTAAGGGCTATATGTGTCGGGGGCAACTGAGGCGTTTTTTTTAATGGGATCTTAAAAGATATTGAAATATTTTTTGATTGTTTTTAATTGGACATATAATAAACCATCTTGCATAATATTGTCATAGCTACTGTCTCGCCGGTCAATGCAGTAAGCAGCATTGTACAGAGGCGTTATTTTTGACAGGTGATATAAGATTGATCTTTCATAAAATTTCGTTTTAAGTTATTTAAGGGTCTGGTGCTTCTTGGGGAGCAAATGGATCAAAATCGCGTGAAGCTTAACATATGTCAAAAAAGTTATTGGTATTGACTAGTTTTAAATTTTATAAATCTTGTTAACTTACCGAAGAAGTTTGTTTTCATCAAAAAATCCGATTTGCAAATTTTATGTTTTCTCGCCGTTTTAAGCCATTCTGCATCGAATGAGACCCAATTTGGAAAAAGTATGTGTGTGTGTATGTGAGTGCGTGAACAGATTTTTTGCCGTAAATCGGCGTTTTCTAAAAAACGGCTGGACCGATTTCAGAAATTTAAAAACTATTTGATGTATATCTATGAGGATTCTCGTTTCTTCTTCTGTGTGACGATCGACCGAGCCGTTTCTTTGTGATTTGGAAAAAATTGTTAAACTTTTCGTCCACATTTAAGCTCTTACTACCGAATCGATTTTAAAAAATCAAAAACTGTTCGAAAGGTATTAGTCGGGAATATGATACTGATTAGTTTTAGGTGAAAATCTACCGAGTCGTTTTTTTGTAATAAACTGTTGAAAAAAATATTCAAGCAGATTTTTATTGAACTTTTTTTGGCCATATATATCATGCTCTTATAGAACTCATTCAAATATTACGGGCTTACGACAAGTAGTTTAATTTTAAAAATTCATCAAAGTTTGAGAAAATGAGTAGTTTTTTAACGTTTGTTAAAATTAAAATTAGATGATTTACTTGTTATAACGATAGAGTGTTCGTTCGTTTTCAATTATGTGTAATAAATCCAGTCGGAATACTTTTAATCACTCATAAATTAATTTATTTTTTATTGATTAAGTCGATTATTTACACATATCGGGAAGTTCGTGTAACTTGCCTCAAGGCAAAATACCAATACCAACTATTTTATACTTAGATTGAGTTGAACAGTTGAAGGCTTTGCATGAAAATAAAATGCAATAATTGTTAGCATATCACGAAAAAATAAACAATATGTAAAATATACAAGGTAACCATATTTTTCGAACATATTTTTACCTATTATCTGCATGCTTTTTATGCATTTTAGCGTGCAATTTTATTACAATACATATAAGAATTACAGCTTCTTTCATTTTATTTCATGTTTAGGCAACGTTTTCGAAAGTATCATATATTTTAATATTTCAGATTCCGTATTAGACTCATTATAGTAAACACTTCATTTTAATTAATGTGATATACAAAGCTAAAACGATACTAACTAAACCTAACACTAATATCATGAAATGGTAATCACAACTTAAATAAAAACGGTTAAATTAATGTGACCTTGAAATTATAGTTTGAAGTAACAAAATGATTGTTTGTTAGTGATTTGATTGTATGCAAAATAACCTGATATTTTTTTTTGAATATTTTTTAACAGCAGTCAGAACTTCACGTCTTATGAGCTGTTGGGCTGAAACTTCTCCTTACTTCCTATTTTTCAGATGGTAACCCAATGGTTAATCTATCCATATTTGATGATTTTGTTATTAGAATTAATCTAATAGGGCTGACTTTTTATTGGTGCAGCAATGCCGGGCAAGGGCTATTTTCACTTGGAAACATATTGCTATCTATATTTCCAAGTGAAAATGGTTGTCACTGCTGCCTGACAACAGGCTGCTCGAAGTGTGTATCGAACCTGGGACCTCTGACACAAGTCCCGTCGCTCTTAACCGCTTACCTACGGGCGAGTCCAAACAACCTGATATAATCGCGTTTAGTGCATGTCAGTCTTTTCGTTACTAATATATTTATAAAGCATTTTTTTTCATTCTTTGTGAAATAAGCTACCACGTCAATTTGAGGAGTTTCCGTAAAAAGTGGTAAGCCACATCTGAATTCCAAAATTTAGAAAGTTTATCAAAATTATGTCACCTATCACTATAATTATGAATATGACATAAATTGGTTAAATTAGTGCTATATTTTTCAGTATTTCAAATTTACGGCTTCCATTAATCTAGTTTCCTTAAATCTATTTCTTTCTTGCTAAATATTTGCATATGCGTTCATGACAGAACTAAAGGTGTAATTTTCGGAAATTACACCTAAATTTTTAGAGTAAAAGCAAAAAATCATGTTATCGTAATTTTATGTATTAGTTTTATTTACAAAATTGGACAAAATTATCACAAATTTGAAGTTTTTGGGAGAACACATGTATGTACATAATTTAAACAAGCCAATTGCTTGTGACAAATAGTAAAATAAGTTATGCTCTAAATAAAAAAAAAACTACCTCTACTTTTTTCCCAATATTAACCACAAATTATATATATGATAAATAAAAAATAGGAGTATTTAATGCAATAGCATAAAAATTACTCTTTGAAAACTTATCCATTAATTTGTTGCGGTTTATATAGTTTCATCCATAACCAAATGCATGTATAAGTCTTCCAAAAGTTACCACTCTGTAAAATTATTTATCATACACATAATTCGGTTGATAGGTGCGTGAAATGTGTAGAATTCTCATAGATAAAAAATTAAATTTAGTTATTTATTTTCTAAAGGCAATCTGGTCAATGCGAGCCTGTAATTCTGCTATGGCCTCTGGTGGAAATTGACCACTGAGTAGTTGGGCCAGCTCGATGCGTTCATTGGCTGGTATGTTTTCACGGGCAACGACTTCAATTCCTTCTATGACCTATAGTTAAAAATTGTGCATTTTATTAATATCTCGATAAATAAAAATCAAATTTCTTGCATTCGTAAATATGTAATTTTATTTAATAATTTAAAATGTCTACTATTTTTTTTCAAATTGTTTGGTTGCACCAATATGATAATATAAGTAGTAAATACATGTGTACATATCTACCTCGGCTGAAAATTAGTTATCAGAATTATCTGGATAATCATGATTATTATAAATACTGTTTCCTAATGTACAACTGTCTAATCTTTATAAAATTTTAAATTTGACATTGTAGTTAATTAAATACTTGCTGCAGTATATTGGTCGCTGCTTTGTACGTTAATTCTAAATAGCCAAGAAATGAATTGAAAAGATTTTAAAATTAATCTAATTTAATGTTTATTCACAAAGCACTATTGCTACAATGCTATATTGTTTCACAGCAATGATATTATTCCTACACCTTTGAACAATAAATTTTATAGTGTTTGCATAAACAACCATCTATTTTATTCTTCACCAAAATGTATGATTCGGTAATTACCCATTACCGCCATAAGTAAATTTTATCACAATTGTAATCTCGCAACATAATTGGTAAGAAAGTACCAGGAAGGTTTCAAGCAAAAGGTTACCAATGATGTGTTATAAGTACATATATATCTCTAAAATATGCGAGAAGATTACCAGAGACATGAAAGGTCGCTTTATGACTTAACGACAACCTTTTTCGCAAATTATTTATAATAATTTCCGCCGTTTATTGTAATTTCATAGAATTTTACATATTTTATTAAGAAAGATAACATATTTGAAAATTTTCAGGCTTTTTGTTTCTATCATTTTGAGAAAGAGTTTAGTTTTGTTTTAGGGATCAGTGATGGCCAACATTCGGGTTAGTTCCATTTCTATGTATTGTTATAAATTAAAGTGAGTAAACCATTATTGGAGATTCCGCTTCTACAAATTTTATTTTTACGTTTTTTAATTTATCTAAGCAAAATTGCAAAATATCCTTCGAGTGTCTTCGTCAAAATATGGATATTGGAAAAATGTCATTTCAATGCATTACTCAGCGTTGCACTTTATCAAGTAATCCAATTTTGTCAGTATTTGCCTATCAATGCCAATCTAAAATATATTCTTAAATATATTTAAATAATTATATAGCAAAAAATTACTCATAGTTTTGATAATTTTTTTTATTGGTTTTGATAAAAAAATTTTAAATGAATAGGAATAAAATGGATTTTGTGTAGGAATACAAAGTACAATTTGTAAACCGAAAGCAAAGTGCATTCTTTTCTGTATAATAAGCCTCAGATATTACTATTAATTTTGAAATTGATCTTGAAACATTTTGAAGAATCGAACAAATTGCAATCTCAAGCCAGGTTGTGCTTTTTTTATTACAACAATTTAATGTTTCTAAAGTATTTATTTGAACAGAAGCATAATATTATCCAGTAGCATTGGTATGGGTATTACCTAATTGTAACTCAATTGTAAAACAAAACGGAAAATATTATTCAAGAATTTAAATACTTAAATCTCTTTCAAAGATTATATTCACGACAAAGAAATTTTACTCATTGCATCTAGGTTCGTATAAATCTAACTAGTTGTTCTTATATAACAGAAATATATACATATCGTATAAGTTGTTTTATGTGTCCCATGATTAAAATTAATATTCACGGATAAGTGCCGTTAATAAATATCTATGGAAATAGTGATAATATACATCATTTTCTAAAAATGCACAAAGCTTTAAAGATATATATTATTCTCATTGAACTAACAATAATTGTGAGATGAAGGATGATGCCTCAGCAAAAACACATCCCAAGGTAAACCGGTAGACTTAATTAGGAACGCTTATAGGCAAACTTTAATTAGCTACGTGCAAACTATTCACTTCTTTGTTCAAAAAACTATATAACGTTATTTATGAATCGATAAATTATAATAGCTTTGTATTTTTTTATAATAGCTCGTTTCATTGTAAACACTTTACAATGCATTTTGTATTGAAACTGAATGTTATAAAATTATCATCTCGCAGGATACTTAAGTTTGAGGTGCAAATAGTATTTTGCGTATTATTTCTATGATTAAGCAATATTTGAATAAATTATCAGATGATAAAGGTTAACTTTATTGCAAAATGTAATTATTTATGAAAGGCTTGAGTTATGCTTATTGAATTTGAATTTGTATTTTATAGTCAATTTAGATTTACTGTTTCTAATTGGTTATTTGGTTTTTTCATTATTTGCTTAAGAGTCAAAACGGCGTCTTACAGTTTTGCTGAATTTAAATTATTTTTCTTTAACTATAATATTCTATATATAGATACTAAAATTGATGAACTGAATTAAAACAGTAGTGTCAAGGTTTTTGTATTATTTTGTTTTTTGCTTTTAAGTGGTTAGTCATCAATTACTATATTTTTGCTTGAAATTATTTACTAATTGTGTAATTGTTTTTTTACATAATATCATAATACCTTAGAAAAAATGTATGCTATATGTATGTGTGTGCGTGTGCAGATACATTTTTTGTCGGCGATTTTGAGAAAATGGATCAACCGATTTCAATGATTCAAAAAACATTCGATTTCTATTGATAAGGAGACGTGTTGATTAGTTTTTGGCAAAGGCAGGTTCAGCCGTTCCGAAGATACGGGGCAAAAAGTGCTAAAAATGGTAAATCAATTTTTGAGAGAACGAAGCGTTTGATTTGAATGTTTTGAAAATTTTATTTGTATTGACAAAATGAAGAATTGATGAAATTTTGGGAAGACAGGTCTAGCGGTTTCGGAAAATTAATAAAAAAAGTAAAAATATGCCATTTGGCGGACAAAAATGATCATTAGACATATGCACATCAAATTATTAGATATTTTATAGAGATTTTAACAATATGTATAAATTTTGTTTACATTCCTATGGGTTCCGTACCAATGTTTATCCGTTAGACGGCGACGCGGCGCTTTAGCGCTTCGATATTTCGTCTCTATGCAGTTAAAGCAGTACGATTGCTTTGAAAAAAAGTTCAGAATTTCCAAAACATTTCAAAATAAATTTTTCTTCAAACAGTCTTTTTTTTCACAAAAAAGTAAATTTTTGTCAAAAATTTATAGTTTCTCAAAAATCTATTTTTTTCAGAGTAAATTTTTTTCAAAAATGTTAATCTTTTTTAAAAAAAATAATTTTTGGTACGGGAAGATCCAGCAATTTGCCTTAAAGCACGATGCTTTCCACCACTAGTTAATTTTACGTTTATTGTACACCTACTGATATTAATGCCGATATATCGGCTACGCTAGTTTCTGATTTAGGTAAAATTTAGCGCAGACAGTTTCATTGCTAATATCTTTCGTCTAGCCTAAATGTCAGGAAGGCAAACATCTTAAACGATTACGTTGTATAGCTTTGTAATAGTAGTAAGTTGTATAGAATTTGCTTACGCCATCGACTTGTGCTCCGGCGGGTATAAGCTGCCTGCTCTGGGCCTCCTGTATCGCCTCAGGGCCGTAGGCAATGCCTTCCTTCTGGGCGAGCACGGCGGATGATGCTAGAGCACATATTAAGACGATCAAAGCGAATTTCATTCTGAAATATTAATTATTTGGGTCTGTTACTCTATTATTTATGTCTAAGAATTAGTAACATTAGCAAATAAATTGAAGTGTTGGGAAAGAACAGTGTTACAATTGCTGAATTGTAATCAGATTCATATGTACAAGATAATAAAAATTAATATATTTTACCTAATATTTTTTTTATAAATATATAATTAAAAATATTGTTGTTGAAGTACTATATTAAAGGTTGAACTTGTAAAAAGTTGCATTTTTAGAATTAATCTAATAGGAAAATTATATATTCTATTGATCAGAAAACATTTTTAGCCTAGTATTGATTTGTAAGATTTAACCAAAATTTATGACATTTTGAATATTTTTTTTAGATTTATGTATAAACAATATTTTTTTATGATATAAATTATAATAGTGCCACTATTAAAATTATTTCATAATATGAGCTATAGTGCATATTGTGAAATAATTTTTTTAATTATTTCATGACTTGAACTACTATAGTGCATATTGTGAAATATTTTTTTAATTTCAAAATGTTTTCCTGGATCTAATATAATAAAATATACAATAATATAACTCTAAAATACCTAAAATGTAGGCACTATTCACCTATTCTTTATATAATGAAATTACAAAAGCAACCTCTATTAAGTCGATAATGAGATTAGTTTCCATCAGATATTATAACTAATCTGCAAAATTCATTGATATATATGTTTGGTTATACTTATAGTTTAATAAGAAAAATGAAGGAAAAAAAATGAATTAATATAAAGTTGATTATGATGCAATTTATGATATTCGATTTTTTTCGATGTCGATTTGTATAGCATGCTTGTAATTATAGGTTCAAATAGATATATTTATTAGTGTTTTTTTTCATAAAATTTTCAAACACCTTATTTTTTACATATATTTCATCAAAATGTATTTACTACTAAAACAAACCTCTTACATGCTTTTGATGTCAATAAAATATAGGACCAATATTATGAAAATGGTTAAATTAATTTGATGAAGTATGAAAGTTTAATAAATCTTACTTATTAGGTTTATACATAATAAATGTTTTTTGCCATATAAGAAATAACTACTAGTTAGTTTTTACTTGCTTGAGTTTTGCTACTTTTCTGTATGTTTTTGCTAGGTTTCATACAATAAGTATATAAACATTTACACAAACTTCTAACATTACTGTGACCTTCATTCATAAAATTTTGTTTCGATATGGTAATCGATCGTATTTCCGTATCGTAAGTTGTTGTAATCCCAAAAAATCGATAATGAAAATCGTATCTTTACGTTTCAAAGTTTCTGAACATGAATGTGTGTTTAGATACAATTTTTTGTAAATTTTGTGCACAATTTTGAGAATAAGGATAAATAGATTTAAAAAATTCAA